AGGATGATGATGGTTTGACTGGTAGATCAACAAGTCTGATAAGATGATTTGATCTTTTGTTACGTTGTTACGTTGGTAGAGAGGGGATGTAGGGTTTGAGTTGAAGAGAGGAAGTTGGAGGAATGATCCCTTTTCAACCTTACTATCTAGTCTTGTCAGTCTATGAGGAGAGATGGTCCTTCTTCAACCTTATTATCTAAGTCTTGTCAGTCTATGAGTAACACGAAGAGAGATTATACATCGAGACGTGGGAGAATCAGTTGAGAAGCTAAGAAATGAGAAGTCGAGAAGAAGGGACAAAGGGACAATATATGAAAAAGATTTTCCCGAGTTGTAGAAGGAAGGGTAGAAAAAAAAACACGAGACGGGATTGTTAAGTCGAGATGAGATTAGTGGCAATAAGATGGAAAAAGAGGGGGAAATGATGATGCGAGAAGGGATATGAGAAGAGTTGAAACAACTGACAAAAATAGACAATCACATTAACACTCCCACATCATTTAACGACGGATGAACTTGAAGAATTAGAAGATTTAACATTTGATCATTTCCTTTCACGTCAAACTCCAGATTCAAATCCAAATCCTACTCAAACTCAAACTTCCAATTCTTCCATTCCTGTTCGGATTCCTAAACATACGGAATGGCCAATATCTTTGAAAACTATGACTTCACAACATTTAGTACATCCTGGTGGTAATCAATTGAATAGAATGAATCCAAGGACTCGAGGTGGTGTTTCGAATATGAATGGGAAAGTTGCGTCGGCTGTTCGTGAGCGAGATACGCCAAGTGATGTCGGAAGAAATAAAGGAAAGCGAGATGTATCGAGCAGGACAGAACGGGAGGGGAGTACACCAAGTGAGAATAGAGGAAAGAATGAAACTAGAGATGGAACACGAAGAGACGATTCGGAACAAAAACAAAATAGTGTTTACTCATATTCAATAGATCCACCATCTTCAGAAACTTCCACTACCAAACCTTCCGTCATGCGTTTACGTGGTGGAGGGGAATATGAACTCGATCATGATATCAATAGATTTAAAGAAAAGATTGATCCTGTTAATTTGCCATTACCACCTTCTAGACCTAGTACGATAACGATGTCGGTTGGAAAACCTTCTATATCTGGTTCAGTGGGAAAACCTTCTGTTTCTGGATCAATGGGGAGACCTTCCATCTCTGAATCAATGGGGAAACCTTCCGTATCTGGATCAGTAATTGAACCAACGACAAAAACTCCGAAAGACGTACCGACCATCCTCGAAGGACTTCCAGCTAGGGTCATCCATGAAGAATCAAAACGTCCTTCGAAATCTTCCCCTTCGGTCGCCGAGACGAAAGTACCTTCAACAGGAAAAGCACCGTCATTACTTGAGTCAACACACAGGACTCCCCGCACTTTGTCCCCTGCGAATATCCCATTACCACCTTCACAAGCCAGTACGATACCCACAGCTTCTCGAGTAGGCAGTGTGATTGGTCATGTCGACAAGTCAGGAGGTAAGTCGAAATGTTCAAGTATAAAAACTGTTGACGTTCCAGGAACTCAATCAAAATCTCCAAGCGTTGCTCGGACAGAAAAGGGGATACCCGATCAACTTAAATCCGTTGCAGCCCCTCCGAGTCATATCAGCAAATCATCCACCAAAGCGGGAAGTGTAACACTCGTCGATCCTCCCCTCGGTGAAGGCGATATGACCTTGTTAGATTTCGCTGGAGGTAAGAAATCCACATCATCGACTATACTTCCTAAATCTATCGTTCCTGCGAAAGGTCTTGAAGGAACCGTGAAGGATGCTACGTCTTCCAGACCTCCATCGGTGGTTAATGATGAGAGGAAATATGGTGGATCGACGAAAAGTGGACTTGTCATTAAGGGCGAGGCAAAGTCTACGACGTCAATAAAACCTCTTCCTAATGTGGATGGTACGGCAAAATCTGTGATGTCAGCTAAACCTGACCGAGGGACAAGTCTGAAACCACCACAAAACACTCCTTCACAAACCCAATCCCAACGAGGAGAACGAAGAATAACGACGACCTCCAAACGGGAAGAGAACGCAGAGAAGAGAGAAGAACTGAAAACACCTACCAAAACACTTCCCCTTGATCCAAATCATTCATTACCCACTCCACCTTTATCAACCAAAACAGCACATACTGGCTCTTCACATTCTTCTCGTCAGGTAGTGGAAGAATTCACTACACTCGAAGTTTCACTCAAGGCCGAATGGGATGAAGAGACCTTGGGCACGGCAAGGATCAGAGAATTGGTTTGGACTTGTTTGACGGAATTGGAGTTGATGGCTAGGCGGTGAGTCGTTTTGATTGGAATATGTCTCATGCCCCAGTCTCCTTAGTCTGTGAACATACTTCACTTTATCGTACTGGTAATTAGTCAAGTTGATCATGTGTGATTGTTGTATTCATATTCGCAAGTATGACTGTTCATTCTTTGGTATTCCACGTGTGAGGGATGAAGACGTATGATGGGTGTGGGACTGATTTTTAGGTTGGACGAGAAATGCGTGGTTCCTGTTGACACAGAAGGATGATTGGAGGTCGATCACGATCCAAGGTTCGTGAGATATGAATGGGGATAGAAATAGGGTTGAAGGGAAAGACTTTGTTACTTGCATTGATGATTGATATGATGTTCAGTAAGGCAGATAGTTGTTCAGCTATTGATTGCCCTGTACTTCAGCATGTGAGAGAAACGTAGGATACTGCGATAATTATGAATTTGGAATAAGTACCGAAAACAGGAAACGAGATGAGATCAAACGACGTAGTGACATTTCTCGAACCGATGCTATATGCTCTACGACGATCCATTTACCTGTATATCAGTCATGACCATTGCTCACATGTCCCGACAACGACCTCATTTGATCGAATTGAGGATTTTAAGGTCGAAGCAACGTACAAAGATCAAACTCGACTTACTTTATTCTTCACCTGAGTTAAGAATTGAGCATAACTTCCCATTTTATCCATCCTATCCTCAATTAAACAACTCAATGCCCAACTTCTCAAAGCCGGTTCAGCATCACTCTTCACCACATATAAATGTTGTCTATACACTCCTCTTCTCAATTCCCTTGTCTTAGCCACAATGTTGTTCACTCTTTGATTAAACGGATTGTCCAACACCGGCAAAGTATATTTACCACCTGTCAATTCGGCGTAAGAAGGAAGATCAAATACGTCCTGAATCAATCTAGGTACGGCTTCATGTCCGACCCACAAAAACATGTTTTGGCCATCTTCAATGAAGAACAACCCATGTCTTTCCAAACGCTCCGAAGTCAGGTTGAGTGCGGGAGGAAGTACCATATGACCATCTGGACCGACTGTCCCCGCGTCGGGTGACATGTTGTGCAAGGAATAAAATATCGGGTGAATGTACGGGATGAGGGATTGACAAGGTAATGTTGTCAGGAGCGCTTGAGCGTACGAACGTAAATCCGGTGGAATGGAAACACCTTCTCGTAAACCAACATGTTTGACTAATCCGCACATCAATAATGGCAAGAGTTTTAGGTTATCAGGAACGGCGAGTTGAGCGGAAGCTCCAGCGGAGGAAGTTACTTGATTCTTGAATACGGTGAGCATGTCGGAAAGTTTGTTGATGATGAGATTACGAGCATCGTCCAATGAAGAAGTCATAGATTTCTCCACCGATTTTGAGACGAGATACGAGGCGATGGCGATTTGATCGGCTGAACCGTACATCTCGGCAATTGAATCGGTCGTGGGCATGGCTTGAGTGATAACCCTAATTCGACGTTCGCCGAAACATGTAGTGTGAAGAACAGCGGTTTGAATCACTACGGTGGTGGCCTTGACGTCATCTTCTAGCTGAAGTTCAATCACGTAGTTTTGGTCCATGGGTACCACGGGTAAAGCGAGTAGATCGGTGGAACGGATGAAAAAGTTCCCGTGGAAAGCTGCCAGACGTATTCCACGGGTCGCACGAACTCGGATGACAGCTTCAAGTCCAATGGGCATGGAAAGAACTCGACCGAATTCAGTGGCAAATTTGATGGCGTCTTCTGATCGAGAAGCGTTGAATCCAGGATAGAGATATGTTTGTCCTGCAGTATATCGAGGGAGACAGGAGAGTGTGGCGACATCGGTATATGAAGCGGAGAAGAGAAACATGTCGACAGCTACCTGCTGCTTTGAACATTCGATAGCAAAGGTCTTGTACCAGCTCGAAGCGGCGTTCAGCAGAGAACTCTCTTTGCTCGTCCCCAGAAGTTTTGGATCATCACGAGCTTTGAGTGCGCCTTCACCCAGAGAGGGAAGACAGGAAGTAAGAGCAATGATCTTACCTCCTATCTTCCCTATAAGCTGATGAGCTGCCTGAAGTGCGGAACCAAGCGCATTGCCAACTTGAGGTTCTTGGAACATGTCACTCAATCTGCCCAGTAACGTTTCGATCGCCGGTCGACTCTCGGTGAGGTTGACCAACAAGTCCACAGGTTTTGGTAGGAACACATCGGTGAGATCTGAAACGACCAACATCGATGCTTCTGTTGAACCGGGCGGCAAAGACATGAAATGTAAGCTTGTCGATACGGCGATGATGGCGATTTTGGTCCGTTTGTCGGCATTGGGGAGGTTATCCAGATTTTCAAGTATGGTACGCGCGGCGGTAGCCACCATCCCAGACTGTACGGCTGATTGTGAGACATCGATGACAAAGGCGTAGACGGGTGGTTGAGGTGGTCTGACCATGTATTCGGTCGGGGCGATATACTCCACAACAGCATGATTGAGTTCTTTCCGACCCCATCGATCGGCCGGTTTATTTTCACGTTGGTCCCAATCAAATAACTGAGGAACCTCGTTACTCAATCCGCACATACAACACTTCCACCTGTTCCCCCCCTCGATGAATGTGACGAACGGGTTGATGTATGCTCTGCATCGTCTGCATCGAGCGATGACAGAATCTTCCACCACTGGAACAGGCATATCATCATCTACTTCTCTGACACTGCGATAAGGCGCCAAGACGAGTGCGAGGGGGAGTTTCGATTTGTTCAACAGGGATTGTGTAGTGGGCATGGCGGCGAGGGTGCATCGTTGATAGGAGGGATCAGGCTGGATGTGAGGGGATTGTGTGACTGCGGCATTGGGAGCGAGAAGAGCTGCAGGTGGAGGAGAATCGAGTCCTCGAACGTCGGGTTGCATTCCAATTAGGTTGACGGTTTGTATAGAGTGTAACTGTTTCTGATCGCCATACGTCGCACCTGCTCTATATCCCATTTGCATATTTTGAAATTGGTTGGTCATCTGGTCGACTCCCTTTTCTTGAGGATATGCGGGTTGTTGACCGTATGCAGGTTGTTGAAATTGTCCCTGAGGTATCTGAGCCTGTTGGACGTCCGCCATACCAGGTGTGAAAAACTGAGGCGCGACATGGGTTTGGTCGCCGTATCCAGGGGCGAGAGGTTGAACAGGAGGGGGCTGATCGTACCCTCCTCCAGCGTACATTTGTTGTATTTGAGCGGTCGGATAGTGCCTTCTACCTGGACGGGACACAGGAGCGGGGGCAGGGGCTGGAGCTGGAGCTGAGGATGAGGTGGAATGATGGGAAGTAGGATAGGAAGGTTGCGTGGGTAGCTCCCATTGAGCTTGACCGGTAGACTGATCTGAGAGTCAGTAAGGTGAAAGGTGAGACATGGAGGAGAGAGAACGGACCTATGTATATGTAGGCACTAGATTGAGCATCCCTTGTTCGTCAGCATGAGCTATCTATGCAAACTTAGGGAACTCACCAGCGAGCTTCCCACCCTTGAGGGAGGTTGAGAGGTTCCGAGCTCATTTTGATCGTCTCCTGTTTGAGTCAAGCGAGAAGTATGAGAAGAGGGAGGGTGAGAGAGCTTTCAACACTTCAGTAGTGGGGCTACAGTGGGCCAGTATGAGAGAAGATGAGGATGGTGTAGGAGTAGGAGAGGAATGGTGCTCAGTTGCCAGTTGCCAGTTGCCAGTTGGAGGGGGGTTTGTCTATGACGTGTCAGTCACTGGGTGTATCGGCAATTCGGCATTATAGCCGAGTGGTGTTTTCCCTCCCACCTCCTCCACGTCGAGCAGCGACGGACGAGTAGCGAACAGCGACCTACATATAGCTTTGTTTCACTAGGTCAAGCATGCAGCAAACCAGTCTACTGGCTCATCGACATGCTGATCTCATAACACGTGAGCCGCAAGACTCTTGTGTGTCTTTCAACTGACAGTCAGATTTAACGTACGATTTCTACGGCGAGCGATGTCAGTCGTTCAACCATACTGAGTGAGATACAGTGCTGACGTTCTGACAGTAGCTACTTGTTCCGCAGATCAAAAGATCAAACTCTTTCATCGTTCATCCGAAGGAACCTGGGACCTGGAGACTGAATGGAAGGTATGTCTATCTCATTTAACCCCCTTTCATCCCTTTCAAACCAAATACGAAATTGACAGGTCAGGCTCATGACGCCCCCATCATCAAACTTTCCTTCGCTCATCCTTCTCACGGTAGTCTACTCGCTTCTTGCTCCCATGATCGGACTATAAGAATATGGGAAGAACCTTCTCCCAGTCAAGTCGCACAGGCAAAAGATGGAAGATGGGTCGAACGGGGTGTATTGACGGATGCTAAGGGAAGTGTGAAAGCTGTAGAGTTTGGTCCCAGTAGTCCAAACTATGGTCTTCGTCTGGTAAGTCTTTGTCATCCTTACTTCTATTGGTCCCGTCAATTATCATTTACCCCTCATTTCTTTCTCGATTCTGTCACAGGGACTGCATGTCAAGAGGGAGATAGACTGATCATCTGATATCATGGGTGGAACACTTATGGAAAGGCATCAATAGCTACAGATTCGTATCTTCGTATTCACTCTTCTCTTGATCCTTCACTAAACGATTGGTCATTATCACATGACATTCATATTCCTTCCCTTCTCCCAAGCTCACCGGAAGAGTCACAAGCCGATGGAGCAAGCACGAACGAGTTGGCTTTTGGTGGTTGGGGCTTGAGTTGGTGTAAAGAGAGGTGGTGGGGAAATATCATTGCCGTGTTCGCAGGAACGAGTCCTGTTGTCAAAGTGAGTTTGGTCACCCATCTTTCGCGCTCCCCTGGTCACACAAATCCAGCCGCTATACGGTAACTCCCGTGTCATGCCTCTTTTGTCTTCTCTGTATATGCGGTTTCTTGCGTGAGGGACAATTGACCTCCGCTCCATTGATGTTTCCCTCTTTGAGCAGGATAAGGGAAGCTAACTCTTAGATCATCATCCTCGACCCCACACCCACTTGCGTGCTACGTATTACCCCACCATCCACTTCATCCCTCACTAGTCTCTCCTGGGCCCCGAGCTGCGGGAGAAGCTATCATCTGCTAGCTACTGGAGCCAGGGATGGGACGGTGAGAATATGGCGTGTGGATCCTCCTGAGAGTGACGGTGAGCCGAACGGGAGGAAAGATGAGTGGAAGTGTGAATGTGTGGGAGAGTTTGGTAGAGGAGGGGCTAGAGTCGGCATGGTGGATGTGGGTTCCTCCAATGTTCTCCCATCCCTACGCCCCGCCCCCCTCCTCCCCTCTCAAAGTTCAGTACATGCAGATGGACCATCAATGGGTCTGATTCTTGACGAGAGCTCATCGAGATACCAAGTACAAGTGACACGCTAATGACAGTGGAATCTGGCCGGTACGATGCTGACCACGTCCGACGACGATGGTGTCATTCGGATATTCAAACGTACGCTGTTCCTCTTTTTCTCTCTTATATTTGATGCTGATATGTCGCAGCTACATATGCGAAAACATGGAAGCTGTTAGGGAAATTGACAGCGGAAGAACCAGAAGAGACATGAATTGTAGCATGTAGCTGCTATATAGCAGGAAGGAATATGCATCTTTGTCGGTTGTAATCGGCTGTTTCCCCGGATTTCCCCACAAAATACCAATATGACGGAATCAAAATCGCTCCTCTATCCGGTTGGGGTGGAATGTTTCGTCAAGCTTTCTTTCTCCCACACCCTAAATCTTTCAAATCCACTATCTCCTCCTATCCTTTTACTCCCAAATCTTCTTTTCATACTGCTTATCTGTAAGTCTCGGCTAGTTGATTTTTCATACATATACCCATAGTCTATGATCTCACCGTCTTCATCCTTATCTCTCTTTTCGTTTGTAGCTAACTAGCAAGAAGAAGAAATCATGTCACCAAACGGAGCACTTTCTTTCCTCCCTGTGAGTCCCCAGTCTAGAGTATTCACGAGATACAAAGAAAAGATATTGACAGATAGCCTGGAGTCATCACGGGAGACAACGTCAGGAAACTATTCGAATATGCTCGTGAAAATAAAGTAGGTTCATTGCTTCAACACCCTCACCATATCCCTCTCAACTTAAGCGGGACCTCATGTCGACAAGGAAACTTGCTGCGCATTCTGTGAATCTGTATACACAATGACCTCACTCCGTCCTGCCCCATGTCGTTCTCTCGCTTGACTGCGACGTTAGATTTATAGGGTCATGATGCAAGACCATGAGAAAGTGGCACTGAACGCAGCCACGTGCTTCCGTATCATTGGTCATCAATTGATGGTTTTGCTGACTGAACAGTTTGCTATCCCCGTAAGCCATTATCAAAGTGGTGATACTTCATACTGACCCTGTTTCTTTTCGTTTGATAGGCTATCGTGAGTTATCAAACCCTCCTGCTTCCCCTCGCTTTCCACTGTATACATTCTTCTTTATCTTCTCACCAGAACTAAGCGCCCTTCATCGTGGTCCTCTTTCTGTCACCCTCACCCCACCTGGGCTGCTATAGTACAAACACTGCTTCATGATTACATGCGAAAAGGTCCAAGCTAGACGTGAAACGTAGTTTCCCTGCTAACGCTTGACAGAACGTAACATCCTCTTCTGTCGTCAACGGTGTACTTGAGGCCGCCAGAGATATCAAATCCCCTATTATCCTTCAAGTCTCTCAGGGTGGTGCAGCCTTTTTTGCCGGTAAAGGTCTGGCGAATGGAAACCAAGAAGCTTCCATTGCTGGTGCTGTTGCTGCCGCTCACTTCATTCGGGCTATCGCTCCCAGCTATGGAGTGTGAGTGTTTATCACTTCTTTGGTCATCTCCATCTCCATCTCCATCTCCATTGACTTTCATGTCTCGCATCTTCATGAGCTGTTATCAAGGGATCTAAAACGTTAAGGGGGAAAAGAATTGATCGCTGACGATCAGCCCCGTCGTACTCCATTCCGACCACTGTGCCAAAAAGCTGCTGCCGTGGTACGATGGGATGCTCGACGCCGATGAGGCCTACTTCAAGGAGCACGGCGAGCCTCTTTTCTCGTAAGTCGATGATCAGTTGAAGTGCGACGTTGAGACTAATGCGCAGATCTCACATGCTCGACTTGTCAGAGGAGAGCAAGGCCGAGAACATTGAGATTTGTGAAAAGTACTTCGCCCGCATGGCAAAAATGGGAAGTGAGTCTTGATTGTTTCGATCGTACTAGGGGATCATACTGTATCCGTCCATTTTCCTGACACATGTGTCTGTCTCAACGTCCCTCCTTCTTCCAAACCCGTCGTAATCCACGGAGAGAACATTGGGAGAACTGAAGTCTCTCCTGACGTACCGCATGTTGCTTCTGCTGACATCAGTCTGGCTCGAAATGGAGATTGGTATCACTGGTGGGGAAGAAGACGGTGTAGACAATACCGGTGTCGATAACGCCTCCCTCTACACCCAACCTGAAGACATCTACGACGTCTACTCTGCCCTCTCGAAGATCTCGCCAAACTTCTCTATCGCCGCCGGCTTTGGTAACGTTCACGGTGTGTACAAGCCCGGTAACGTCAAGCTCAGACCCGAGCTTCTGGGTATGCACCAAGAGTACACCGCCAAGCAAATTAGCAATGGGGATGCTAAGCCTCTGTGAGTGTCTTGCTCTCACTGTCCGATCAATAAGTGCCGTGTGGAAGCTGGTCACTCTGTATGATTACGTCCTCATTTCCTCCTTATCGCTCACAATCTGTGCTCTCCGTTCGATTCATGTCTAAGTCTTGGATGTGTCACCCTTCCTGAACCCTGATATCCCACCCGCTACCCATATGACAGTGCCCGGTGTTCCTATATGAGCAACCGAGGCGATCCGGTCAGCGAAGAATCAACTCCACACACGGCATTTAGAACTTGCTTTTCCTTTCCGTTCGCCTCATCTTGATCGGTGGGGGCGTCTTGTCCCTCTGAGCCCCTTTGGGCTGGTTGGACGAGACGTGGACGTGGCAAAGGAGGTGACAGAGCCTTGTGACATTTTGTATACTCTCTGATCCTTTACATCATTCCCGTTTTCAACTTACTTCTATCTCCATTCCGTATCTTTCTTCACTCGAGCCCTTGTCTGTCCCCTTTTCATCAATGGGTTCCTGATCCCCTTCACCTGATTCGTCCTTTCTGATCTCGCCCAATGGAGACCATTCTTCCGATGCGGAGACGAACTGGTCTTTCAAAAAGGTTGTCATGGGTAGTCATATCATCAGCGTATCTCTAGAATACGAGAGAAAACCTGATCTGACTACCAGGTTCTTAGTCTTCCACGGTGGTTCAGGATCTACCAAAGAAGAAATCGCTACCGCCGTATCTAACGGTGTAGTCAAGATGAACGTTGATACCGATACACAATGGGCGTATCTCTCCGGTGTTCGAGATTTCGTTTTGAAAAAGAAAGATTATCTTTTGACTCAAGTTGGGAATCCCGATGGAGCTGATAAACCTAATAAGAAGTATTATGATCCCAGAGTATGGGTCAGAGAAGGGGAGAAAGTTTTGGCGGAAAGAGTTAAAGAAGCTTGTAAAGATTTAGGTAATGAAGGAAGGTGTTGATTATGAACCCTTCCCCTCCTTTCCATTCATTCTCACATCTCTGATTATTCGCTCTTGATCCATCTCCCTGACGCTCTCTGTTCCTACGATGCGAGTTCCACTTAGTATGTTCATCTTTCCGAGATAGAACCTGAGTCATGACGCTTTGTGGGAGAGAGATGAAGTGGGATGGAAAATAGAGTTGATGTTTGATAGTGGGTGGAGAAGGAATGGTATGCAATTTCTGAAAGTGATCGACTGACTTGAGACTGACGGATAAGACAGGTTGACTCATTTTGACATGGCTTCACCACTCAGGCTTCCCACTTCAGTTCACCTCTTCATTTCACTACATCAGTCTTTTGAAACAACCATGTCGCGCTGATGAGAAGAGGATACAACGATCGCCCATGAGACATCGCTCACACTGACCCGGGGGGGTTGCTCCACGGACGAAAGGTTATGGTTCAAGAATCATCCGCCGATGACCAATCACGGGATGTATCCCTGCGTGCTGACTCTACTGACAAGCAAGCGGATTAGAGTGAGAATTGAACATGCATGAATGACAATTGATATGAAATGACAGAGCCAACTTGACCGACATGATGATGCGATATACAGACATGATCCGATTTGGTTATACAAAGCGAGTGAAGATCCGAAATACACTACAACGAAGCGCCAGCGCTTATAACCGATTGGAAGGCAAAGTCGGATCAAACTGCTATCAGTGACTGTCTTCCTCACCACATTGATTCCCACTTCTTCAGCTTTCATTCTTCACTCTATCATCCACTCTATCATCCACTCTATCATCCACTCTATCATCCACTCTTCCATCGTTTACATTCATAAATTGCGGATAATGTGACAACCCAGATTCTCAATACGTCTCGGTAGAACCCCCAACAGACTGAACAGAGGGATAAATCTCGCGATGATCCATTCGGACTCCCCGAACGAAGCAGAAAGGGAAAATCGACTCACCCTCTAGGGAATACGATTCATTCACTGGCTTCACCTCCCTCCTTTTACTACTCGTCGACATTTTCGATTTCGACGATACTGATACCCCAGTCGAGACGGATCCTTGCGTAGCTCCTCGTTTGTTACCGCCAGGAAGAAGGAATTGGTTTATCGCCGGCATGACCCCGCCTTGAGAGATGGTGACGTCTTTCAGTAGTTGATCAATCTCTTCGTCATTCTTGATGGCCAGCAGAAGATGACGAGGTTGTATTCGACTTTTTTTATCTGTTCGTTATTCTCTTTTCACTTAATCTTCCTCATCTGGTTCTGTTACGGTAATCATTCTCTTCTGTATTTCGACGACTGAAAACGCCTTTGACATTCGCTCATTTACAGTATATGGATCAAACAAGTTGTTGCTCAATTTGGAGTGTGTAGATTGATGAGTACTTACTATCACTAGCGGCATTTCCAGCCAGCTCGAGGACTTCAGCTGTCAGGTATTCTAGTACGGCGGCTGTCAAGGTAAAGCGAAACAATTAGATATGGAAGGAGATTTATTCGACGTGAGAGGAATAAGGAATTATGAGTCAGGGAAGATAATTGCATACGGATATATCGTTAGTTGTTTCTCAAGCGAAGATTATTCAGACTCACCTAGATAAACACCAGCTCCGACTCCCACACGATTACTATAATGACCATTCTTCAAATGACGAATGACACGATTGACGGGAACTGAAGATCAGTGATGATCATGTTTTCCGAGTGAACAGAGACTAAGTTTATGTGTGATGAGATAAGATGAATTGAAGGCCCAGCGAGTATGAGGGTAGAATGTAAATCACTGGAGAAGAAGAACGAAGGGAATACGATGACTCACATGTCACACCAGCTTTAGCAGACTTATTCTTTCCTTTCATTCGATTGTTCTTGATACCGCTTGAGGGAGTGATTGGCATTATGTTTCTTTCTAATCTTTAGGAGAACCATAGTGGTAGAAGATACATGTCGACTTACCTGATCGGTCGGTCTGAAAAACGAATCCGTATCAATAGTTGAGCGGGCAGAGACGAGTTTAGGTTGGGTTAGGTGAGAGATGATATGGTGAAGTGTGAGGATCCCGGATGGTAATTGAAGACAAGGTGAAAGAAAGAAAGATGAGAAGTGAGAATAGATTAAGATGAGAGGAAAGAAAGAGAAGAGGGTAAGAGTGTTAGAAGAAGAGAAGAGTATTCGTAGGGAAAACAGGCTCGGAACACGACTTTGCACAGACCTCTTGTAGAAGCAGCGGCGCACGGACATCTTGTACATCTTGTACAGTAGAAGCGAATGATGTCGCGTCGTACCCACCACCACTGGCCACTGGTCAGCATGTTGTAAGTATCATGGAAGGTGTTACGAGTGGACACAGGTGTTGACAAAGCTGGTACATTCCGAGCTGGGAGCTTATAGGGAAATTGAATGACAGAAAACGGTTAGTCGAGACAACACATCAGTCGAAAATGATCGACTTTTTCTAGATACTACAAGCCAAGTGATCAAAAAAACGTCGCAGCTGGTCATGGAACTTGTGTGAGGATCATTACAGCCGTCAGTAGCAGAGTAAAGCGACAAAAGAGAATTCATCTCAAACATGATAGAGCGAAAGCGAAGAAAGAATTGTACCCGTCGAACCGGAGATAGGACGACAAGCAACTACGAAACGACCACACAGACCCCAACTTCCTACACTAGGCTATACACTGATCGAAACGCCTATTTGGACGAAGAGAATTTGGTGACCGACTTGGTACCCTCAGAGATGGCGTGTTTGGACAATTCACCGCTGCAAATGTCAGCGAAATCCTCTAACGCAGCCATGCATGAGTAAGTGATGTTCGTAGTGATGAGGGATTTTATGAGAAGGGTGATGAGGGAGGATCGAGAAGGAAAGAGTTTACTCACGGAAGGATAAGACGGACGGCGGTTTGGATCTCACGAGAAGAGATGGTAGACTTTTTGTTGTAAGACGCGAGCTTAGAAGCTTCTGATGCAATACGCTCGAAAATGTCGCTAACGAAGGAGTTCAAGATAGCCATGGCTTTGTTACTGTTTGATCAGCCCTGTCTTGTCGGTAGCGAGACGAGAGAGACTTAAGGTTGCGGAAGGAACGAGGACTCACGAGATACCAGTGTCGGGGTGGACTTGCTTCAACACTTTGTAGATGTATGTAGCATAACTTTCCACTCTCTTCTTGCTGCCTCGCTTCTTTCCACCTTCTTTAGGTGCAGCCGCGGTTTTCTTGGCTGGGACTTTGGACGCGGCGACGGGGGCTTTGCTAGCTGTGGAAGCGGGAGCTTTAGCGGCTACTGACTTGGGGGGCTGTATGTCAGCGGAAGTTCAATCATCGACGCGAATATCCACGAACATCTGAAGGTATCGGATTGGGAGGGGAGAAGAAGTGGCAAGGTGTGAGAAGAGGAGGGAAGACATACCATGTTGATAAGATGGAAAAGTTGGTTGAAGTTGAAGAGGTTGAAAGTGTTGTAAAAGACGACTGAGTGGATGAGAAATGAATGGGAAGAAAGTAGGGACTTTAATGTATCTCTTGTAGACGTGAGTTGAAGCAAAGGAAATAGAGTCAACACCAACAAAGAACGCCCTTACTCTCTTCTCAAAGGTTGCACAGTGCACACCATCACCAGGGGAAAGAAACCGCCGCGTCGCAACCCACGGTTTATTCATACACGTCACTCTTTTTCCATTCGATGACGCGTCTTCTTTTGAAAAAGTGTACACGTCACCTTTAAAGATTACCCCTTTGAGCGCGTCACCTAGAATGAGAGCTCGGTTGTATACTTTGTCCTTGCTCTCTACCCTGGGTGTTTACAACGTAGCATATCTCTTTCATCCAAGCGATACCTATCACAATCCCTTAATACTTAAATCGGTTCATCCACTTCATCCCACCCATTCAAGTTCTTTTCACTCTCACGACTTTATTCTAACAACTTCCAACCAACAACCAACCACCAAATCTTCACAATGTCTTCAGGCGGCAAAGGTAAAACCTCTGACTCCAAGTCCACTTCTCGTTCTTCCAAGGCTGGTCTTCAATGTGAGTTTCGACTTCTGTCTCCCGCCCTACCCCTTTCTACCTCCTACCCTGCTCTCGCCTTCGACTCTCGTATCTCGAAGCCCGTTACCGTAGGAAGAATCGATACTTACGTCTCAGTCCCAGTCGGTCGTATCCACCGTAAATTGAAGCGCGGCAACTACGCCCAACGTGTCGGTGCCGGTGCCCCCGTTTACCTCGCTGCTGTCCTCGAGTGTGAGTCGACTCCTTTTGCTCTATACTTCACAAATGCTAAGACGTCAGACCTCGCTGCTGAAATTCTTGAACTCGCCGGTAACGCCGCTCGTGACAACAAAAAGACTCGTATCATCCCTCGTCACCTCCAACTCGCCGTCCGTAATGACGAAGAGCTCAACAGGCTTCTCGGACAGGTAACCATCTCTCAAGGTGGTGTCTTGCCTTACATCAGCCCCGAGCTCCTCCCTTCCAAGGTGAGCTTTCAATATCTGATCGATTTGATCATTGCTGATGTTTAGACTGCCACCGGCAAGAAAGGCAAAGCGTCTCAAGAGGTTTAAGTGGGGCAAAGCGTTCGGTAGGAGTTTGGGGATGTGGTTTCGTAAATGTGCTCTTTGTACCTTCGTTTTCGCTACTCTTCTTATGACATCGTGTTCGATGCATTCTTCGGTTTTAACTTAATCTGATTGCCATGCTCTGCCAACAATGCGATCTATGACATGAGTCTTCGTCGGGCTGGCATTTGTTCATGGTCAGCCTTCACGTACTGACCACCGTCAAGCGGCCAGCGTAACATCAGCGATTGAAGGTCGAAACCCCCCTCACCGATCTCGAGAGAAGTTGCACAATGATACTTCTTTGGTCCTTGAAGAGCCAAGTAACAGGTTGCATTCTGCATACACCCTCTCGTTGGTGTGAATCCATGAGTTGCACACACGTCGGATTACTCCATGTGTATTCATAGTCATTGTCAAGCTACGATGACGTTTACGAAGACTTTGTAAGGGGGATTTAATCACGTGACTTGGACAGCGATATATCCACGTCATCTTCTCTCGAAAAGTTGCTTCCTCCCAATTCACCCTTTCAATCCTCTCCACCTATAGTCTCACAACGATGGACCGGCTCATTTCTTCTTCCCTTCCTAGCTCCAGCAAATCATCCCACAAACAAGCACATCAAAAACGATCAAACAATCATGAGGTAGACGCTTCTTTACATTCCATCTTACCCCGCACTCAACTCCCTTCTTCCTTACATCTATCCCTAGACAGTGATCCTCCTCCCACCGCATCTTCCAACCCACAAAGATCGGCAAATGCCTCTTCCAGATCGAACATCACTGATCACTCTCATCAATCTAGAAAAGAATCCGTGAAGAAAGCGACCCCCAATGCTGCCGTCCCACCTCATATAGCCCGTATCCCCGACAAAAAGCTACGTGCAAGGGTGTACAAACAAGATCTTTCTGCTAAAGTCGCCAGGAAAGAGAGACAAGAAGTAGATGAATGGATAAACGCCCCTCTTGCTGGAGGAGCGGGAGGTATAGAGGTTGATGAAGAGGAAGGTGAGAGGACTTGGAGGGTTGGACAAGGAGAGATCGTTCAGGAGGTAGGGGTACAAAGTGGTAGAAAACGATGGGACTTGAAATTGGAGGGAATGGGAGAGTATAAGGTGGATTATACCAGGAATGGGAGGTACGCTTGATTTCTCTCCCTACATTCACATTCACACTCACACATCACTCGGGTATGCGCTATCTGCAGAAATTGTTACGCAGTGTGGACCACACAAGCCATTCATGGTTAAGCTCGTAACTCCTGCCCTTCAGATTTTATTGGTGTTTTACATCATCATAAAATTATGGCTGTGAGATCAGCCATGTCTGACCGCTCGATACGTCATGAGAACCCAGCTCATTACAGACATCTGGCTATAGCTTCTAGTCTCGGACATGTGGCCACATTCGACTGGCAGAGTGGTAAACTTCATTCGGAGATACAATTGCGAGAGTCCGTCAGAGACATCAAGTAAGTTTTGCATCAACTTGCTTTGTGTGACGTCCATATTTTGTGATAGGTCGAGGCTGATGGAAGGTTCTTACATTCCGAAGCGTTTTATGCTGTGGCTCAGAGGAAGTATGTATATATCTACGATCAAGATGGAGTGGAAGTACAGTGAGTGTCCTCGCGAAAAATCATGTTGGACTTGCTGAATATGTAGCAAGTTGAAACAACATACTGATCCGACTCATTTGGAGTTTTTACCGTATCATTATCTGTTGGTCTCCGTCGTGAGTGGTCTGTCTTACGCCCTGCTCCCCTTTCGTAAGCCTCACCATCCTTGCGCTCTCTCTATTCATACCCGAGGAGCTCGTCGAGATCGTTGTGACCAGGATGATGTCTTGCACTGGCATCGGTGGTGTAAGAGGAGGGAATTGTGACTTGATTGACAACCAGGGCCACGCGGGCTACCTCAAATATCACGACACCTCCACCGGAATCCTTCTCACTCAAATTTCCACTCGTCTCGGTTCTCCACCTTCCATTACACAAAACCGTCAAAGCGCTATCATTCACCTCGGTCATTCCAACGGTACCATGACCCTCTGGTCCCCCAATCTTACCACTCCTCATGTCAAACTTCTTGCCCACCGTGGTCCAATAACATCCATAGCTGTCGATCCCTCTGCTTCATCGGCAGGTCGATACATCTCCACATCCGGTCTTGATGGTGAAGTCAAATTATGGGATGCTAGAATGTGGGGAAAACAAGTCCGATCTTGGAAAATGCACAACTCCCCCACTTCTTTATCATATTCCGATAGAGGAGTCTTAGCGGTAGGTGGGAAATCAGGTGTAACAACATTTAGAGATGTGATAGCGGAAGGAAACAGACCTTATCTCACCCTTCCTCTTCCTTCTCTCACAGCCAATTCTGTGAGGTTCTGTCCTTTTGACGATGTACTCGTGGTGGGTCATCAGAAAGGGGTTTCTAGTCTTTTGGTTCCAGGAGCTGGAGAACCAAACTTTGATTCTGCCGAGGCGGACGTGTTTGAGACATACACCAGAAGAAGGGAGAGAGAAGTGAGAGGTGTTTTGGAAAAGATAAGACCGGAATTGATCACTCTTGACACGGAGTTTTTGGGTAAAGTGAGGGATGAGAAGAAGGGTACTTTTGCGGAAAGGGAAGCGAGAAGTTTCAGACAGTTGAGTAGGAGAGAGAGGTTGAAGTTGGAAGGGAAAGCGGATGAGGACGAGGGTCAAGTGGAGGAAGATGATGAGATGGAAGATGAGGATGATGGGGAAGAAGGTGGAGGAAGTGGGAGTGAAGGGAAAGAAAGGAAGAAGAAGAAAATGAGGTGAGTAGAGTTGCACTTCGACCGATCTTCGACCTTCATCTCTGCGCGGTGTCAAATCCTCTCCTGTTCCTCTGTCTCATCAGTTTACCAGTCTCGATCGAGCGCTGTTCTTTCGTTTCTTTCCTAGACAGTAGGATACTTGAACATTTTCATCAGTATAAAGACAGATACAGTGATATGGAACTTACGAATAGGGGTAAAGGAGGAAGTATGAAACGATACTTGGCCAAGAAACGAAAGAATGTCATTGATCCTTCTCTTGTAAGTTCTGTTTCTTCTCATTTTCCTTCCTCTCTTCTATTTCCTGCCAATCCCTCCTTGTACACATGGAGATGGACCCCGTCTGAGGATTTGACATACCATACGACAATCTGATTTCCCTGTATGATTTGAGATCTCTCTCCTGTTTTGAGATGTAATACCGTACCGTAATCTGACGAACAGCTTGCGATGCGCGCAAAGGTCGCAGCTCAAAAACAAGTGGAAGAATCTAAGAAACGTTCTGCGAGTAAGGAGACGGGAGCTTTATCGCGATTTGGATAGTGATCATTGTTGTATTTTCATTGGCAATTCTCGTAATCTGTATCACCATGACGCGTTCCTGCAATGCATCTCCATATCATTCCCGTGGTATCATACTTCTGACGTTGAACCATTAGCATTACTGGAATATCTCAGTTCGATGTCATGGGAGTAGTGTGTGAGGCATGTACGGAAGGTAACTTTCACAACTTGGATCTATACGTGTCATCATCATGCAATGTCCATGCTACATGCTACATTCATCGTTGACCGTGGCCCGTCATCGATGTTGAAAGCAGTAAATGAAATCTAGCATTTGAGGAATACAACTATGAGAACTGACGTAATACAAACTTGGAACTCGGAATTCGGAACTTACGTATGAGCGGAGTAGAGACTCTCCTACAAATCAAGAACACCCTGTCTTCAACCTCGGTCGAATAACGATACAACCACATAGAATCGGAAAGTCTTTCATATTCTTTACCCGAACATGGGAATCAAATGAGTTTTATAAACCCCATTCCGAATTTTACGTGACACAAACCTCTGACAGTTACATAGTTCCCTCGGTAAGACATCCGGACAATAGAGAAGGACTTCAATAAGAATGTCAATGATTTCTTCTTCGTCTCTCGAGTCGACAAGGGCTTACATATTCATCGTCAATCCGGGAAGTGTATGTATCTAGATTCTGATATTTTTAGTAGTCTAGAAACGGGTTTCATGTTCTATGTATGTGAGAAAAAATGCATGTGATGTAGATGACTGTTGAGAGTTAGGTGATATTTATTGGAAAATGGAATTTCATCAGGCCTTACATATTCATCGTCAACCCGGAGAGTGTATGCATCTAGATTCTGATATGTTTAGTAGTCTAGAAACAGGTTTCATGTTCTATGTATCTGAGAAAAAATGCATGTGACGTAAATGACCATTGAGAGTTCTTTGTTAACTATGGAAAATCGAATTTCTGTCAATTGTTCTTGATGGAAAATCGTATATCGTGCAATCTTCAAACTTGATCCATAGAAACTCAAGTCAAGTGCTGGGAAGGGAGATGATGTAATTGTCTTCTTACTTCTTATGACAACTCAAGAGTCTACGTGTAGATCGGACAATATTGTGGGATCCGTCAGATGAAAAGAAGGGAGGAAATCAACGTTTCTCGTCCATATTCCGTTCTCATCAAGTGAACAACTTAAATGATACCCATCGATAATTGGATCCCCATACCTAGACTATACAAATTATCAGCTGTGGTAATGAAACTTCGGGGATATCAGGTTTGGGATGTCGACGTCGTATGGACAACATGCAACATGCAACAGGGTAAGGATGACCAAGTATCAGGATGAAATTACCTTCTTTCTACTCGGACGATTTATACATCATCTTCAGTCCCGAGCCATAATCCCTGATATACCACTTGACTCCTGCACTACCTAACTATCTCGAAAGTAGTCGAGGTATATAAACGGCGGTAGTGTTCACTCGTTGTTCTGGATTCGTTCCCTCCTACAGGGGCAATACCTTACTTGATATACCGCCACACGGCTCTTGCGCCACATATGTGTATGTATCACGGTACCTTCACTCATTCCAAGGTCTTTACTTCTGTTTATGTATGTTACACAGATTGATCGTTACACCGTATGCATTATGTGTCCATCAGTCATTGAGAGCTTGGAACCCATTCCAAACAAAACCAAATCTGTAACCTGAAATCGAAACGTTTCCGAAGGAAAATCAGTCGCGTCGATCACCTTTCTTCCTCAATCATCCCCTCATCTTCCAACTCTCATCCCCGGATGACCTGAGCCACTAACACTTCCTCTCCTTTTCCCGACATTCGGCATTCGGCACTAAAAAACTTCGGAGCTTGGAAACTCGCACACCAACCAACGGAAGAATGCTACTGTTAAGGAAGATCACCTTCCTAAACGCCGGTAACGCCGGATCACATCATTCACGTGACCATACTTCTGACGTGTGACGGAACCTCCCTCGACGTCACAAACATGTCTTTTAGTTCTAAGGGATCAGGGAACGACTAATTCATTCGAATAGGATTTATAACTACCTCTCTGTAGACTCTTCTTCTTCATCCTACAAGTTTATCTATTCTATCTCTCGATTTTTCCCAAATCAACAAATACATTTTTAGTTCAAGATGGCTCGTACTAAGCAAACCGCAAGGAAATCCACTGGTGGGAAAGCACCCAGGAAGCAACGTGAGTTTTGTCTTACATGATTTGTTATCTATCGCACCCTTCCACTCACCATCATCATCATCTATTCATTCATTCATGTGTTATGGAAGACGTCTCAAATCCCTTCTGTGATGTTCACCATCATGATCGCAGGAGTAATCTTGCTTTTGTTGGCCGTCAGAATGAAATAAGAGTTGGAGCAGCCTTCGTGAGGAATGAAAGTAACGAATCAAATCAAATCACTAACCAATCAGTCGCCACCAAAGCCGCCCGTAAAAGCGCTACCGCCACCTCTACTGGAGGTGTCAAGAAACCTCACAGGTACAGACCCGGTACCGTCGCTCTCCGTGAAATCAGGCGATACCAGAAGTAAGTTAACTCTACCTTTCTCATAAACCAAAGAGCTCATGATAGATCCACCGAGCTTCTTATCCGAAAGCTCCCTTTCCAGCGTCTCGTCCGTGAGATCGCTCAGGATTTCAAGACTGATCTCCGATTCCAATCTTCCGCAGTGATGGCTCTTCAGGAAGCTTCTGAAGCTTACCTCGTCTCTCTCGTGAGTCTACCCCTCCTCTTCTTCCCCCTCCCCTTCACTCATCCAAATCTACTGCCCCAACCTTCTTTACGTCGTCGTCACTTCCCCCTCTTTCTGAAAAGGGGCTGTCGCTTTGAGGAGAGACCAAGCCAAGGCGAGGGGATGAGAAACATCTTAGACCATCGCTGACATCTCAGTTCGAAGACACCAACTTGGCTGCTATCCACGCTAAACGAGTAACCATCCAACCCAAGGATCTTCACCTCGCCCGTCGTCTCCGTGGAGAACGCACTTAGGCGTTGAGTTGACGTTGTTTGTCGTTCGACGCGTTGTTTATCTATCGGGGAATTTCAGGGGGAGAAGGGGAGAGGCAGGAGGGAGAGGTCTCGTTTTTACTTTCGATTTGCTTTTTATTTACTTAGCCGGTCGATGTTACCGTGCCATGTCCGTTCGTTCCATCATTTCACCACGCTTAGCATTTGCGTAACTTACTAATTGGTTCTTACTGACCACCCTGTTGTGATCAACGATTTGAAATCATTTGGTTGCTCATTTGATATTCACACAATTCTGTCAACACGTGTATGTTTATTATGTTGTCTCAGCTCGTTCGATGTTTGCCGTTGTAGATACTCAGACTCTGGGGAGCAGTCAAGGTGCTGGTCGATACTCCAACAGTTACTCGTCCGAGCACCAATTTGTACACTCCTTCTTGCACTTATGACTCTTTATCATTATTATTCAACTTGTTGTTTCAAGGACTGCGCTCCAGCACCTGAGGTTACTCTCAGTGAATGATCTTGGCAGAAGCCTTTACCATTCTTTGCTATGTACTACATCTCACTCAAGTGTTGATCATGCGATCTACTGGAACGCGCTTCCATCTTTAGCACAGACTGGACCTTAAGAACACTCGTTGGAAAGCCAATCTCTCAAGATACACAGTAAACCATTCATCCGCCCAAAAATAATACCCATCTCCCCATAAAACCTCCTCCTACCATCCCCAAGCTTCACTCAAATACTGACCCAACCCCACCATATTACCCATTATCACATCCCCTATTTTCCCTTCTACCAACTCAAAACCTCTTTTCGCCCTTTCCCTCTGTTTTTCATTCAACATCTCATCCTCTTCCCTCTTCTCAGCAGCTTCCTCCTCTTCTTCCAATTTCGCAACAAATTCAGGCATCGGTAAACCAAATCTTTCTTCTTGTAAATGTTTTCGTTTTTCTTCTTGAACATCAGGACTAGCAGCTAACATATCTGATCTCAAAGCACGAGCGAGATTCCGGATGATTAACGAAGTGAGAAAAGCTACTCCTGTTGGTAATCGACGTGAATCAATAGGAGTCACTTGAGCTGTGAAGATTAATCGATGAGTTTTAGGAGGTGGAGGAATGGGACGGTCAGTTATTTTGGAAGAGGCCAGAGTGAGGTTCGAGTCGGAAGGATGAATCGAGAGATATTCTGGGATTAGTGTAGATGAAGGGATTGGGAGATGAGTTGTGAGATGAGAAATGGTACATGGGGAATAAGAACATGTAGCCCATTCACATGATGTTGATGTGGAAGATGAAGGGAGATGAGAAATGAGATGTTCAAAAAGTTGAGTTGGGTTGGTGGGATGGACTAAACGTGGACATGAACGCCATAGACATGAAAAACGATCTTCTTCGTCTGACATCAGCATTCTCGCTCATTCCATATTCAAGAAGGCTAGTCGCGGCCCCGGGGAGAAAGGGGGGGGAGGAAGGGTAACAAGATAAAATGACCAGTTTCCAGGAGGAGTAAAGATGAGGAAGGAGTCGAGGAAAGCAAAAGGAGAGACAACCCACCACTACCTTTACGGAACCCAATCCCTGCAATGACAAATTTTTGACTCCCAGTCGCATCCGTCCATACACGAGCGCTGGCACCTGGAAAAGCGATGGTTACATTTTTGATGACTTCGCTGGCAGATAACATCTGTTCCACCGCAGCGGGACTGGCGAAGAATTCTCGGTAGGCGTGCCAGAAGGTCACTTGGGGTAAGTGAGCAATGGAGGAGTAAACGAATATTTCGTGCATCCTGACATGAGCAATTGCCAACTTGACTCGACACATTTCCCACGACAAAACATGATGACAAGTGTCCTCCGGAAGCCAGGTTCTCCATCTCCCTGTCGAATGGTGTAACACTCCAAAGGCTGAGACACAACAGAAGATGTACGCTTGAGCGAGTGGGGTAACGATGTAGTAAAGGTCGGAGGTGAAAGAATCTTTACTCACCATTGTATACTCCTTATCGGTTCCCTCATCGCATACAACCTAGCCTTTGTGATATTTGACAAAATAACAGGTTTATCACCCACTTCTACATCCACTCCTTTACCACCTTGAGTCAACATTATTTTCTGTGCTTGTTCCCTATCCATAGCCCTTCTCTTACTAGCTTCATCCGCCTGTGCAGCACTTCCTGCAGGATTACGTACCAACAAACCTTGGGTCCCTTGACGAGGTTCAAAACCCACTTGATAAGGTTTAGCAGCATATTCCAACAAACTCGTCAACACTTTGAGATGTTGTGCGAAATCCGACATGGTCAATATTGTCCTTGCATGGGTGGTATTTGCCGTCAAGGAGATCAAAAGGTCCAACACCATTTCCAATAGTCTGACCGGGGATAGAGTTAACAATCTTAGAAGATGGGATATGAAGTTTTCCGGTGGTTGAGATAAACCTGGCATGTTTTGTGAGACGATGAGAAGGGGGAGAAGACATTGAATCAAGGCAAGATCACGAGTTTCAATCAATAATCTAGGAAGGGTGATACTGAAGACTTTTGAGATATGTTCGGAAGTTGGAAGATGAGGATAGATTGAGTTTAAGATTACGAGGATATGTTGAATAGGTTCAGGATCCCGTAGGGAAAGAGATAGGATAAAGTCGAATGGTAGAGAAAAGAATCGAGCTAGGAAAGAAAGGAATGTTTGACGAGCAATTATATTGGCGTTGTTAGGTGATAAAGAAGCATTTCGAAGGATTTGTAAAGAGTTGGAAGCTCTTAAAGAGATCTTGGGATCTTTGGTCCATTCAGGTATAGCCCCAAGTGCTTTTTCATATTTAACTTCATCTTCAACCACGCCCATCTTCATCACTTCTTCGTAACCATCTTTCTCGTTCAACTCCAATGAAGATTGTTCCTCGTCGTGCGAAGCTGTCGGCCTGGTCCTTCTTCGTTTTTGACGATGAGAGTTGATACGATGTTGAGATTTGAGATGATCATACGCCGCTTCTCTCTCCAACATTTCAACCCATCGTTCTGGCCAATATTGCAAAGCAGCCACCGAATCCACCCATCCGGCAAGGTTGAAAGTTTCCAACTGCTCATGGCTCGCCAATACCAATCTAGGAAGAGCCCAATCGATCTCACCCTCTATACCGGATCGGAGCGAGAGGAACAAACGGTTCTTTGGTCCTGGATAAAGTTCCGAGGGATGAGGCGAGTAGGCAGGGGCGAGGGAACGTGTAGAAGGAGCGAGGTTGGATGGCTGTCCTGGACGATGTGGAGGGTGTGTTGAACGAGATATCTGAGATGGAAGATGGGGTAGAGAACCCTGTAAGAGGGGAGAACGTGTGGAAGAAGTTGTCATATCGACATTATGGTTGCGATATGATCAAAGGTGAGTTTATCGTTTGTGGAGAGACGCGATTTTTGGCAGTGTGAGAGGGGAAATTTGATTCCGTCAAACAATAACAACTCGAGAGGATTTCTTAGGATGTTGATCTTTTTAATGACCACGTACTGACCTCGGACAACACTTGCACACAGTACATCTTAATGCTCACGGGACGAGTAGAGATAATCATCATGCTCAAGAAACAATCAATGAGTCGGACAGACTGTTAGGAGTGAGACCGGTAAGAACTTAGGTGTTGATCCTCTCACACCGTCTACGGGTCACTCGGTGCCACTAGCCACTGCCCAGGTCAGTTGTTCAGCTATCACCAACACCTCCAACTGTCTCTCAATAAGAGATCAAGCACTTGTCAGACCTCGAGGGCAAGCCGATACAGCCCGGCACTCCCCAACGGTCCCAGTCGTCGTTACTACCGTATGTAAATATTTTGTTTCACTTCAAGTCTTCTCATTTGCCCTACAGGCCATCATGTCCTTTCACGCAAGACAGACGATGGAACGTGCAACATATCCACCTTCTCTCTGTCGTCATCTCTCGGTCGGATCAACACGTCTTCGAACATGGAGGAGGATAGTGAACAAACGATACGTGATAAGTGAGCACGCAAACCTCCCTGAATGTCAGAAAAGATGAAAGGATGTCGGATCGTTGACATCAAAGTCGAAACTTCATCCCTCCGCAATCTGTCACGTCGTGTGTCATCTGTCAAGTGGAAGAATGGAAGAATTTCACAATTCGTGTCATCATTTTTCCTTCTTTTTGTTTGATAGATTCAGAAACAAGTTACATCCATCCTACGACATATAAAGTGATCGTGAAGGAAATTAGTAAGTCCACTTCTCTTCTCCCATTTACATATCTTTTTCGCCACAACTTTCACCGACATATCAACTACTGAGCACCATTCCCACTGAATCACACGCGTAGATCTACTTATTTTCTAGCAACATGACTCGTCTTACCAGAACCACCTTCAATGGCAATGCCGATTTCTCTCGTACAGGTGGCGCGCCCTCTTCTACTGTTGACAACACCCAAGCGAACAACCAACCCCTACCTTTGACCACTACAAATGACAACAATGTATCTCAAGTTGAAACCCCGTCATCAACAGGAAATCCGCGTCCGAAACGTCCTGTCAAGATCCGAGTGAGTGTTTTCACTCCTGACGACGACGACGACGAGATCTACGAACAAGCCGATCTGAAGTTCACATTATCAGAACCTGATTCTTATGCCAAACTCGTGGAAGCTTTCCAATATGCCGGTCCTTCAGAATTGAGTGGATTTGCTATTCTCCGCGAGAATATGGAAGATGATCATGTACGAACGACGACTTCACAACTTAAATCAGAGGCTGCCTACGCAAAGTTATTGCCAGTGGTCAACGATACGGAAGTCAAATACAATGTGGATTCGGATGGTGATCCAGTGTATGAAATTGTGGATGATGATGATGATTATGTTGGACCCACTCAAGGGGGTTACCAACCTTTTGTGGGAGGACAAACACAAGGTGTTGTGACTTTATCACAAGTTTCTGATAACTTTCAGAATCTGCAAATCTCGAAGGATACTGGACCTGTATATCCAACGCCGAACGTTCCATCTGGTATGCTACCACCAGTCTATGGTGAGATTCCTGATCTGTCAAACGAGCAGCCTTTTGGGGCTAGCTCAGCGACATTTCCATATGGTGGAAATCCCAGTCAATCATACAACCAGCCGAGAAGGTCGGATATGAACGCTCGAAACCCTCCTTCAGCAAATTGGGACGGCCAACCGACTGCTCCCTTCCGATCGCGGGGGGATCGCGGGACTTCGGCACAAGCCCCGTCGTCGACCACTCGTCAACTCAATGCGTTCGGAGAACCGAATCGTCCGTCGGCCCAGTCGATGCACGACTTCATGTGAGGCTCGTAGTTAGGAATAATGATGTGTGATACTGATTTTTAATGATTGAAATTTGGTGTGACTGATGCAACGTATGTTACGACATGATCATCTTGACCGGAGAATCGAAGTTGATCATCTGACATTACTCGTACGCTTAACCATGGATGATATACGTCCAACATCGATATGTTTTCCATTGGCATTTCAGACCACACGCTGCACGCTGCACAATATTTCATCGATCAGATCATTCGAGCTCACCATCTAACGTGATCAAGTCGAAGCCCCAGTCAAATCTCGTAAATTCCCTTAGGAAGGCCACAAAACCTTTCTTCATCTGAAACGATCATCTTCTCCCTCTTTCCCCTTTCTCATGTCAACTTCGTCAAAGGGAAATGAATCTGATCGAAATCTCGTCATTTCGTCAATTAAAGAAGGCCAAGACATGTGAAACGCCCTCATGAGTTCAAAGGAAAAGAAAGGAAGTCTAAAATGTTAGAGGTCGAAACGTCCGATCAGGTCGGACAGTTTTCTCCGCTTGTTCAAACTTGCGGACTAAGCGACATAACGAAGTGGAGGTGACCTCGATATGTATGTCGAGAGAGACATTCGGACTTCATTTAAATATGTAAGGAAAGGTAGGACATGAGAGGTTTTCAAGTCATTTTCAACACCCTTTATCTGAGATTAAAGAAGGCCCATCAAGTGATTATATAAACATGTCTCCTTCTTTCTTTTTTCTTTCTTTTTCTCAATCCATCACTTTTTTTCCTTCTTCTCGACAATAAATTGAATTATATAGAATCACTTATTCTGCTTATTATTTGATCAAATCCATAAATCCTATCATTCAAGAGAGATAATATTATCTAGATCATCATAAAGAGAAAAACGATAACGACAACAGAAAAACAATAACTATCAAGATGACACGTAGGAGATCAGCTACTTCCAAAGCTCGAGATACAAAACAACCAACAACACTTGAATCCATTGCAGAGAGTCCTGCAGACGAAATCAAGTCAACCCCTTCCGTTCAAACTGAAACCCAAACACCAACTGAGACCGATCCTCCTAATGAAGAAACTAGTACTCAGAACCAACAAGAAACCATGACTCAAATACAAAACCAAGATGAAGATTTCTCATCTTCATATCATCGTCATACCAGACTCAAATTCACCATTTCTTCTCCACGTGAATTCGGTAAAGTTGAACGTACTTCACTTCGATTCAACGTCGATTCCATTGAATCATATCAACAAGTCATATCTGCATTATCTGCAACGTTACCTGATGATTTAATCGCTTTCGGTAGATTAGCAAGAACAGATGACCCAGTTCATGGAAGTCTATTGAATCATGAATCAAAAGGAAAACAATGGATAGAATTGAATAAATTAGCCATTAATATTGAACATTCTTCAAAAAGTAGTGATAGTTACCAAAGTACCACAAGTGCTGGAACTATCATGATTGATGAGGATGATGAAGATTTTGAACGATTGATAGAAGTTGATCGAGTTTTAATGAGGGATGACAAGGGTAGAATGAGAACAATAAGTGTTGTTATGCCTTCTGGATCAATTGATACTTCTAAATTGACTTCATATCAAGTAAATAAAACAAATGGGGTTGAACCTACACAGATACAGACACAAATGTCTTCGATTCCTCAAACGAATTTGAATTCATCCGTTTCTCAACGTCCGACAACTACAAAACCCAGAAATATCCAAGAGGGACAAAATGTTCCTAGGAAGTCTAGTGTTGGAGCAAATACGAAAATCCCATTGAATACACAATCTTCTGTTGTACAGTCTCAAGGACATGTTACAAAGTCTAATATTACAAGAGTACCACCTCCTGGAAGATCTACCAAAATGACAAGAGGACAACCTCCAACTCGATCAAATATAAGTAATCAACATAAGGAACCATCAATGGTCTCGTATATACCTCAAGATTCTCAGAATCAACGTCCTTCTATTCCACCTCCCCCTTCAATGAACACTACTCATATTCCCTCTATGAACAACAGTCGTGTTCCAGCAAGGACCAATCCTCACCCACCAAGGAAGGGACCAGAACCAAGTTCAAAACCAAGTGTAAGTCTAGATGAACTAGCATGTCTTATCAAAGATGTTGAATCACGTACGTCCGCACTTGATTCAATGCTGTCCAGCATGAGGATATCAAACAATGGACAATCAACCATATCCACAAATACTGTACCAGTAGGAAATCAACATACTACTATTCCTTCTAATCAAGGTACTCCGGCACCATCTTCAATAGGAACAGGAAGAATGATGAATCCACCAATATCAACCTTCCCTTTCAATAGTCAAATATCTCATCCGGAGGTTCCGAGAAATGTGGAATACCAACAATATCAACCATCACAATATCCTACGAACGGTAATATGGTTTCTTTCCCTACTCAGAGGTATTATCAAGTTTCACAACCTATGAATTCCGAAGTAATGTATGTACAACCTCCGCCTCCACCAGAATGGTTTGGTCCAAGTCAAGTTAATCAACCGAGTATGACATACCAACCATCAGGTCGTATTTATACAACCTCGAGTCAGAATCCACCTGGCGGGGCTGATTGGCCTTTTGTAGATCCTTTGAATGAGTTTTAACTCTATCAAGTGAAGATATCTTCTGATTGATTTGTTTATACAGTATGGAGAAATGCATGGAATGAGTGTGATACTGTTCGTTGTGATTGATAAGTTGCATTCACACAACACACAGATGAAGACTGGGATATGATTTTCATTTGATGATGTTTCAGACATTTTTTATTCAATCTTCCTCTCCTGCTTTTACAACTGCCTGAGCTAATTCACCCAGTTCAACATCTCCCATAGGATCCCCAAGATCTGTCTCACCTCCATCACCTTCTTCATTCTCATCTTGTTCACCCTCCGTGACGCCATTGATAGAAACACTCCCTTTCCTCTCTTCATCTCCTTCCTCTTCATCTTCAGAGTCCTCGATGTATTCTTTCGATTTACTACCTCATTAGCCATGATTACAAAAGAAGCGGATGAAGCATTGAGTGGACTTACAAGCTCTTCCCTCTTCTAGGTTCTTCCTCGACTTTCTTCTTTCTCTTCGCTCTCAAAGCTTCCAAAGCCCCTCTAGCTTTGTCCTTTGAATCCTCTTCTTCAACCTCACTACCAGCCTGATCAACCTCCATATTATCCCTATTCTCATAAACTAGATCTTCCTCATCACTCAAGATCTCGCTCTTACTCCTGACTTTTCTACCTTTCTTTCCTTTCCGTTTCTTCCCCCCTAAACCCTCATCACCACTATCACCATTATCTTTCTTTCGTTTCTTCTTATCAGCAGCTGCAGCTTTCTTGGCCCTTTCCTCCATCTCACGAACGTTCATTTCTTCTTGCCAAGCGTGAGCTTCTTCTCTCTCTTTACGTCGTTGCTCGGCTAGTTCAGCAGCTTTAGCTTCGATCTCGGCACGACGAGCCGCTTCTGCGGCTTGTATACGGGCTTGTTCTTCTGCACGTATACGACGGGCTTCTTGAACCCGGGCTTGAGCTTCCGCTTCGAAAGATTCTTGTCGTGAAAGTTGATCGGGGGCACGACGAAGAAGAGTGTCACCATAACGTGCACGCTGATCGGCAAGATCGGGGTCATAGGGTAATGCGCCGCGGTCTTCGGCAAGCGCTCGGAAGGTGCTATGTGGTCAGTAGTAGTTCAACAGTCAAATACAAGAAGTCTCAGCGGGACTCCTCAAACAGTCGAGGGTAGTCTGGCAGACGTCCCCCGGTGGGATGATGAGAGTGAAGCCAAGAATGAACGATGAGACATGGATGACTTATAGATCCGAAGCGAGTTTGAACCTTGGCAAACATGTCAATGAGCAAAGTTGACTCACTTCGCAGCCTGTTGAGCTTGCCGTAATGCCACATGAAGCTCTTCCAAAGTCCTCTTACTGGGTTCAAGCCCAAACAGCATCTCCGCCGCCTTCTGTTGTATCATAGCAATATTATATAATATGGCTCGATCGTTAGGTTGGATATGCATAGCCTATTCATCAGCCGACTTCCCCTCACCCCACAGTTCTCGACAAAAGTCAAGACGAATAAACTTACACGTTGACAGAACGACAAAGCTTTGGACATGGCAGAAAAGTTGGATTCCCGATTAGCATAAGCATACCACGCTCTTGCGAGATACAGAAGTACCGGCACGTTTCTGCCTTTGTGGTGATTATCAGCAGCTTCGTACTTCCTAGTCAGCTATATACCGATATCCAGTCTTCTGAGAAAATAACATTACTGGAAAAGGGCAAAAACTCACAGACTGTATAGCCTTATCCTCTTCTCCCCTAACAAAGAAGGAATGTCCGATATTGACATGAACGCTTCCTTCTTGTATACTATCCGCTATTCTACTGAACACTCCCAATGCTTGTCCAGCTAATCTCATACGGGCTTTCATCTCTTCAGCCGTCCCCACTGCCGCACCGAGTGGTTTCAGAGCCAATGTATCCTCTGCCAAAGCTATCGCCAGACCTTGAGCCGCCATAGCACAAGCAGGATCCAGTGTCAAGGCACGTTCGTACGCTTCGGCAGAACGGAGATATTGTTTCGTACGTTCTGCCAATTCGGACGTCGATTTGGCCTCTCGACCTAGGGTGAAGTGGATCCATCCCAGAGCGCAGTAAGTGAAGACGTCTGCTCGTTCGAGTTTGAGTGTTTGAGAAGTGAATGCGAGGGCTTCTTTGAGAGATCCAAGAGAGATGAGGAAGTGTGTGTAAGTGGATCGGAGGGTGATGTTTGATTCGTCCGACTTGAGACATTCTTTCAGGAGGGTATGAGCATCAAAGTTACGTCCGGCAGCAGCGGCAATACAAGCCAGTCGCACTTTGGCTGGAATGTCAGCATCGGTCCACATGTAGCGAATTCGAAAGGGAGGTTTCGAGGGGGTGACAAGGGAGTCACGAAAAGGTAAGACATACACTCCATATGTTCGGGATGTTGCCGCAGAACGTCTCTGTACCACTGTGAAGCCTTTGTGGTCTCTCCAGCCTCTTCATACGCTCTTCCTAAGTTGAACGCCAATATAGTCCTCATTTCCTCGGCTTCTTTCCCTGCTTCATTGCCCAATCTCTGCAAAGCTTCCTGGTACATCCTCTCAGCCGTATCGGCGTTCCCTTGCAATTGATATAGCGCCCCTAAATTGCTCGACATTTTCACAGCCCTCTGATCTACTTCGACCTCACCTCCTTCGTCGACGATCGTCTCGACTCTACCAGACACGGCAGTCTGGTAAGCTCCTATAGCCTTCTCCAGACTTTCCTTCTGCCACATCTTAGCGAGATCAAGAAAGACATCCGTGTCGTCGGCGATGTGTCGAACTTTCGCCATGTCCTCGTCTGTCTCAGCGGACTGGATCACCGAATGTAGCTCAGTGAGCATGGCTCGGGCTTTGGACCGGTTGCTGGCGAGTTCGGCGGACGACATTCCAGGATGAGGATAAGCGAGGAGGGAGGCGTGCATGACCACGTATTCCATAGGACCTTTACCAACTAGTCTAGGAGTGAGACCGTCCATGAAGTTGAGAGCTTCTCGAAGATTTCCTACTTGTCAGTCTCGCAGCAAAGCTTTGCACAAACCTCACCTCCTTGTATGGCGATTTGCGCCAGAGTGAGATCAGCAAGAATATTGGGTACTCCTCCATCGTCTTGACGAGCAGCTGTCAGGAAAGGTGTAGCATCTACTAGATCTTGCATGATGAAACCCATTCTTCCTCGTTCGGTATTGGCGAGTACAGCGTGTCGTTTGTTGTCCGCATACTGGATTGCTCTTTCTGCTAGTTTGGACGCTACTGCCGTTTGACCGTTTTGCCCGGATACGCTGGCTAAGGTCAGTGCTGCGGCAGCATTTTTGTTGTTGAGCTTGAAAGCAGATTGGACGTATGCCACACCCTCCGCGATGAGTTGGGCTCGGTCGTCTTCGGCCGTCGCTGGTTCTCGAGCCGTGTTGAGTGCCGCAAATCCAGTGAGCAGCATACACGTCCATGATGAAGGATCCTTCAGCGTCAATTGCTGAGATGTAGGTAAGAAAACAGGCACGTACTCGCTGCAGAGCTCGTTCCCAAGCAAGCCTAGCTTTTTGTTTGTCACCCAGCATCCATAGACAAAGTCCAATGCCGATTCTGGGATCGGGACGCATCTCAGGATCCAAGCTAAGGAGTTTTTGATACGTTTGTAGAGCTTGTTCGTGAGCTCGTCGAGCGAATTGCAGACGAGCATGAGCGGTCAGAGCCACCAGATTATTGGGTTGTCGTCGAAGAAGACGTTCGACCATAGGCTGTGCGGTGCCCGGTTGTCCTCTTGCGAGATATAATATGACTATACTGTATCAGCTATGTACGTTGCGTCGGGGTTTGAAACACTGACTTTTGCCCATAGGAACAGCTATTGGCTCATCGTCCGGTCCCGCTCCAGATGCCATTAAAGCTTGATCAGCCTTGTTCAAGTTGGCGGCAGCCTCGGTAAAGTGATCTTCCTTGACTTTGACGTTGGAAGGTAATTTGTCGTATTCTGACTCGGTGAGCCAACCATCGACGCAACGAAGGATGAGACTGACTGGCATGGGGCAAAGAGACCTTTGGAGCAGTCCGAGAGAGGGCTAGGTGAAGATGCGCAAGCATAGCATGCAGGTTGACCAATGCCATATGATCTGTAGGTCTTCCAACACCGCCTGTAAAGACTGACGGTCAGCCGCCGTGGGATGGGGTCCCGGACATGCTCACAATGAATGCCTTTCTGCAAGAGATCCTCCGCTCTGGACCATCTTGACCTCCTCCAGTGCTCGCCAGCTATGAGGGTCCAATCTCTGCACTCAGCCGAGTAATCTGCCAACAGGTCCGGTATGACATCGGCTACTTCGTCGTCACCCAGCGTGTCGAGGTCGAGGTCGGTCTGGATCCCTCTGGCCTGTCAGTGCCACTCACCGTCGCTCACAAATGTACTAACCCTTGACCAACGATGACGACCACTCGGGCAGCAGGTTGAGCCTCCTCAATGCTGACAGACATGACGCCTGAAGATATGTGACAACTTCGGAAAAGACGGTTCGGCAAGTGGTTATGGTAGGAAGCTAGATAGGCGCGCGGAGGGCATCACAGGGGCACTGATAGGCGTGGATCGAAACTAGTCGCTTAATGGAATGAGTCGAATTTTGAAGATGGCTACGAAACTAAGCTACAACTCGGTATACTATATAACATCTCGCCTCTGAGGGGCTTTCATGACCATCACCCATATCCACAAGTATCTCACAGCACAGCTCTCCACACTCAACAAGCTTGTCGTACTCGCCACACCATCTCACTCATCTCGGACAGCTCTTCTCTCTTCCTCCCCTTTGTTCAACCTCCGCGCTCGAGCCATGTCTACAGCAGCCACCCATCCCATATCTTCCACCTCTCAGCCTCCCAAGGCAGCAGAACGTCTCGAACCAGTCACACCAGGTGCCAGTGCTACCAAACCGCATGCCAGTGATGAGAAAGGCGTCAAGGAGAAGCCCGCCAAGGCTAAAAAGGACAAGAAGGCGGGTGGTGGTGATGGCGGACCTTTGGAGCTCAGTCCTCCTCCCGAATACTTCTCCGAGCGTATCAAGATATACGACGAGTGGAAGGTTAAATATGACAAATGGGTTGCAGGTGAGCGTTTACTTAGTGGAATGTGTCTTATCCACCACTGATCATGTCAGAACAACCACGAGAACCAATCACCGTCACTCTGCCTGATGGCAAACAGGTTCAAGGGACATCATGGGAGACCACGCCTTTACAAGTGGCCAAGGATATCTCTGCGTCTTTGGCAGATCGGATCATCATTGCCAAAGTGAACAATCAGGAGTTGTGGGATCTCACTCGACCATTGGAAACCTCATGTACCCTTGCCTTGTTGGACTTTGATTCACCGGATAACAATTATGAAGCTCGACAAGTATTTTGGCACTCGTCAGCCCATGTTCTAGGAGAGGCGTGTGAGAGGAGGTACGATGGGTGTTGTTTGGGTTATGGACCTCCTTTGGAAGAAGGTGGTTTCTTCTATGATATGGGGCTAGGAGGAGGTAAAACTATAGGAGTCGAGGATTACAAGGGTATAGAAGAGGTCGCGAGGTTGGCTGTCAAGGAGAAACAACCTTTTGAACGTCTGGAGTTACCAAAAGAGGTTCTGTTGGAGATGTTCAAAGTCAGTCACCTCTCATATCATCAATCTCATTGAGCTGACAGATAGTATAACAAATACAAGCAATACTACATCAATGACAAGGTACCAGATGGTACAAGGACGACCGTTTATCGTTGTGGACCTCTGATTGACTTGTGTCTTGGACCCCATGTTCCTCATACGGGCCGCATCAAGTCTTTAGCGGTGACAAAGGTGGGTCATTGGTTGCACCCTGACATAGATCAGCAGTTCGCCTCGTTGATGGCATTGTACTCTAGATGACAGATATGAATTAACCAGTAGAACTCCTCCTCCTACTTCCTCGGCGACGCTAAAAATGACTCCTTCCAACGTGTCTACGGCATGTCATTCCCGGATTCAAAGCAAATGACAGAGTACAAGAAGATGCTTGAGGAGGCGGCCAAGCGTGATCATAGAAAGATTGGTAAAGATCAAGAGTTGTGGCTGTTCAACGATTTGAGTCCGGGAAGTGCCTTTTTCTTGCCAATGGGCATGAGGATACAGAATACCCTGGTTACGTTCATGAAGGTGCGTTTCACCAAGTCCAATATATCATGCCTCTATAGTTTTAACAATGCTCGCTGCCATCGTTCCTTTCACCGGTCTTCTTTTACCAATCTAGGCGCTCCAGACATGACGGCCATCGCTGACCGTACAGGCCGAATATCATAAACGTGGCTTCTCCGAAGTTGGCTCACCTAACATGTTCAACTCCAAACTCTGGGAAACGTCGGGTCATTGGCAAAATTATTCCGAGGATATGTTCAAGCTCAAAATTGATGACGATACGTTTGGTCTCAAACCAATGAACTGTCCCGGACATTGTTTGATCTTCGATTCTCGGGATCGAAGCTACAAAGAGCTACCATTGCGTCTGGCAGAGTTTGGTGTGTTGCATCGGAACGAAGCCAGTGGGGCGTTGTCTGGGTTGACAAGAGTGAGGAGGTTCGTTCAGGATGATGGTGAGTTTGCTTATAGCGTCGACTGATCATTCACCTTTACGTACCGCACATTTCCCGTTACCGACGTTAACCATTACCCTCCGACTTCTACCAAGCTAATCCTCGCGAGGATGTAGCGGAAAATGAGAAGAGACTGGTAAGATCAACGACCTGACATATAGCGCATATTTTCTGCACCGTAGACCAGGTCGGATCAGAAATAGCAGCCGCTTTCGATTTCCTCGAGGCCGTCTATGCTCCCTTTGGCTACAAATTCAAAGTTGGCTTGTCTACTCGTAATCCTAGCAAATGGGTTGGAGATCTCAAAGTGTGGGAGAGAGCAGAGAAGACTCTTGCGGAGGTACTTGAACAGCGAATGCCGGGACAATGGGGGTACAATCACGAGGACGCTGCGTTCTACGGTCCAAAAGTGAGTTCTCATACTCACTACTCACTTTCCCTGTGTCGCATTGATGTTGTTTTCCTTGAGCAGCGGTCCGGGTTCCGTTTCCTGCACATAGCGCAAATGCAAGAGCTCAAGCTGATCGTAGCTTGATTTCCGAATGACTGACGCTCTGAGACGTGAATGGCAATGCGGAACCATCCAGGTTAGTCTCTTTCACTTCTAGAAGATAAGTGCTCATTATGACAGCTCGACTTCAACCTACCTGAAAGATTCAATCTGAAATATCGTACATCTGATGCGGCCACAGCGACGGGAGAGGAAGCTACAGCTCAGTTTGCTAGACCTGTCATGATCCATCGTGCGATCTTAGGTTCTATCGAACGTTTCCTTGCGATCTCAGCGGAACACTTTGGGGGGAAATGGTAGGTCTATTCACCTCGTTCAACTGGACCATATCTTTCCTTAAAGTCTTTCAACTCACCTACTTTATGTTCCCCAGGAAATACCTAGTTTTTGAAACATCCCTACGCAGCCTCTGGCAGACATTTGGCGATCGCGATGGTCACGCGGGTCAAATACTACCATGAGAAGATTTCAGTGCTCACTTTCAGGCCTTTCTGGCTATCACCTCGACAAGTCGTTGTCATTCCCGTCGCTGCGCCATTCAAAGAATACGCAAACAAGGTGGCTCAGACATTATGGGATAAAGGTTTATTTGCCGAGGCGGATCTATCCGATAATACATTGAACAAGAAGATTAGGAACGCTCAGACCGCTCAGTGGAATTTCATCATGGGTAAGCAATTGGTCCCTTATGCTCTCCTCGCTCGTTTCCACAACAACTCACCTCCTTCATCAATTTGCCTACTCTGCAATATCATACTCGTACGATATGCCACGCCAGAACATTGAGAAGGCGAACTGGTAGTTTCAAAAAAGAGATTTATGCTGACAGACAAGTGGTCGGTCAAGATGAACTTACCGCTCAAGCAGTCAATGTACGTCAAAGAGATGACGAAGTTCAAGGACGAGAAGAGACGATCAAGGTTGATGTGGTGTTGGAGAAGTTACTCAAGTTGAAAGAGTCAAAGTCACCCTTGAGCAAGCTGGATCAGTGAGAGAGGAGTAGAGGATGAGGTCAGTACATGCATATCTTTCAAATACTGTCGTCTCTTCCGAACACGACCCGAGCGTCTCGAAGCTGTCCAACAAATCAACCATCTAATCTGATTCTCGAGTTGACGGGCTCGATGTTAGACTTACTTCGTCTGTCTCCGGGCCGCTGACTGCTTTCTCGGGACTGTGTGAGGACGTACGTTGTGGTGACCGGGTATCGCTTCGGCGTGGGTAAATGATACGTACATGACCAGTCGGGTTTTTTTCTCTTTGAGCTTCTTTTATTACCGCTACAAAGTTCACTACTTGTATTGATAAGTTGCTGGTATCGCCCCTACAGAGCGTTGGTTTTTCTCTGGCATAGTTGTCACCGACAGCTTTCACCTGCCGATCTCTCCCTCTTCCTGGCCGTAATACAACGCCTTCTACTTCCAACGATGGTGGTTGTCCACGTGACCGTAGTGCAGATTCAGCAGTATGGGACGATTTCAGTTTCAAATGAGCATCAGACGCAACAGGTGTTTTGGATGGGGATTCTGAGCGGGGCCTTCTTTCGAATCCTCCATTACTCTCCTCTTTCGCGGCTATCGTTTCGGTGTCGTTAGGTTCCTTCTGTACAGAGGAGACTTCGGTACCTGTGGGGGAAGACGAAAGAAGAGAAAGTGTATTATCAGTCATGTCGTCGTAATTCCTTCTGACCAGTCAAGTTCCCTCATATACTTATCACTCACAGAACTCAAGGGTCCGATCAGAGCGGAAGTCTTTCAAATAAACACAGGATGTAAAACAACGGAGAGTAGGTCTGAACATGAATTATCTCGTGGGGATGTTCGTCAGAAATGAATGGGCGAAGAAACAGAAAAATCAGAAAGTGGATATCCTTTGGAAGATGTGGGAAGTGAGATTTGGGGGATATGACCAATGGGGAAGATGGAAGAAATTGAGTGATGGTTCGTTGTCGGGGTTGGTGGTTATCGGACGGATCTTGACCTATCGCGATTTTTCTTGTTCCGGTTCGAGAGAGTTCTGACAATGGATTGTAAACGGATCAGGGAATGGTACGAAATCTTAGGTATTTTTGGATTGTCGTGAATTGATTGGGCAAGGGGAGGAATGTGAATGTTTGATATGGAGTAGAATACCTGGAGGTCAGCTATGTCCAAGATGGCGAGATTATTTTGGGAGATGTGAATTCACTCACCTGTAGAAGGGCGGCACCGCGGGTTAGCGATGGAAGAATAGGATGATATTGTACTTCTGATATTTTAGCTGGTAGCTCAAGGTAGATCAGATACGAAACGAAAAGTTGTCAGCGATGGTATCAAGAGCCTCTCTATATCTGACATCGATCAACTGCTCACGTCCACTGATGCATTCTCATACGACGAGATTATGATCAGTCTCCCATCTCCACGTCCGAATCTTCATTCGTACTGGCCTTGTCCACGTTCACTGATCCTCCACCCGGCAAAGTAGACTCACTGGTCCGAGGCGCCCGTTTCCGCACTAGGCGGCCAGCGGACCCGCTGGCCCTGGGAAGGGTGGACTTGACGACTCTCCTCGACGGAGCCCCAGTCCTACTGCTTGGTGCCAGGACCTGCTTCCTGACTCTGGCGTTCCGTGCACTTGTCAGCTTGGACGATTGAGCGTCCTGGCGGTGACTTGGAGCGGAACGTGCTGCACTGATGCTTCTGCCCGGGCCTGCATACATCTCCATGTCCTCGTCAGGATCATTCAAGGCGGCGCTAACAGCGGACATTTGGGTGATGGCAGAAAAGGCGCCGACGGTGGTCATTGGGCTCTGGGTCGGAGCAGAGGAAACGGACAAAGTTTGCTTGGCATCGTCATTACCTTCTTCCTCCCCGGAATCCGAAGGAAGATCCACGGGTTTTCTTTTTGGAGCTCCAGGGGGAGGCGTATTTGAACCAGCTTCTGACATCGAGTTTGTATTATTTGGAGATTCTGTCAACCTGTGTGTGAAAAATGAGTTCAAATAGGGATGTTGAATGAAGTATCAATAATGAGAAGAATTATGAGTGGCAGCAAAACTTAGTATAGTAGCCTATAGCCCGGCGGAGCTGATTCTCGAACTCCACAGTGTTTCAACTAGTTTTGTGCTTCGACCTTTCCTTCGTGTTGGCGTCCCGTCCTATAGAGGACGGCGTCATGGGTGGTGAAGAAAGGTTGGGACAAGTTGGAAGGCCGACCCCGAAGGTCGAGCGGACTAAAAGGCCGTGAGGCGGTGATGATGTCGTCTCCGAATCAACGTTTCTCACGACATGTCGACAAGAAAAGCGAGGAGGTTTGATAGGGTGTTCCCCATGGCACTGACCTCGGAGGCGTAGGTTGAAACACGAAACGGCCGAATGTGTTGACCGGTAGACCGGAGATGATCCCTTCTTGGTCGTCAAGAAGGAAGTTGCCAGAATGGGGTGGAGAAATCTTCAACTCCCTCTACCTTGCTTGGATCGGAGATGTAAGCTCGGGCTTCGGCCTCTGTCGTTGATTGAGTAAAGGGGTGAGGATATGAAAGTGGCGACTTGTAAGACGTTTTGATGAACGACTTAGTGTGGACTCGGTATCCTTATTACACTTGACTACCGGTGACCAGTAGTGATTGAGTTTACATAACACTAATATCAGCTCAGTCTAGTACATCATGTGCTAGATCAGCGGCATTGATGACTGTATCCGCACCAGTAGCCATCAAGGGGAGGGAGTGTCAGACATCGAACACATGGCAGATCCAACACCAGACACACAGTCCTCTCTCGATCTCACTCTGCAGGAGAGGGTCGAAGTTTTTACTGATAATCAGATGATACATAACGGCAGAGGGGAAAGAGAGCATGCATCGATTCTACATGTCTCTATACTTATCATATTCCCACTCACACGCAGTAAACCAGAGACGATCGAATAAAGTTCAGAGGATAAGTTGAGCGGAGCATCACCGAGATTGAAAGGAGGATGTCCACATCAAGAAACGAATGACGTATACGATATGAAGTCAAAAAAGAGGGTTTTTGGAACAAACTCACACACTGCTTTCAACCTCTTATTCTAGTTTCCCTTGCTCTCCTCTTTCCCCCTCGCCCTGCCCCTCTATGTGTAACTTATGTCTCTCTCTATTCTTCCCGAAAAACGACATCAATCCCATCCGCGATGCCCCCTTGCCGTCGATTATCCCTCTTCGACATGGGATTAAACTGCGTGTTCCAGCGGACCACTAGCGTTTCCAAAACCTCGACCTTTCGTAACCTCTTTGATTTCCCACGTCGACTTGGTCGATCGCGTGTCCTAGATCCGCTATATGCACACCGTCCGCATGGTCCTATCGTGGAACTGTCCGTTAGCGACTCGATATCATCAGAGTCGACACCAGACGTCAGTAGTCATCACTTGCATGATTAGTACAAAATACAATATGTGCCTTGAGTTAGTCCGAAGAATGCTATGTTAATGTTTCAATCACCCACTTCTCTCCATTCTCGCACTTCGCCTGCTTTTCCTCAAATCACTTTACACCACCACCTCCTGGCCACTTCCTATGATTTACTTGTCCACTTGGACCTAGCGTAATGTTCCAAAGAACGGAGAGAGACTTGAACTTTCGACCGTCAACTCCAACTCACATGACGACACACCCATCATCCTCCACCGGCTTACTGACAAAACCCATTTCTGCAAAAGTTTGAGGTCCTTCCTTCCTCTCTCTCTCAATCTCCCTGATTCTTTCCCTCTCCCTCTCTCTTTCATCCATCTCCCTTCCTCCAAATACTCCCTGCACATTTCCCACTCGACTGTCTTGCAACGCGTACACCCTATTTCCATCTCTTCCCGGGATAGACGCACTGATCGGGAAATCTCCGGATCGAGGTGATACTAAACCGGGGCTTCTCGATGGACGAAGGTGTTCCCCGTTGTTCACGTATCTTTGTGGCTCTCTGGAAGGAACAGGCATTCGAAGAGGGGTGAGATATCGTTGAGTGGTAGCCATGATTTCTCCTGGACGTGGATTGGGGGAAAAGATGGGTTCACCTTGTTGAACAGGTGGTACATCTCTGGCTGCAGCTCGGGCGGCAGAGTCTGCTTGTAGACGGAGCGATTCTTCTTGTCTTCTACGCTGAACTATGGCTTGAGCAGGACGATGGATGGAAGTTCTGTCAGAACGGATCTTGGCGGCTGTACGTTTGCGTACGAGAGTGTCTTGGACGTGGGTTTCGTGTTCTTGCATTGATATGGCTCGTGGGACAGGAGCAGCGAGAGCAGCAAGACGAGCGATGGCATCGGTATTCTGGAGCTTGGCAGCCTGTTTGTCAGAAACTATTTGCTTGGTAACAAACAGCTCTAGGAACCTTGACTGAAGACGAGTGTATGAGACTGATTTGGGTGGACAGTGTCAGACGTTTGAATTCTATGAACATGAGCGTCGAGGATAGGCTCACCTTATTGTACCATTTGGTAGCTGAGACGATATCTTTCCTTCCTCCAATACCGAGTCTACAAGTCAACATCTTCCGTCCTTTGACTTCAGGGGAGAATATGGATGGCGAGAGATGTATGAACTTACTCATAATAATAACCCATTGCAAAACACCCATTAGGATGACCCTTCCTAGCTGCCTTCTCAGCAAAAGTCCTTGCCAGCTCTTCATTCTTTGCAAAATGAGGTTCTGCCCCACACAGAAACCACTTGCTCAACGCCATATCCGCCTCCACCTCTCGTCCCTGCGATGCGAGGCTATACCATTGAACACTCATTAGAGGATCGTACGCACTGCCCAAGGCGGCGTGCTCGTATATATAGCCCATTTTGTATTGTGCGGCGGGATGACAAAGATAAGCAGCCCGTTCGATGGCTTCTTTGGCTCGGACGTGCTGAGCAATGATAGTCTCGGGTGGGGAGTCGGCAGGTAGAACGAGATGAGAGGGGAGAGGTTGGGGTATTTCTAGTTCGTTGGCCAGTAACATGCCGTATACGTATGCTAGATGAGGGGCGTCTATGGTGGCGAGGTCTGCGGCGGTGGAAAGGAGTGGGAGAGCGATATCGGGGTTTGATGGGAGGGAGAGTTGACCGAGAAGATGGGCCATTCCAAGGCGCTTTGAATTAGTATGATTTCTTGAGTCATGATCACCACGACGTCAGGAAAACAGGAATGAAATGAGACATACATGAGAGCCGGGGAGATGTGGAAGGAATAAGTGATGTTGCTTGTCATCGAAAACAGGCAAATCTTGACTCACATATGTACATTCTCCATCCGCCTTGTTTTTACCCCTCTCGAAACAGTCTTTGGCTCTTTGTACATCCCCAACACTTTCATAATCCCTTCCTAACGTGAACCATCCCCTCACTTCACCTCCCTTCGCCGCAATCTCGAACTCCTTGAACGCCGTCCTTGGGTCTTTAGGTACCAACTCACATGTTCCCGAAGCCATCAGGGTCGCTTTCAGATATCCTGCTCTCGCCGCCAAAGAAGCGTCCTTGCTCTTACTCATTTCCAAGATGATCGGGACTGCCTGTTGGAGCAAAGAAGTCAGAGCAGAAGGTATGGGTCGGGAGCTTCCTTTACTGATCCCATCGGAAGGCTTGTGTTTCTCCAGAATACGTAGTACGTCTTGCGCCCAGGCAAGACGATCGGGTTCCGGGGACGAATCGAGGGTCGGAGCGGAGAGGAGAAGGGCATCGATTTTGGGGAAGGGAAATGTGAGAGGAGGGGCGATAGCTGTTGAAGACGAAGATGAGGGTATGGAGGAAGGGTTTTGAAGGGATGAAGGGTGTGGGGGGTTCATGGTTGGTAAAGAAGGAGGATAGTGAAGAGGGATAAGTGGAGGAGGCGAAAGTGTAGGAAGGGAGGAGAAGGGGAGGAGATTTGTGGAATGAGAGAAAGTTCGATTGTGTGTGACGGGAGGGGGAGGAGTGGACTAGAGATGATCAGCAATGGACGTGGCAATATCTTGACGAGACTCTGAGAAGACAGGGATCGCATTTGATAGAGGTTGGTGGGGAGGTTGTATATCAGAATGGAATATCTTTAACGTCATTCCGGCATATGAAGTAACCTTACGGAAGAATAGATGATAAAGTCAAGGCGGCAAGGCGGAATATGAATACCACTCACCTGTTCTGACGTTACATAGTCATCATAACTCATACTCCTCATCGGTCTCATTCTAGGACCATCATCATCTCCTTGACTCGTCTCACTCGTCCCTCTACTCAAACTAGGTCTTGGCCTTCTCAACCTCATATCCTCATCTACAGGAATTCCATATGACAAACCATCAACGTTGTGCCCCGCCGTCGGATGATGAAAAGTTTCGGTAGTGTCCTCCACCGGGAAGGTGTTGACAGAATCAGGTAAAGAGTCCGCGTAGCTAGGCGGAGGTACACGTCGGATGGTGGTGGAACTGGATGAACTACTTGCTATCGAACGACGAGTCGATGGGTAGGTGGACCAATCTGGCTGAGGGGATATGGGGATAGGTAAAGCCGTGAGTAGTGTTCGGTGGCCTCGGTGGAGGTAAGCCATGTTGTCAGGTCTCCAGGTTTCTCGGTGGCGTGGATGTTCAAAATGGGATTGGGTGGTTGTCAAGACAAGAGATTTTGAGGGGTGAGAGCAGGTTTGAGAGGTTGGACGAAAGGACCTCTTCACGTCATTCCGGATAGAGTTGGATGTCGATACCGATGGCGATGCTCTTCGAGTTGGCGGCTGTGGTGTATGCTGGGATGTTCTAAGCCTTTCCTCCATTCAATCTTTCGGTCGGTCCACTCGCCGTCGCCGTCGCAGCCGGATGTACCGCCGTTCTCGCCGTTTCGTCTCAAGAAACCTGAAACATCATGGTATCGGCATTCGCCGTAAGTACAGCGTACCGCCCGGTGTATGAGAGACAAAACGCATAGTCCAGACGCCCTCGTAAGGACTTCCAGACCGAGCCAGATATTGAGCGAGTGAGCAAGCCGAAGCGAGCCCAAGACGAAGTCGTTCCCTAAGATCTTTTGAGTCGCTGTGCAATGGGGAATGACAAAGTCTAACGTGCCTCGTGAGTGATGGAGGCTTTGCCGTTCAAACAAGGTAAGTTTCGCCATTCATTTTACCCTTTTCGCGCGGCTGTCCGTGCTCAGGAGTATTCCTCCTCAAGGGGTCATGGGTATATAAGATCTACCTACTTGTCCTTCGATGTATCTCCTATCCCTTCGCGATCCTTCTTACGAGTACCCATGCTTGTCCTTGACCTCTTATTCTTATCTCCTTCCTCCTTATCCTTATCATTGTCAGTCCTTCGGTCATTGGTACTACTTTCATTTTTATTCTCCTCTTGCATATCCGATCGTTTCCTTTTGAGGTTGGCTTGGTTCGTGATAGGTTTGGGTTGGGCCGTGTGGGTGGGGTTGTGTTTCGGTCGCTTGGGGAGTGGTTCGGTGGGCAGGGGGTATCTTTTCTGTGGAATGAGGAATGGGAATGGGTTGGAGGTGTTAGAGGGTTTGTGGGGCCCGTGAGGGGAGTGAGGCTGAGTGGGGATGGAAGTGTTGGGTGAAATCGATAAAGAAGGTATCGAGTGGGATGGGAAAGAGGAAGAAGAGCTGGGGGTCGCGAGCCTGTCGCTGTCTTTAAGTAATTTCCCTGTAGTCAGCTTTTTCGCGTTCTCGTTCATCGCCTTCGTTACCGTGGCTTGATCGGCCATTGGGCTTAGTCTCCTTTCACGTTGTCTGGTCCCCTCAATCTGTTGCCATTCCTCCTCCGTTGCCCTCATTACCGTGGGCACTCGTACTTCGGGCTGTTCAAATGCCGGGGGTGCGTGCGTGGGTTTCTGGGGTCGGCGTGTCCTAGGGAGGGGTTTCGTTCTAGGATTATGTGTGACATCGTCAGGTTTCACATTGTCCCCTTCCCGTCTGTCGGCGTATGTCCACGGGTCGCGTCCGTTATTCTCGCGAAGATATGCTCCCGCTATTCTGCTGGTTAGCACGATCGCCATGTGATGACCTGCCTTGTATTCGTCGGCGCCCAAAGTTTTCGGTAGATCGGGAAGTTGGCCTAGGTAGTACTTGGTTCGTGATTTCTCATACCCATATACTATGTTATTTGTATATTCCTTCCATTCGGCTTCGTTCTCTGTCCGGTGGATTTTGTGCGCCTTTCGAATTGCTTCTTGCTTGAATTCGGTAAATCTATCACATTCCAGGAATATGTGGTTTACATCTTCCCAATCGTGTCCGCAGTAGGTGCATGAAGGGGAGGGGTTGGCTTCGGGTCGAACGATATGTTTCAGTGCCCCGGAGTAGAATATCCCTAGTCGTAGTATAAGTTGAAACTTTGTTGTTAGCGACGTGGGCGTTTTGTGATAGAAGTACTTAGGTGTTAGTGCTCCATTTTCCCCGCTCGATAATCGTGATCTTTGCTTCGTCGATTCTGATTGTAGCGTGTTCTCTATCAACTTATCGTCGAGTATTTTCATCCAATTGTCTGGTATATATCCATTAGTCACGCTGAAAGTAACGTATGGTCTCATCCATCCGGTCAGCGGTGGCAGGACATTCGTGTGTCCGGGGAGGTGTGCCAGCTTCGCAAGGTCGTCCGCCTGTTGATTCATTTTAGAGTCGTCGTCTTCGAGTTCGGTGTGAGCTTTGATGTGTCTGGTCTCGCCTCTCGTCCTCTTTGCCAGATTTCGTACCCATTCTTGTAACTCGTGGGCTGGTTTGGTTTTCCATGACTCTTCTCCTACCGCTGTTCGTCGAGCTTGGTTGACTATCTTGACTGAGTTTAGGTGGTCGGTGAGTAGCGTGGTTGGTCGTCCTTGTGTATTTTTGTAAGTCGCCATGGCTAGTTGTCCTGCTACTTGGCCTAGTAACTCGGCGTGCATGGATGTCGTGTGTTGTCCTACCACTGATATGGTTGTCGTGGTCGGGCCTACTAGGGCAGTTGTTGTGGAGGTGCATCCGGCGTATGTTTGTTTGTGACTGCCATCAGATGCCCATACTAGGTGCTCACCTTCCTGTCCAGCTCTTAATCCGCTTTTGATCACTTCTTCGTACAGCCATCTTCTTCTATTTCTGGGTAGGAACGGTGAGTAGTCGATGACTGCTATGTCGTTGGGGATCTTTACTGGCTTGAACCATTGACCCAATGCGATGGTGAGGTTTTTATCGATTATCGTCGGCTTCGGCTGTTTCAATCTGGTTAGTAATTCCTTGATCAGCCCTCTGGCTGTCGGATGTTGTTCTTTTGTTTTGGCTAGCGCTTGTCGGATTTCGGACCACGGGGTCGGGTTCTTTCCTCGTCCTAGTGTTTCGATTCTCGTCGCGGTATGTATTACGTGGCTGGTTTTCTCTTCTATTTGGTCGGTGGCCGTTATCTGTAGGTGAGCTATGTTGAGGTATTCTCGGGCGGTTTGCCATTCAGGAGGTACTGTGTCGATCTTTTCCGTTCTTTTGCGTTTAGTTTTGGCTTTCGTCGCTGACTCAGGACAAAGCCTTTCCAGCGGGTTCACGCAGCCGTTATCGATGCAGCTCCAGTTGGCCATGGTCAGGGCGGCCATGGTGCGAAAAGATGGTAGTCGGTGGTTTAGCGCTCGTAGGATCATCGTTACTGCTACGCTACCGTTGATTCGGTATATCGAGGGAAAGTCAAATCCATGTTCAGGTATCGGTAGGGATAATATGGTGGATTTGGTAGACCTGATGTTCAGCGCCGTGGTCATCTTCTGGGTTATCGTTTCGTCGATTCGTTTGGCCATCGCTGGGGTGAGTGGTTGGAGGTGAAGGAGTGGGCGGATCTTGGGTACCAGTAGTCCCCACGTTGCCCTTCTCAGTATCGATAATGGGTATTTTTCCGAGCGTATTGGGAATTCTTCGATGATTCGGATGATCCTATCCATATTTGCCTGTTGGTTGTGTAGTTCCGTCCGCAGCATGGTGGGTCGATCCGTTATTGGTACTTTGTGTTTCATGCCGTCGATGTCGAAGGTGATCGTTTCGTCTTCGTCCCCTTCCCAGTCGTTTGGTGTTTTGCCTAGCCAGAAGGCTTCGGTCTTATTTGCACTTTCCCAATGGGTCTTGATTCCATATGCTTTTTGGAAGTGTTCTGTATGTTCCACTGTTTTCTTCAGCGATTTCCATGAAGTGCCGAACCAGATGGAATCATCCATGGCTTCTACGCTTACCAGTCTCATCTCCTGTCTGTCTTTAGAGGTGTGGCTTGAGCCTGCTTTGTTATTCACGCTTGTGATCCGCACGATATCGGATAATGTGTCGGTTAGTGTCAACCAGTGGGTGAGCATCCCCATCGCTAGAGTATATTTAATCGGACTCGCCGCATCTCCCTGTTTGGTTTGTCCTGTCGTCTTGATGATCCTTTTTCCTACTCCGTCTTGGGATTTAATTTGCATTCGGGCTTCGGCTGTCCTCGCTATCTCGAAATCCGCGACGGATTGAGGTAGGCCGTAGAATTTGACCGCATCGAGGAAAGCTGAGGTGTGGAGATTGTCAAAACCCTTCGTGTGATCGCGTTTGAGGGCGTATATTGAGGTGTTTGTCATCTCTGCGGCTGTATGGACCTGGTTGAGAAAGTAAGTCAGGTCTCCCGGCTGCACGCCTTGTTGGCCTGCTATCTGAGTGTCTGGTATTAGTTCCATCTCCCAAGCGTATTCCTGCAGAGTATGCGCAAAGTGAGAACTTAGCAGTGAAAATAAGCAGTTTGCGTGAACAACGCCTCTATAGTTTCCCGGGTTTGTGACGTCTCCTCTTTTAAACAGGGGTGCTATGTAGTTGTCCTTCAGTTTGTCTGGGAAATGGTTGGTCATTAGGACGTGGTTAATGATGGAAAGGATGAGATTGAGGAATTCGTCACAGCATCGTCTCAGTGCCCACTTTTCCCATCTATCAGGGCCAGGGGAAGGTCGTGGGTTGCCTCTTGCTAGGATGTATTTAAGTTGTTCCAGGCTGATGGCTTTAGGCCATTGCAGTTGTTCTTCATCGCTAGTTAGCTGTTGGAAGTTTTTCGCGATGGTCGACGTGAGCCACGGCTTACGTAATGGGGGCGGATCTTCGTCTTGGAACAAATGGTCGAAGTATTCGGTGAATGCTTCTAGTTTCTTGTCTGGATCTGTTGTGTACGTCGGTCTGATATCTTCTCCTTCTCTCGCTTCTCGAAGATATTCAGCAGACAGGAGCATTGGCGGATTGGTGATATCGTGCGGCTGGAAGATCCGTTTGACGCTACCTCCTGCTAGGGCTCGTTTGAAGTCTTCCCGCCCGTTGTTCATCATATCGTCTCTCAACGTTTGTTTGGTGAGCCGGTGCAGTTCTTTCTCCAATGTCCTACGGTGTCTGCGGAGACGATCAATGGCGTCAGATGGGATTTCTATGGAGAGGAATTTTGTTTTGATGAGTTTTGCTGCTGTGAGTTCTTCCCGCGCTTCCTTGTTCTTTTCTATCAGTTGTAAAATGGTATCGTTGTTGATCGCGTATTTTAGTCGACCTATTGTTTTGAGCCTCTTTGCTAGTTTGGTACATGTTGGGTTACGGAAGTCGTAAAGACTAGGATTTACTTGGCTCTGTTTAGCTGTGGGATATGCTCTTTTACATCCTGCTTTGAAGATTCTGTCGCAATATTCCAGCAGATCGTCACATTCTTGGTTGGTCGATATTTCGTTCGTCGGGGGAGGTGCTGACGCCAGATTGTTTCTGATCTCCTCGTTCATGGTGGTGTACGCTATGGCTGCTACACTTCCTCGCGGCTGTTTTAATCGTCTAGGGGCGCGATTGATGGCTGCTTCTCGTGTGGCTGGTGTGAGTGCATCGACGACGATATGAGCTTCGATTGGTCTGTGGTTGGTTCTGTCGATGGTATTTTGGTGGGTGAATATAGTTCTGCATGTGAGTCTTTTGCTATGTGTCACTCTGTCCAAAATCTTCCTCGCTTTCGGGTTGTTGTGTCCTCTGATCGTCCAATCTGTCGCGGCATTAGTGTCCATTCGTTCCTCCCATGCGTCCATTCCTTGAGTCTCAATGAGAAACTCCCTGTATGGTCTCCGATGACGGGCGAATCTAGCTTGTTGGTTGGCTATTGTCTCGGAACCTGTCTCTTCCCATGGGTGTAAATAGCAGTTAAAATCTCCAATGACTATCCAGTTTTTACTTTGTTGGGTCATAGAGCGGGTCGCTGTCCAAAACCCGCGAGTGTTTGATTCATCGAGGAAGGCCGTCGCTGGTGCATATATCCCTATTACTCTAACTTCAGTGGTGTGACCGTTGGCCTTGGGAATCTTGACGTCCGTGGCGATTATGCGACCTTGGGCGTGGGGAACTTTCGGTGTCTCTATCTTGGTGAGTGCTAGAGATCTGTGTATCAACATTGTTACCCCGTTGCTTACGTTCCCGATGGCAGGTGTATAGTGTACATCATAGTGTAGTCGTATGTTAAAGGATCCATATCCTTTTCTTGCTTGTGGGAGATGAACTGGTTCGTTTGCTGGTTGCCAGGTTTCGGTTAGCACTGCTATGTGTGGGAGACTTGATTGGATTGCGGTTAGTATGCCTTGATTTTTATCCCAGTTCGATCCCATATTGTTCACGTTGATACTCAGGATTCTTAGTATATCTGTGTCGGTTTTGGCATATGCTGTTGGTAGCATTAGCATCGTCAATGTGATGAGTAGTATCCATGCTGAAGTGATATTTGGAGGACGACTGGGATTCATTTTCATGTTTAAGTATATACAGATCGCTGCTATGACGGACTTTCTACACATGTTTCTGTATGGAGAATCTACGTCTGGCTTGTTAGTGTTTTCCCTTATAAGATAGATGGTTCGACTCACTTCCACTTGCATTTCGTCTCTCGATCCTTCGATTTGATTCTGACTATTGTTGAACGTCTTTGGTAGGATTTCGTTTACTTGTGGCGTCTCACCTAGTAGCAACATTCCTTCTTCCGTCATTTTGAGAGCGTTGATCGGCGTGGAGTCTTCGAGAGCTTTGATATGTTGTTCTATGACCGTTATCTGTTGTTTCTCTATTTCGATCTTCTTTGTGTAGTGTACAATGTCCATTTCAGCAAGGTTCCTATTCTTAATTCCTTCCGGAGTCTGATTTCCTTCGAGCATAGTTATAGTCCTTCGAGCTTCATATAGACGGTCGTCGAGTTTGTCCAATGCTACACGTCTAAGAACCATTTCGGTACTGCTTTTGGATACTTGGCGAGTGATGGCGTTATCTCGGCTGGTAACTGCGATCATGGTGACAGTGTTCGTGTGAGAGGTCTTTCGGAATTTTGCGTTCTCCACTTTCTCCTCCCTGAACTCGTCTTCCATCCTAGTCATACGTCTATCGGCAGCCCTCAGAACTAACCTTGCTTCTTCGCTGTATGATTCGATCTGCGCTTGTTGTTCGGCTTGTCTCCTTTCCGTGTTGCGTTGACGTTGTTCTGCATGGGCAAGGCCGTGTTCATTTAGCACATAGGCGAATTCGTATTGAGTGCCGATGATGGGGTCTTGTTCGCAGATGTAGTTTGCAAGTGACAACGATGAACAGGAGATAGCGAAGATCTTGTTGAGTATCATGGTACCGTCGTCTAGGAGGTAAGCTTCTTCTGCCTTGTCTAATTTATTGTTTTCATTGAATTCATCCACCCAAGTCCATAGTTCCTGTTGTAGAGCATCTGTATCTGCTCCGGCGACATTGCATGTAGCGATGGTGGCGGCGTTATTGCATGGGATGATGGGAGCCATTTCGAATTTGACGGAGTATCCTTTGTACGAAGTACTTGTTGGACCGGCGAGGAAGGCTAGTACCGCGGCGGGACTTCGAAATTTTGCCCATTTTTGTAGCCGTTTTCCATTTTTCCTATAGTCCTTGAAGCTTCCCCAGGTAGCATCTACCACATGACGGTTGCTCGCCGCGAATTTGACGATCCAGTCTGCTGCGTCCTTGTCCTCCAGCGTGTCCGGCATGTCAGGGTCGGGGTTAAAGAAGAAAACTACCAAAGCCCTTGGATCTTTCTCATCTCCACATGCCCAATAGGTTTCGTATCCGATCTGTATGAAGGCTCTTCTAACATTATCCATATTCTCCATTGTAGCTTGTCCCATCTGCCACACGCTGTCTTTGAATCTGATCCGAGCGGAGTACTGTTCTACCGCCGTACCTCCTAGTTTCTCTCCTAATCCTGGGATAAGAGCCTCGGGCGATATGTATCCTTCATCGGTAGGTTGGTAGATTCGACCATCGCGGTTGTTTAGTTTAGTATCAATTACTCGCTTCATTTCTGCGACCACGTCGTCGTCAGCGTTTCGTAGAGCATCGAAGATACGAAGTTCCAGTGAGGATTCCTTGGGCAGGTGGTGGTGACGGCCCCTTCTCGATGCAGGTGCTGCAGGCGTGGGGCGTTTTGCTCTCGCAGGAGTATTGGCTGCTGCCTTCAATGCCCAGGTATTGTTGTCCGGAGTTTGTTTGTTTGCGTTGTTGGGGGGGTTTGGGGAAGCACTTGTGTCATTGGTTTTGGGAGTCATCGTTATGAGTTTGTATAGTGATTCTGACTGGGGAGTAACTGGTGAGTGTGATGTGGTTGGTGTGTCTGGTGACTTGATGGTGGTTGGTGACTGTGAGCAACAGGCTTCCGAGGGGCGTTGGTCGGCTGTAGTGACAGAGAAGTGTTCCGGGGGTTGGTTGGGTTTGGTTCGCTTCGGAGGAAGATTGTCGCGTGGGGTGTGTTTGATTGGTGTGTTTCTTTTCACTGTATTGTGTGAGCGCAGGTTCTTCCATTTGATGGTTTGACTCACAATCGGCTTTTGACATGCAATTCCTTGATTCCTTTTAGAGTTTATTCTGGAATCGAGTTTTTTGTCTGTTTCGTGTGAGCTTTCATTTGTCAACGAGTGATTCTTACTGACCTGATCGTCCTGCGATGTTGTATACGTGGGTAGGGTAGGTCGGGATTGTGGGCTGATGATAGTGGGTTCTGGAGTTTGTGAGTTTCGGACCAAAGAATATGCAGCTGTGCTTACGTTGGAGGTGGCGAGGTATATTTGTTTTGCGAGAGTAGGATTCCTTTGAGGTTCGATATCACTATCGTTGCCTGCTGTCAAAATCGTATTCTTACGTTGTTCATGAGGGACATCGCTCACGCTCAGAAGTTGGCCAGCAACTATATGAATTAGAAGGTCTGATTGATATTCCGGAATATCTGAGGTTGGCGAAAATTGGCCTATAAGTTCAGGGGGGAAATCGCTCACTTTCAGATGTTGGCCAGCAACCTTGTGGATCCTTTGTTCGGGAAGTTTTCGAAGGTCTGGGGTGAGTAAGCATTGCCAGCTATACGCGTTTAGGGGTGTGCTCACTTTTAGAAATTGGCCAGCAACTTTGTGGATGATCTGTTTGGGGTGTTTTCGAATGTCTGAAGTTAGTAAGTTTTGGCATATGTACGTAGTAGTGAAATGGCTCACGTTCAGAAGTTGGCCGGCAACTTTCTGGACATTGTGTTCGGGTTCTCGAGTTTGGCGTATGGGTGAAGTGTTGCGTTCGAGGTGGGGAAGAGATTGGTTGTCAGTCCTTGGCGAGTGAATTTGTATGTATTCCTGGTCGGCCAGCATGTCAGAGTCGTTACTGTTATCAATACCTGGAACCGAAGGGTTAGCAGGGGTTGGTGATGGACCTGGTCTCCTAGGCATTCGTTGCATCGAAACTATCCCGCCTTTTCCGTCGCTCGAGATGGCTTTTGTATCCCAGCTACAATCCTCGGGATAATTGCGTCTCTCAGATTCAACGTAACCCTGTATGTATGGGATCAATAAAGGGGTTTCAGTCCGATTTCCTGTGTCCGGTGTATCGTCATGGCGACGGGACCTCAAAATATCGGTATAATGGACCCTTTGATATGAAGCCCCATGTGGGTTTTGGTCAGTAATCATAGGTTCAGCCCTGTGTGTGTTCATCGCAATCCGTTGGGTTGGCAAGTACCTCAGGTACTGTTGCGAGGGGTGAAAAATGTGTTTCAAGGAGTCTACGGGGTATAGACCGATGGAGAATGGGTCAGTTGAGTGGGAAACAGGGATGTGTACGAGCGTAGTGCAGGCTGGTTTGAGGAGGGAGGAGAATACGGGTGCAGAGTCAGTAGAAGGTACGATGGTGGGAGGGCTATCGATACTGATCGGGAGTATGAAGCTGCTGCTGGCAATGGGCGGGAGAAGAGGTTTATGGTAATAAAGTGCTTGGTTTAGATGTATGCGATGAGTGAATGTTGTAGGAGATGTCCGTAGATACTGGAGGTGATGACATAATTTAAAATGATGTAAATAAAAGTATTCGTATGCGTCGGTCACGATCGCTCCCGCAGGGGGTAGCTTCGGGCTGGACGTGGTGTTCTGGCAGTCTGTCACGATCGTTCCCTCAAGGGGTAACTTCGGATTGGACGCCTCGCTGGTCACGATCGTTCCCTCAGGGGGTAACTTCGGATTAAGCGGACAAGGAGGAAAGGCAAGAGGGGTTGTGGGATATTCGGGCCCCCTTTGGGTGAAAGTTTCGATGAGGTGTTGGGAACGGTTTAGTCCCAGGTATAGTAGGATCGGATCTTGTGCCCTGCTTGCGGCTCGCGATAAGTTAGAGGTTATGGGGCAGTTTGAGGATAGCCGCAAGCAGGGAAAGGGTGTTTGGTATTTGGTAAAGTCGATCCCCGTAGACGTTCCGAGGTAATCACCGAAGTTCATTTGCGTCAGTTGGTTCTTTGGAGAAAGCGAGCGCTGAACTTCGGGTGGTCGAACTGGGTGATAGTATTCATGATTTACGTGATTGGGTGGGTATAATGGACTGGCTTTAGCGATTAAGGAGGCGAAGAACGATCCTGTCGAAGGGGTCCTTTGGGCGGTGCAAGAGTTCGACGAGTAGCATAGTGATGGCGGCGAGCCCGCGCTGACGATAGAGTGGGTCACGATGACGAACAGAAAGGTGATGATAAAGTAGACGACATATTGACGCAGCATAACGATAACACGCATACGGTACGGTAAAGTAAAGTAAAGTAAATTCATACGAGACATTAAGCTATAACACGAGATTAGGTATGTACATGAATAGACAGATAAACAGAGGTGAGACGGATTTAGTGATAGTGATTAAACGAAAGAGCAGAGGTGAGACGGATTTAGTGATCGTGATTGAAGGAAAGAAAGCGAAATTGGTTGTGGTAGCGATGAGACAGAGAATCAAGCGCCGAGGAGGGAATCGGCTCGAGATTTGATCAAGCCGAGAGAGATTTCACGGGAGAAGTTATCGAAGGTTGATGGACCAACAGCGGTACGGATGGTGGACATGAGGGATTCTGTGGATTCTTCGAGTATTCCACCTGGTGAGAGGACAAAGGGATAGAAGGTACGTGATGGATTCTCACCCTGTTTCCTCCTTTTCTCCAACGCTTTTGCTTCCAACGAGCGATTCGCAACTGCTTTAACTCCCTGCATAGGTGGGTCTGACTGTCGCGTCCGTATCTTGTCCAGCCGGGAAAGTTCTGCGATCCCAAAAACGGAGTGGACTGAGACATCGAAGTCAGAGGTAGGAAACCGTGATGAGCCGATAGACTCGAAACGGATGTCGTTATAGGCACCTGTAGCCCCTTCTATCGGTGGTTCAAACAGGACCTGACTTGCAGGGAGAGACTTTAAAGCACGTCCGAGGGTATGTTTTATGAGTTCGTGCCGGTAGATGTATCGGGAACGAGAGCGATGACGACAATTGTCAACATGGCCGTCGTCGAGAGGGGTTGCGCAAGTGACGCAAACCGGGGCGTTCGGTATGGGGAGGGAACGAAGGTGAAGAGCCGCTGATATGCGAGCATCATTCAGAAGTAAGTGGTCGGAATAAGGGATGATGGACAGCCACTTTCTCCCTAACTTGGAAGCAGACTCTTCGATCCAAAGACGTTGTGATGGTGTAATTTGTCTAAGGAGGATGTCTCGCCGCGTGGTAAAAGCTTCCTGGCAGGATTCACGTTGGGATGGAGTGGTGGGAGGTGGCGCGATCGAGGGGAGGAGGGTGGAGAGAGTTTTATCGGCCAATGCTAGGGCGGATTTCCTTGCTAGTGGGGCACATTCCACGAAAGACAGTAACCCGATTCCCCCCATGCGAACTGGTAGTGTGACTATTTGTTTATCGATGTCCATGTCATGGGTGTATGAGGGGTTGAGAGAACCGCGGATACGGCAAAACTCATGGAAAAGGGAATCGTCGATGCGTTGGAGGAGTGGGATGAGGTCGGATGTGTCCAGGGACCGTTGAAGGTGACGAAGGTTCTGCTGGAGGCAGGTCCGAAGTAGCAACAGAGCATGGTGGTGAGGAAGGGACGAGAGGTGGGAGAGGTTGACATCCTCCTTGTCAATAAGCTCCGAGAGAAACGCCTTTCTAGCATCCACCGATCCAACGCATGTACCTAGTGTAGGGAAACCCAAGGTGAAGATATCGTCCAGAGCAATTGTGCGACATTTGGAGAGATTGAGTGTAATGGATGAGTCGCGACTGGAGAGGAAAGAGTGGACCTTGTTGACGATATCATTATTGGGGCCGAGGATATGAAAGTCGTCGAGATAAGCGAGGACGGAGTATTCATCCCCTAGGAAGGACTCGAGGTCTTTAATGAGCTGTTGTACCGCGATAGAGAAGAGAAGTGGACCGAGTGGGTCACCCTGGCGGACCCCCTGTGAGGAGGAGTATGTTTTGATTGTGGAGTCCGGTCCACGGCACAGCAGGTCAGAAGGAGAACCATATGCCCATCTAGCGACATGATAGAGGGATTTCGACCTGGCTTTGATCGCTGCGGCCATGGTGCTTCTGTCGATGGAGTTAAATGCGTTGGAGAAATCGAGAGCTGCGAGATGAGTGTGTGATGACGAGATCTTCTTCTCTGTTGCTAACTCGATCCATCTTGCGATAGGTTCAACGCCACCTCTTGAGCCGACCCCCAATTGGTTAGGGAGCAGCAGTTTACCCCAGTCGTTGCAGGAGAGGAGTAGTTTAAGGAGGACACGATAGAGTAGTTCACCAACGGCCAGGGGTCGTACTTTAAGATTGGGTTTAGGGAGAGCAGTGAGGGAGGAGGCACAGAACAGGTTGCGGGCAGGAGCACGACCGGCTGCTACCTCGGTACACAGACAGTGGAACATGGTGAGGGCTTCTGGGACTTCAACCGCAATCTTGAGCAATTGAGGAGTCCAACCTGATGGGCCAGGTGCGGAGTCTGAAAGAGCGAGGATTGAGCTCCTGATAAGTTCTTGAGGTGGGATTTTGGAAGCTGCCCCAGTGTGGTGGTTAAGGAAGGGGAAAGGGTCAGAGGGACCTGTGGGATGGAGGGCTGATAGTTGGCGATCGAGTTCATCGGGGTCAGGGAGAGGAAGGGAGTCATCCGACCGGAGAAGGCGGTAAAGTAAAGTAAAGATAGTGGCGGAAAACACCCTTTAAGAATCATAAGTCTATTCAGCACCACCCAGTAGTATCGAAAAGGTCACTTTGAGGTATGTCACCCTCTATCTGTTTCAGCGATTCCAGCGAATTGTATCGCCGTCACACACGCTCGCCGCGTTTTGATCGGTCGCTTCCAAGACACACACACACACAAAAAGCGCGTTTTGATGGCGTTTTCGAAGCCACGACACGGAAGCTTTCTCAGCTTTCGGAGGAGGGGGGGGGTTTAAATAAACTCAAGTCTCTACTTCCAAAAAGTCTGAAATCCCTTTGCTCATAGCGCACAATAGCTAAAAGCTCACAGAGATCGAAGAACGGATACGCCATACGCGATACGAGATAAACGATGACTGAAAAACGTAAAAGATCCCAATCTCCTGATCATGCTGAATCTTCTCAAACGATCACACGTAAACTACCCCCCATAGTGGGTCATGACGACACGACTCCTAAGGATCAAGCCAGCACGGGTGAGGAGAAGAGGGTGAAGAAGAAGAAAGTGAAAATGACACCTGGGATAGTTTATATATCTAGGGTACCACCTGGTATGACGCCTCAAAAAATAAGACATTTAATGTCGAAATGGGGAGAGGTTGGGAAGGTTTATGCTCAACCTAGGGATGGTGGGTGAAAAGTGTTTTTCTTCTCAACTCTATGTCATCTTGTCTCATCTGTCTGCCCATCAGAAAATCTGAGTATCAAAGTTGCTGGCTATGGATGTATGTGCGGGTTGACACCGTTTTCCTCTTCGAGCGGAGTTAGAGTTTAGCGATGGAAAAATGAACCACAATTTTTAATTGATAAGAGCTGATGACAGTCACGACAAATGGTAAATCAATTAAGAAAAAACATACACCTGCGAATTACACAGAAGCATGGGTCGAATTCTTAGATAAATCAATTGGTAAAACAGCTGCCAAGGTATTGAACGCTCAGGTGATCGGAGGGAAACCAGGAGATAGATGGAGAGAAGATGTATGGACTATGAAATATTTAAGTGGTTTTAAATGGGAAATGTTAGGTGAACAAGTTGGTGAGTGTTTTTACGCTATTTCTTCTTCACAGACGATTGCAACTGGGCTAGTCGGTCATAACCAAAAACAAACAAAAAAAAGAGAGAAAACATGAATTGATTTATAATTAGCATACGAACGTCAATCTCATCAAGCAAGATTAAGGAATGAAATATCTAAATCTCGTGTTGAACAAAGTGAATATCTTCGGAATGTCGAACTTGCCAGAGTATTGGATAAACGGAAAAATATCAAGGATTCCAAGAGTATCGTCGAAGACAATTCAACATCCTTTTCATCACAAGTCGATATGGTCGGAACGAAAGATGACGTTAAAGTCAGAGGGGAGAAAAATGTTGGGAAGGGAGAAGGAAAAGTAGATAAGAAGGGAAAAAGGTATGAAGGAGAAGGGATGGAGAGAATAAGTAAATTGGAAAAAGGTGAAAAGGTAGGAAAGAAATATAAACAACGTACTGTTGTTTATAATAAACCTATTAGAGATGGGATGGAAGGTGTTCTTGATAATTTATTTGGATGATCATTGGTATCGTTCTTCATGCATTTAACTTCATTATGATTCCAAATGTCTAATAATCTGCCTTTCGTATTACCATGCACCATAACAATGAACTGCATTTCCTCTCTTTTATCATGCTTAGCAGTACAAAAGGTATCAATAATGTTGTCGATACTCCTGAAGACACATTCGAATGGGAAGACTCTGAGAGCTTGAGAAAGATATGCACGATTGAAAAACACATGACAAGATGACATACGACACAGTCATCGTATAGGAGTACTCGTACTCATACTCGTACTCTACTCGTACCGTGCGAGTAATGTAAGATGCTTGATTAGATAATGCTTGACTCAACTTAAAGATATTCGCATCACTCAGTCACAACAAACCTCCAAACATCTTTTACCATACCCTCTGCCCTAACCTCCACACTTTCTTCCTCTTCTTCCCTTTTAGGTATCCCATCCCAAACCGCTTTCTGAACAGGTTCAACAAGTGCTGACAGATGAATCGAATATAAACGCACAAACTCCCTCCACCATCCCCATCTAGCTCTCATGGCCCAAAATCCTTCTTCACCAGAATCGAGAAGTCTCAACACTCCCGCGAGACCTTGAGATGTGGAAGAAGGGTCGAATACCCATGGGAGAAGGGTAGATATGAAATGTTTGGTGGTGTTGAGTAACACATGTTCTAGAGTGGTGGTATTGATATCTAGTGATGTTTGAGCGTCTCGAAGTTCTTTAGATCTTTCTGCAGAGTCTGTATGTCAGTGTCTGCGCCGCGTACTGAACTTTTTGCGCACAAGCACAAAAGAGAGTAGACGTCCTGTGATAGGGAGATGAATGTGAGGGATACTCACAATCCGGAACGAAGAGATGGAGAGTGAAGAATGAAGAACGAAGAGGATCAATTCAGTGAAGGAGTGAGAAGGATGACTCAGTGATTTTAGGAGACGTGAGCAGAAGGTGAAATTCACTCACCATCAACAATCTCAACATCATCCATTCCAACTCCTTCACCCCTCTCAATCCTCTCCGCAGCTTTTCTCGCTCTAGCAGCTTCATCCTCCCTCTCCACATTTTTAACCCTACTCTTATCTCTACTCACTCTTCCAACCAACTTCCCAATACACATCCTGAGTAATTCCCAATGATCAAAATCCGTCCATCCATCACCTTCCTCACCACCACTTCCTCCTGTTTCTTGTCCAAACACCCAATCGACCACATCTTCACCTTCCAATATCCCATATTGCATGTACTTATCAACCGTCATTAGCCTCAATTGACTTGACCATCGCCAGTAATTCCGTATACCATCTAACAACAATCTACGAGCGGTGGGGTCGGGAGAGAGAAAACGTAGGAGATCGAGATATCTTTCGGTAGCATTGAGAAAATGAGAGAATGATCGTGAACCGAGATGTAAGATGGTTTCGATAGCCATGAGTGTTATAGATTGTGACATTGGTTCCGATGGACCGTCAGGGTAGGCAAGAGGCAGGGTAGTAATGTAAGTCCGGACATCTGAAGAGGGGGTTTTCGCACGTAAAAGTCGTAAGAGTTCGTTGGCTTCTGCAAATAGATGATGTTCTTCTTTTTCGTATAGCCAAGCGGGCTCGGGAGGTTCCGCGGGTAAGACGGCACCTTTTTCAGAGACGATCTGAGGAGGGAGAGTATCAACGATTCGATCGTAGTATGCCAGACGGACTTCGAGCTCCGCTAGACGTCTCATGAATGCTCTTCGAGGATGACTAGCAGGAAGTTCTAACTCGGATATCCTGTGTGTCAGAAGGCTTCTCCATGGATACCCGGTGACCAGTTCAGGTTCGTCGTTGGAGGGGAGTGAGTCATCGTTGGTACTGGAGAGAACAAAGACGGCGACATCATGACACTCACCATTCTTTCCACATCCATTGAAACCCGAAATTACTCAAATGTATTGCTAACCACTCGCTTAACCGCCTCGTCACCTCTATGTCAAGCCCCTCACTACCTAGCATAGCGAACATTCGTCTCACTGCTCTTCCAACAGGAGGAGCGACAGTGTTGGGAGATACCTTGCACAGCTCGGTGATGACTGAGCCATAGTAAATGAGAGGTAGGGCAGACGACGGTAGCGTGAGCATGGCGGAAAAGATTGTAGCAATGATCAATGATTCGCAAGATAGTGTCGAAACTGAAGTGACTTCTGCAGGAGCAGCAGTGGTAGCGGGGGGTTTGAATGTGCCAGCGGTGAGATATCGAGGAAGGGACAGTAAAATCCGAGCGCATTCTTTTCGATTGATCTCGAAAATGGTCAGAATGTCGAGGACTAAAGAACGGAGTATCCACCCGTCTGCTGTATCTGGAGATGGAACAATCTGACAGTCAGCCACATGCCACTTCAGATGAACGAATCATCCAGATGTGCGGAAATGTCGTGAATTTGAGGTGGATGGGCTTGACAAACAGGTTGAATCTCACATCGTCGCCGAACAGCCGCAACGACCCAATCAGACCTTCACCGTCCTTCTCCAAAACATCCCCGCTGTCGAATAATTCCGGGGGCATGCTGACCGCTTCCAAGTAGACGGCTTCACTTTGAACCATCCCCTCTGGCAATGACATTTCCTCCCAAGGTCTCGGCATACTTTGCGGGCTGACAAACGGGGGGTCAGAGGATCGAAGAGCGTGTAGACTAGCTAGCAAGTTGCCCAGTGACTGAATTATCAGCTTTCCCAGATTTGCACACATTGACGGAAGCTCACATCCTGGTACGGCTCAGTCTCCTGCCCTCGAGGCATGATAGGACATATAGGGTCGTATAGAACCTTTCCACCACCACGGTTCAATATGGCATTTTCAATCATGCCGATCATATGTTCCACGCTATCTGGGTTGGTGACATACAAGACATGGCCGCACTGTTCATCAGTACCCCATCCTAAGCCATGACATGAAGATGTTGAAGGGGGAAAATAGGAAAGAGGATTGAACATACTCTCATCAAAGCCTCAGAAACAGCCCGAATGACACGTTCGGCTCTGTCCCCTCCACCACCCAATTCACTCAACACAGCAAGTAGACTTGTACAAACTCCCAATATTGATTCGGCGGAAATGAGTTTTGTGACGACTAGCAATGCAAAAAATTGAAGCTTCCTTATCAGCTCCTTTCTACACTCTGCATAACAGGGAAACATACAGTCAAACGCATGTTCAGCCATTGACGACCTTCCACCCAGATTCTGAAGGCCTGAGTTAGGTCTTGTATTATCTCACGACCATGATCTGGACCATCATCGGAAGCTTTACGTTTTTCGCCGACTTTGACGTCTTCGTCGATAGGGTCCGATTGATGTTTGCGAGATAATTGTAAGAGGAGACAGACGTAGAGATGATGTTTGTACGGTTCTTGTGTGACCCTAATATCTCAGCTCTGTCCAACTATTCTCAGTCTCAATGATCACATGGAAGTGCAGGCTCAGCGTCGTTTAAAGCGAGCTCTACGGAGATTTTGGGGGATGGTGATAGATGGACGTACCCTATTCTGAAGCCTTCCAGAACCGCAGGGCAAGCCTCAGACCAAGATCGTTTCAAGACAGCAGCGAGACGAGTAGCATCGTCGACTGGGGAAAAGTCCTACGCGTGAGTAAACTCCTTGCCCTTGTCTGCCTAAGCAGTTTCTGCCTCAACCAGGATAACGCAGAGATGGACTGAGATTATCCGCCAACATTTGAGCGAGTATGAGAGTGACAAAATCCAGCATGATGAATAGCCTGACATGTGTGACAAAATGTGATGAGAATACATTTGCCCAGCGGATGAGATAGCCACAGGGAACAGAGTGAACACAGGAGTTGATAGCTGAGTTGACAAACACCCACCTCATCATCCCCAAATTTAATGATCATCCTTTTAAACCTATTGAGCCCCAATTCCGCTACTGATTCCCTCTCTCTACCTCCAGCACCCCCTCCGCCTCCGCCTCCACCATACCCACCTCTTCCTCTTCCCCGTCTATCATCTACACGTCAGCCCAACTTCCTACTGAATCCTCCTCCTGATCAAAAGACTCACCTCTCCTACCCCTACCCCCTCCATATCCATTTCCATACCCGTGACCGGTAGGTAACCCACTAGTACTACCGTAGCCATTGGAGTAGCTCATTTCGTTGAAATCACTATTTACTGAGACAGAGAGACAGAGAGAGACAATTCTTGTAAGAGGGAATATTCATGTTGACAATTTCAGGAATATCTCCCGATCGATTTCTTGCCACGTGGCTCTCTTCCAACCATCCCGCTTTCTGGAGTGAAAAGTAGGACTCACTTACCCGTTCTTCGTTCTCTAGATCTCTGGTCATAATCGAACAGCAACGAGGTACCTCTGTAGCTGGAAAAATCCCAAGGATCAGACCATATCTCCGATACTTGACTCGTGCGATCCTTTGCGAGAGACTTGTTGGCGAAGAAGAAACGGAGTAGTGAAAAGATGTCAAAGACGGCCAAAGCCTTCTTCGGTGGTTCTGTCATACTGTCAGCTTTCACAGTTTGGGGTGTACATTATCTTCAAAAGAGAGAATCAGATGTGAGTCTTTTTCGTTTATCATTCTTATTATTATTCTGCTACGTCTTCTGAGCCTGCTTCGTCTGCCTCTTCCTATCACCCCCATTCCTCACCCCTCCTGATTGCAGGAAGTATTCCCGAGATAGCTGTAACCCACACCCATCCCTGGCTCACTTCTTCAACACCTCTGATCGACTCCCCGGTTATATTTACTTGTCTGAGATAGCTAGGCGGCACAGTTCTCTACAACTTCGATTAATTCACCGATCATATCATTTTGATTGATATAGATACCCTCAGAGTGAGACCGATTGGGTGCGCAGTTTTTCACACCTTCAATCGATCCCCATCTGTACGTTCCGAGTGAGATCGATCTAATGACAACCCAAATACATCTTCACGGATAGATCGAGGTAAATTGGGAAGAAATACTCACTCTATCAGACAATGTACCTCGGTGTCCTCCGTGACGAAGCTCGACTTCGTGCTAAAGCCGCTGAAAAACAAGCTTTGGAATCATTACCTTCAGCTTCTTCTATTGGTTCTTCCATCCTCATCACTCCTTCCTCTTCCATCTCCAACAAGCCATCATCTTCTCCCTCTTCCATCTCCAATCAACCAATACCTATCTCTTCATCATCCAATCTCTATCAATCGATACCTTTCATCTCCGAATCATCGCAGTTCTCGTCACCTCCCACACCTCTGACTGAAACTATCACTCAACCACCACCATTGATAGATCCCGATTGTCCCGTTTGCGTCATCTCTCCTCCTCCTCAATTATTACAAAATCTCTCTCCTGAAGATCGAAGGAAAGATAGAGAAGATCGTAAGAAAGAATATGAGAATCAGAAAGTTTTAGCTGGGACTTTAAGCGTTGAACAAGGTGTTTCAGAAAGATGGGTTTAATGGAATTTACTGTATGGAAGATAAAGCTGGACTTGGGATTATGAGATTTATCCTTTTTTCCTTGATAACGAGACACCAATGTTTTATAACTCAAGTCAAATCATTTTGGATTCTCACTCTCAGTTAAACAGTTTGCAATGGGTTGATCAATTGGAAAGTCATATTCAGGACTAACGATATGAGGGGAACGTTAACAACTGAGATCGAAGAAGGGGTCGATGGCTTGAGCACTTTTAGTTTGCGAGGTGCAAGTTATACAAAAGACGTAGATCTACGTAGAACACCGACAGAACCTCCTGGCAGATCAATGCATCATCATTCGTACAATTTCCAAACTTGCTTCCATGACTTTTCTCCACTTTACCGGGACTAGAGAATCAGATGCCGAATCTTTCATCCACTCAAAATCGAGTGTGATGAAGTAAGGTATAGAGACACACTGGCGGAAAGAGCAGGAGAAAATGAAAGAAAGAGAAGTGTAGAGATGCTAGGTAACGCCAGTGGTCGTTATGGGTATCTTATCCTATACATGGGTTACTATGAAATCAGTGATTGTTTCCTTTTTTGAAACATTGAGTTGATCAGGATCACGATTGGAAAAAAGACGCTGGTCAAGTGGTGAGGGTCGGTGTGACAAGATAGTGGAAATGGGAAATGATAAACGAGTTTAACATGAGTTAGATCAGGATCACAATTGGAAAAATGACGCTGGTCAAGTGGTGAGGGTCGGTGTGACAAGATAGGGAAAATGGGGAATGATGAATGACTTTGTCAAATGAAAACTCTACCCACATCCAAAGTGATACGCAATTGCTCCAGAGGGATAGGCACAAAATCGTCGATATCCACACCCCGTGCTCGGAGAGCAGCTTCCGCATGAGGTGGGACGAGCTGACGAATCAGGTCAGGACGAGCAGACAATTCTTCTCTGGTAAAGTCGAATAAATCTGGCATCTCCTTTCCATTGGGAAGTCGGATTCCCTCTCTGCGTAACTCGTTGAAGAATTCATGACACATTGCTTCGGGCGCTCTACGCTATCAGCCGGTTCCCAATCTACCGAGGACACATCTGATACGAGGACGGGGTGACGTTTCTCAAAAAAGGAGGGTAGAGTGGAGAGGGACAAGCTCAAACTCACGAGAGACGACTGGTGGGAGTATACTCGAGTAAATTCGTAATGAGAGAGATTGAATCTTGAGGCGTGCGAGGTCGGAAGACTTTGCTGAATGGATGAGCCTTGATTTGAGGGAATTTATGTTCCATATACTGAGGGTAAGCTTATGCAAACAGTAAAGAGGAAAGTCATATGGCAATCCGAACAACTCACGTTCGGGTTCATCGTCTTGATCTGTTCTCTCGTCGGTGTGCCCAACACCTTGATAATCTCTACAAGCTGATCGATGCCTGATTCACCGGGGAAGAGCGGTTGACCGAGCATCAATTCTGCCATGACGCAACCGGTGGACCAGATGTCTGATGGTGAGTAAAGGCTCTCCAGCGCAATCCATAGTGAAGTCATGCTTTTAATCCAAATGACAAAGTTGAACAACTGAATGACGCCGCCTGATCTACATGGCGACGAAGTCGAGAGTTTCCGTCCCAAAGACGATCACGTACAAGGATCATCCGGTAGGGGAGGGTAAGGAGAGAGAGGGGAAGAAGCAGGGGAGGAGATATCAGGGCCAGCGACGACAACAAGGTTGTGACGAAGAGATGAATTATATAAACGACGAGAAAGAAATTGAACCCACCAATATTAGTCGTATAATTCGTAGCGCCAAAGATCAACTCCGGTGCTCGGTAATACCTCGAACAGATATAGCTGACATTCGGTTCCCCAGCTACGAGTATCTTTGCACTCCCAAAATCGCACAACTTGAGCACACCCGTGGCCGGGTTCAGCAACAAATTCTGAGGTTTGATGTCTCGATGACAAATACCAATCGAATGTATATAGGCGAGCGAACGGAGGAGTTGATACATGTACAATTTGATTTGAAGCATGGGCATAGTTTGTTTGAGTTTGGAATAAACTCTCGAGGCTCGATAGACCGTCTCGGGGACGAATTCCAATACGAGGTTTAAGAATACTTCATCTTTCTGCTAAGTCAGTCACATCAAACGCGTTATCATTCCACATCACTTTGCCCATCACAGCTGCTCGACCGGTCAAGCGAGGGGGCAGCTGGGGAGGGAAGATAAAGTCCTGGTGTGAAATGAGTCGGAGGAACAAAAGAGGACATACCTTGTCACCGTTGGAGTAGAAGAATGCTTTCAATTCGACGACATTCGGATGACTGACCAAACGCATTATCTGCAGTTCTCGATTCTGACCATCAGTCTACCTTCCATATGGTAGGAACAGGAATGGGGACAAACCTTGAACCGCTTATCCTGCAGCACTCTCTTGATAGCAATTTCTTGTTCTGGTTCATCTGTTCCATCGGGAAGTTTGGAAGCTGATAAATTAGCATAGGGTTCGATGTTTAAGATTGTGTCGTGTTTTCTGACTGATATTCATGATGAACTCACGAAGCATTTTCGCTGCGTAAACAACTCCGAAACTCCCATTGCCGACGACTTTACAATTGGTATAATCAAATGATCTGTCTTGACCCGTCTTTGCGTCTTGAGCACTGACGGGGACGACTCGAGTAGGATCATCGGCTGACAGTCAGTCATCGGGATCTGATACCAATTTCCACCTGGTAGGAACCCATTTTCTCCTCTGCCTTCAACCGCTTGGGCAATGGCAGCAGGAGAAAGTTTAAAGATGAAAGACCATAAAATCACTCACGCGTCACCCTGATGCCATTGACTATACCCCCGACACCTGCCATGACTATGGAATCGTGATTAGGTTGAAAAGGTTGAGGGTGACTGTAGGCGTGACCGAGTCCCGGGGCAGGATTACAAGTCATGAACGGGGCGAAAGTCGTAGGGGAAGGGAAGTAGATGCCGGGTGGAGGATGACGTGGAGGGGGAGGAGGGTTATAGTGCACCGGTCCACCGCGAGGAGGTGTGATATTCGCGTTGGATCGAGGGAGAGGCATGTAGAGTTGTTGTGAATGACAAGTTGTCGAGGGTGACAGGGAGGATGAGTGAGCAAATGTAGAGAGGCGGGGTTGTAAGATGAGGAGGAGAGAGGAGAAGGCCGAGAAAACATCAGTGTCAGCATGCCCAATATGGTAGTAGTAGTCATGAGCGGAGAAGACACGTAGACTAGATGGATAGGTTTGAAACGTTCAGAGAATGACGGACGTCGAAAAGCTGAGAAATCTAAGAGAGAGCTGACATGAAAAGTTTTCAACTCCGATTGAAAACGCGCACCCGAAACAGTAGTCCGCTGACCGCTAGCGGTACGAGTCCAGGTCTGGGCCGAATGACCGAGTGAAGAGGCAAAGTAGAAGCACTCAGATCTTGGGTGTTCTAGATTTTTCACAAGCTAAAGACCGAGGAGTACGAAAGAAGATTGGAAGACGTATGACGATGAATGTCACGAGATGAAGTAAGTGGAGAGGGAACGATGGGACTGATGGAAAGTGTGAGGATAGAAGGGAGAGAGAAAGAAGGGGTTTACGAAGAAGACTCAGAGAGGTGATTGATTGCTTCAAGCTCAACACATAGAAAGAACGGGACTAGACAAAGTCCAGACCATATCCATCTTCACTCCGACTCCGATACGAGCGGAGCAATGAGGTAGTTGCTGATAGAGCGGAGGTTATAGGGGAAGTGGAGGATGAAGGGGGGAGGAGTAGGCGGAGCAGCGGAGTTTGAAGCTGGTTGAAAGAGGTGAAGAGGGAGGGAGGATGAAGAGGACGTATGCAGACCATGTAAAAGAAAGGATAATCGGCTTCAGGGCGTCGTGTGAAAAGGTAAAGAAAGCTGAGTGGAAGAAGATATGATGAGGTAATTGTATGAAACGAGGAGGTAGAGTAAAGAGAGGTAGACTCACCGTATTGAAAGTTTTGTTTCAGGTTGAAGAACGTCGACAGACTCCTTCCAATGATCTGAAAAAAAGGGTGATACTTCCGTTCTTCCTATATAATCGTCTCTACCGATGATCCGAGACCGGAGGAGGAGATAAGGATGGAAGAGATTAAGGAAGGAGGTAAGAGGATGGGAAAAGAGTGGAAAAGGGTTGAGTGATCGACAAAACCACCCTGGTGTAAGGAAGACGTGTGATGTGTTTCTTCCTGATCTATTCTCTCTTTTCTTTCTTTGATCGTATATTCTCTTTTCGTTTACAAATCGTTGAATATGAATGGTATTTAATTATTCCTTGAATTTGTGAATCGTATAGTGACCGAAGGAGTTGATGAGTGGTGGAGAAGAGTGGGGCCCAGAGATCCAGAGAGGAGAAGGACAGAAGGCAGTGTTAACGACGACGCGCGACCACTCTGTTTGATTGAAGAAGATGAAAGATGATATTCAAAAGGACAAAGGATGTCCAGAAGGTTGTTTGTCGTATATTGATAGTACGTCACTGGTAAGGTGTGAGAAAGAGATGTTAGAATAGGGATGTGTGATGGGAGGTTGGAAGATGATGTATAGGAGAGAAGAGTGACGGTGACAGTCGCGTGGTTGAATAACTGGCCCGTGTGGGGGGGCGGGGAGGGCAAGGGGAGGGAGGGGACGTTGCCACCGGGAACAACCCTTTGTGGCGGTTTTAGTATATACGAGTGGACAAGGATAGAGAGAAGGGTAAGCGAAGGTTAAGGAAGGAAGTCACTGTACAAGATATACAGTCAAGTATGATTCACAGGATACGTGTGTAAGATATGTTTGTTTGTCCCTCGCTATTGATTCATACTTGTTCACTGTCTAAAACGGCTGCATCGTCATTGGGTCCCCAAACGTTCAGGGTCAACCTCGCGGGGGTTTTGTGGTGGGGTCGGAGTTTTGTTAATTTCCCCGACGGCGTCATGGATGTGGCATTTTGGTATTCACCCCAATTCATGACTGGCACTTAGATGTACAAACGGCAAAGCTACAACTCCTTACTATCTACAACACAACTGCACATGCTATACAACAAAGAAATTGACTCATGATATCTTCCCTCTTACTTATACTTATCCCCTAACTCTTTCCTCGCGTGGGGATCAAGACTATTACGCATCCCTAACAAGGTCTTGCTCACAGCTTCAGAAGCACCGATCATCGGTTTCAACACTGCGATAGGGACGGCACGGATGACAGCTCGCAACGGGCCCTGTGGTATCAGCTCGTTCTCTCAATTCCATTCTCACGGCCCTCGTCAACTCCACGTTGATATGGGGATGATACGATTATGATGTCGTGAATTTGGTGATCTTATCTGTGAAGGAAGGTAAGGGCAGAAGAAGAGAAAAAGAACACATGAGGGATAGAAGAAGAAAACTCACATCATCAGCCGATCTCTCATATACTTCCATAGGTACAGCCAAAATAGTTTGAGCAGCACTATTAATATTCCTTGATAAACTTTTATACGCAGCTTGTACACCTTCACGCATATCGATAGGTTGATCTGCGAACCTACTTCTAACTCTTTTTCTCTTTCCCTCTTCTTCTTCATCTGAACTATTATCTTCTCCTACCCAATCATCCCCTAAATTATCTCTTGAACCACGTGTGATTTCACCTGTTATTCTCTCTGAAAATTTCCCACCTAAAACTCCTTCTGCTTTTTCCAAAATGACTTGAGTACCCGTAGCCATCCGAGCACCTAAACGCATCATTTCCATTCCTGTACTACGTACGAAACTTCCTGCTCCACGTTGAACACCTCTTGCTATTCTACCATCTTTTCGGTATTGTTCGATAGGGAGTAAAATGAGGTCAGCTACCCCGGAACCGACGTTGACTAGGGATCGGATGGGAGCTATACCAGAGACGACATCGGCTAATTGGTTGGCTTTGACATCGGGGGTCCAGATATCTTGGAGGGTATCGGAAAGACGTGCCCATCCGGGTATCTGAATATGAGCTGAAGATCTCCATCACATGATGAATAGAGAAAAGGAAGAGGGGGGAGGAGAGGACAGGGAGAAAACTCACCCCGGTCAAACTCAAATGACGCAGCGTCATTTCCGCCGCATCAAAGTGGAAAAAGTTCATCAACTCTGCAGTCTTGCCTTCTCTAAGAGCTTTGAAGTCTACTCTTTTTGGTTTATAATCAACTTTGAGCTCGATGGGGAAGATCTCGACGAATTCTGACTTGTCAGTGTTGTTACATTTCTCATGTATCTCCGTCTACACACATCTGCAATTACGAGAAGTTACAATTTGTGTATCCCCATCTGCTCATCTGCAGGGACAAAATAGCTTATACCCAACAATTAGATTGATGTGCAGTAGGCAGCTCGATTTCAGGGCAGGATCAGCATAGAGAGGATGACTCACGAAAGAAAGGTTCTTCAGAAACACTCTTCGCCGGTGGACCCTCCGCGGGTAATTTGAACGATCCAAATTTTTTCAAAAAGTCCAAAGCGTCTTGATCGATATGAAGTCTGAGTGGTAAAACCTTGATTCGTAATCTAGCTTCTTGATCCTGCTCTTCCTCCTTCTCCTTCTCCTTCCCTGACCCCTCCCTTTGACCAACACTGGTATACGTATCTCTCCCATTCCGGCCTTCAACACCACCTGGTTCCGAACCTTTAAACTCATTGGTCATTGTAACCTTATGTTGATTGATCCCAGTTCTGATACTCATCAATTCCAATCTCACCATATCCGCTCCACTTTCCCTCATATTACCTCTACTATCACCTTTCATCTCCGTCAAGAATTTCTTCCAAGTGCTTGTTTTTATATGATCCAAAATCTCCATTTTCCCTATTCCAACATGTAACCTATTGACCATTTCTCCATCATCATAAGTGTCCATATCGACATTAACAGCTTGTAGTATTACCTCTATTTGAGGTTTCTTAGATCTTGATAATTTCTTAAATTTCTTTCTGGATTTCGACCTCTTATTACTGATTTCTCCTACATTGTTTTGTAAAGTGCCACGAGGTGGTAATGTTTGCCAAGAGGATTGAGTGTATTGAGTTGCCGTATCCATCATAGGATCAGCTAAATCTAATAATTCAGCATCTATAGCAGCTATCAAAGCTTCCGAATCTAATTCTTCATTTTGATCTAAACCGATATAAACGGAATTGAATAAAACACTATTGGTCTTTTCTATAGAAGCATCAGCCGTTTGACCTGAAGCTAATAATTGTCGAATTTTTTCTAATCTCTTACGAACAGCTTTAATCTCATCTTCGATAATTTTCCTAGTTCGAGACCAATCGTACCCGTCGTGAATGCGAATAGTGACATCAGATTTTTTTATTCGTATTCTGAATTGACCAACACCTCTAGATTCGTTACTGGTAATATCGATAGATGGGAGGTTTTCCCAATAATCAACAGGCATATCAAGTGGACCTTTATATAGAATTTTGATAGTTTCACCTATTGTCTGACTTGAAGGATCATTGGTGTTATCTTCCACTTGCCATGTTCGTAATGTCTCTCCTGTTTGTCGTTCGGGTAGTTGAGAAGTTTGTCGTGAAGCTCGATCAAGATAATCGAGATTGGTAGGAAGATCATCCATGATCATATCGATGTCCAAAGCCAAATCTGGGTCTGTGTTTTTACCCGTAACAAAGGCTTCAGGATCAACAGAATCAAAGACGTTGATAGATTGATCCAACACCGGATGACGACGATCTCTGGGAGGTTTAGGACCGGATAGATTTGATAAATCCCCTATTAGAGCTACAAGTGTTGCCATAGAATCGGCGCAGATAGTAAGAGAGAGTCGAGAACGAGAAATATCAAATTGTGTTTCTTTGTTGATGAGATCTCGAATCAGTTGAGAGGAGAAAGAAGTTAAATCACAAAGTTGGGCCATACCTGCTCGATGCCACGTTTCCGTGGATGTGGTAAATCCAGATTGCAATGTTGTCATTGTCGAAAGATCGTCAATAGCCAGTAAATGTGCTTGTGGGACGTCGATGTGTATTGTATTTTCATTCGAATCGCTGACCATGACCGTGTGAACCTCCACCTGTCCCAAAACGGCCACAAGAGCTCCAGGAAGGGTAGGTGCGGCGATATGGATGGACGATTCATGTAAACTCAACTCTACCCGGGTGACTTCGGAAGGTACAACATCTTCAAATACTCCTTCTGGTGTTTTGACGAAATTTCTTAGTTCCTGTATCCACGCAAAGTCCTTGGTGAGAAAAAAGGTCCACGAGGAAGTAACGATTCTTATCCCGGTTTCTTTAGTGGTCGTAACGGGATTTGTAAGGGATGAAAAGCGCATTTGGACAATGGGTCGATTGTTGAGAGTCAAAGTGAGAGGTGTCGTTCTAGACCAAATACACATCGACGGGATTCGAGAGACATCGGAGAATTCAGCATCCATGATGGTGATTGAAAATACAATCTCTTGTTTTCCTGACGTGTTCTTTTCCACTTTGGCATTGGTATCACTTGCTTTGATCGATAGTGCACGTTCATTCCCAGTAGGATCGATACGAGGGACGAGTAAACGAATGTCTGTCTCACTGACGCTTAGTCGGAGAATGGTGGCAGCAGTCGAATCATCATCGTCATAAGTAGAACTCGAGGCTGAAGAAGATGCTTTGGAACCAAAAAATCGACTGCCGATCATCTTGAGATCATCCCTTGGTCTGGGAGAAGAACCGTCGCCAAATGCTCCATCTAACCAATGGGTGATATCATCGGCGAAGAATTGCAAACCTTCAACGGTTGATTGACGTACGTTGGCTTGTAGAGAAGGGACATCGATGGTGACGACTTGAGTAGAAGATTGAGCTCCTAGATTTTTAGTCGCCGCGCCTTTCTCAACGACGATACTGGGGAATAGGATAGGATCGTCGGGCGTGTCAGTCACATCGGGGGCCAAAGGTCCAATGACGAGGAATGCGGAAGCCTTTTTCGCTGTTCCATCAATACAGAACATTTTGGAGCAGAGGTTGATAACTCACCAGGCACTCGACAGAAGAAAAGCAACACTTTCCTCCACTCCACACGAATGGAAGGAGTTCCTGAAGCCGATCGAAAGTCGCGAGACTGAGACGATTGCCTGGGATAGGTAGTTTTGAGGCAGAAGGTGTGTATATCAAGCGACACCACTCCGGATCGAAGATATCCTCCGTCTCCCCAACTACCACGACGATTGGGTGGAGCAGGACATCTTATGTCTACTCGGATCATTGGACAGCTGACTTGCAGGGTCTGTACAGACCGCTCGGTGCGTCTATAATGCATGCCAGAAGTAGACTGTAAGTGTTCAGGAAAGGTTGGATCAGGTCGGCCGTCAGGGAGGGGTCTGGTGGAACGAAATGCGATTGGGGAGGGTGGCAAAGAACGACTTGAAGGTGACCTCATAGCGGGGCTGACAAGACGAAGGAAAGGAAGCATGCGTTCCACGAGAGAAAGATCGCAGAAGAGATGAACAGGTGCCAAAGATACGAAGACAGCTGAAAGTCAGTGAAATCCGAAAATTCAATCACGACTCACATTGCGAAATGGACCTGCGGACGGTAATACAAGGAGAAAATCTCTCAGTTTCGGTATGATGAGTCTTGAGAACGCTCCGACCAGGTAGACGCACACGCCACGCCTTCTCATTTGGTCCACCTCTGGGCGCTATACCCCGCCAATCACCGCATTCGAACTCTGGAAACGGCTGTCCCACAGGTCCCATAGGTTTAGCGGGAGTGGTGGCGGGTGAAACGATTCCAGGAGCCATAAGATACTGCTTGGAAAGGTTTGGGTCGAATATGAGGACAGGGTAAGTTCCACCAGGAGGAAGGTCTGCCGTGCTATTGGTCATCGGCCTCGTTGCGGTAGGTATGTGTTCGAAGATGGAAACCTCGCCTATGGATAGGGAAATCTCAGCAGGGGGAGAGGTTGGCATCTGACTGGGTCTTCTTCCGGAAGAACCGCCATGAGTACTCTGAGAGGGAGATACTTGACTCCAGCTGTAGATGGCTTGGAGAGACTCGACGCGGAGTCGCAGATGACCGTATGGTAAAACGTGAGATGCTGGGCGTTGAAAAAACTGAGATACAGCGGTTTGGAAGGCATCTTCTACCTCGAATTTGATATCATAGACCAGAACGACATGGATATCTTTGATAGATTGTCGAGCTGTGAGACGAGGTTGAATACTGGAGGAAGGTACGTTGGGTGGTGGGTCGCTGGGAACGGCGTCAGGCTGAATGTATCGAACAGCGGAGAGCATAGCCGCCACTTGAGCAGGTAGAAGAAGCACTGAGATAGTGCCCATGGAGACTTCGAGAGCAACGCAGGGTTCCGGTGTATTAGGCATACTTGGTTTTTGGGCATTGTTACTTGAAGCAGTTTGAAGTGGGGTGATCGTCTTCATACTGCATACGATATCTTCGTTGCCAAAATTGAGCAGCGATATCTCTCTCGAATTGGATCGTTCGACGGAACTCGGGACGGGCGAGGGACTTCTTTCTCTGGTTGTCGATGAACTCTCGGCTTCATCTTCCTCTCCACCATCGTAGGTAGAATGGTAAACACTCATACCAGACGCCATGCTCATCGCACTACTTTGTCGTAGATCGGCCACAGATTGGGACATAAAAAACATCGCCTCTTCATCCTTAGTCATTGGCGTATTTGAAGAATCAGAAGATGAGAAGTTGGACATCGAAGATGATCTAGATGAAGCGGCATGTGTTTTCCTGACAGGTCTTTCAGGAGAGCTGTATATCTCGACATTTGAGAACCGGACGACTCGGAGAATCTCTCTGGCCCCAGTAGGACCAGTACCAGTGGGAGTACTTTCATCACCATAGGTGATCTGACCGATGCGAAGCTCGAAGGTAATACCATGTTGCTCGTCTTCATGTTTCACTCGTATACGGACGTCCTTGACCTTCAATTCCAGTCGTTCCAATATTCTTTCTACCAAGCCCGCGAGCACCGTTGTGCTCTCCACCGTCGGTGCGAGAACATCCGGGGCATGTCCGGGCTCAGAATAGGATGTTGGGGGGAAAGCTCCGGGTACATCGTCATCAGTGATAAATGGATCTGTGTGAGAGAGGATGATAGATTGTCGTATCGAACGGTCGAGCTCAGCCTCTTCGAAGGCGTTTAATTCGTCATGAAGGAAATCACCTGCGGCAGTGGTGACTGAACTGGTCAAATCCGGTGGAGAAGTTTGGTAATTAGGAGAAAGATTCGATAAGGGAGTTCCGTTATGAGAAGAGGATTGTGTGAGAGTGAGATCAAGGTGAAGAGTATCGAGGGATAAAGAAAGAGATGAAGACCAGAGGTTTGGAAAAGGTAATTGAGCAGCGACCTTTGCTAGTGTTCCAGATGTGACGCGTAATGGAACAGAGGTGGGGATGAGTGAATTTATTTCCTGAAATCTCTCAGCTGGGGTCGTCTTTAATGAAAGGAAATATTTACCTCATGGTCAAGCTCCAGACTCTCAATCTCTATCTTACCCTCTCCGATCTGAGCTTGAATCTGATCCACGTCAAGACCCGCTTTTATAAATCTACCGAGGGTCCTTTTGAGTATGAAAGAGAGAAAACGTCGCTGGATGTTAGCAGGCAATGATATGGAAGGTAGTGAAGGGAGGGTGAAGGGGAAAGCTATGAAAGTGGGAAGAGACCACATGCTGGGTCAAACGTATGTGTTGGACGAGCCGCGAAGCCGTCAGAGTGTGTGAGAGCTCGAGAACCAGCACTCAAGATACCTGAAGATATAAAAGATTCAGAAGGTAGATGAGGGACGTTTATGAAGCTATGATGGACATGATTTATGCTATAAGTATGCGATTGAGGGGCATGTTGTAGGGTAAAGTAGTTCTTCGATTGTGTGGTCCGGTCACACACCTCAGAGAAGCAAATTCGCCACTGGGCCATCCCAATGCTGACGTAATCAGGAGCCCCGCACGCACCAGGGAGTTAAGGTTTGTCAACTGTCAACTTTTAGGCAGCGTTCTTATCACAAGCTACCTTCTAACTGTCATGGTCCCAAAGCGTCAGATCAAGACGACATGTCAAGTATGCAGTAAGATAGAATCCAAGTACAAATGCCCAAGCTGTCCATTGAGATAGTGAGTCCTGTCCCACTCATACGAAGTCATAGCTTACTCGTCAAGTTGTTCCGTGGTTTGCTACAAAGAACACAAGAGTGAGTAGTCATCAGTACTCCAGTAACAAAGCTCACTCTAGCTAGCAACGACATGCCAAAGTACCGTCACACACGCTCATGATCTGCAAACAGATACGTCCACTCGAGACGAGGCTGCCTCAACGACTTCCGATTCAAAACTTAAACGATTGACCTCGGTCTCATGGCCACCAGAACCTGACCCCTCTATATTCACCGACCCCCTTAGACGAGACGATCCCAAACCATTACGTCGAGAAGAGCTTATGCGAATAGGTAAGTCCCCTCCATGCTTCACAATTTGATCCTGACAAGCCAGCTACATCTTCAGATCTTCGACATCTCCTATCTACCACTACTCTCCCTCGTATACTACGAATAGTCGATTCACTACCTTCTCCCCATGCCAGATCGAATGCTCTCACGAGACTACTAGGAGTAGATGACGTATCACTGTCCAAACCAGGTCGAGCGACTCTTGTGTCTCAACGAGATTCCCCTCCTCCACTAGAGACTTTATTATCAGCTCTTGCTGGGAATGCAACGGAGGAGACCGACACCGATATGGATCAAGTGGGCTGGTGGCTAGTTCAGGAGGGAACAGAAGGAGGACGTGTGTGGATAGGTGCGGAAGAGAGGAGATTGATGAGAATATGGGCGGGTGTGGTGTGTAAAGCTATCGATGGGGATGAAAAGGGGGAGGTTGAATGGGGAAGAGGAGACCTTGGTTGGGAGGTGTGATGGGAGATGATCACTAATGAACATAATTATATTCTACCCGCATCCTCTTCACCTTTGCACCGAATGACTGCAGTACGGGTACTGCTGCTAGCTACTCTCAAGTATATCAGAGAGTGTATAGGGATGGTGCATAGACAGCACGTGACCGCAGAGGTCCGAGCGCGTCTCATGTCCAACAGCCCTGTTTCATCTTTCCACTTCCCACTTAGACTTTGCATTCCACCATCAGAATAGACACCGGGGCCATCTCACCTTGTAGTAGGAGTGACGTAGAACGCTAGAGCTACCCAGAGAGACGATATCTTGGATCACCCGACACTGTTCATCAGATTGGAGTAAAGAGGACCGGCACCTTGACGGTGGCCACACCTTTCTTGACCCCCTCTGCTTGATTGCTCGCTCTCCTTCACCTTTTAGAACCTTTCCCTACCTAACATCATGTCGGGGAATAATATTAAGGTGAGCATCTCTCTACAAAGTACTATTGCTGAGGAGATTCTGACTTTACAGGTCGTCTGCCGGTTTGTCCTACCTTTGACCAGTGTGATGACGAGCTGACGCAGCTCTACTGTATTCTTCATGATCGGATGTCATCTGCCTCACCTACATTTGGCTCTTGACTGGATCCAAACGCTATCACGCTCTCAATGGCCACTCAACGCCCTACCTCATGTCATTGACATGTCTTCATGACACAGGTTCCGGCCTATGAATCGTCTCGAGAGGGAGCAACGTTCGGAAGAATGTATCACCATAAATGATGACAATACAACGGTGTACATGAAGAACTCTACGGCTCTTGGTGGGTGTTATACCTGTAGACTGGGAAGCGTTGCTGATTTCTATAGCTGGCCCAGAGAAGGAGGGTGGGTGCATGTCCTTACAAAAACTTCCATCGCTATGCTGACATTCCAGGCTTCTCGTTTGATCGAGTCTTCGGCACAGAGACGGAGCAAGAAGAGATCTTCGACTGGGGTGTAAAGGGCATTGTTGAAGGTTCGTAGCCCTACTTGTGCACTATGCTGACGAGAGAGATGTCATGACGGGTTTCAATGGTACTCTGTTCTGTTATGGGCAGACTGGATCCGGGAAAACCTATAGTGAGTTACTCGGTTTCAAAATGTTATATATGCTGACTGTATCAAGCTATGATGGTCCGCTGTTGTCTCCATCGGAGGAAATGTAGCTGACTGCCTAGGGCTCAGACATCGCCAACCCTGATTTGAGAGGACTGATTCCCCGAATCATCGAGCACATTTTCGACTCCATCATGGTGGCCGATGTGAGCATTGAGTATACTGTCAAAGTCAACTACATGGAGATTTACATGGAACGAATCAAAGATCTCTTGGCTCGTGAGTACCTCATCACCGAACTGCATACGTCGGGCTATGGAACTGATCCAGTAAGCGCAAAATGACAATTTATCCATTCACGAAGACAAAGCCAGAGGTGTTTATGTCAAAGGCTTGACAGACGTGTATGTTGGTTCAGAAGTCGAGGTCTTCAAAGTCATGCAGGCCGGTGGGGCGAGTAGGGTTGTCGCTGCTACAAGTGAGGTTCCCTTCTTTACATGACAATGAAAAGCTGATGAATGAGATATGAACGAACAATCATCGCGGTCTCATTCCATCTTAGTCGTCAGCATCCATCAGCGTAATACAGAAACCGGCAGTCAGAAGAACGGGAATTTATATTTGGTAGATCTTGCTGGTTCAGAGAAGGTCGGTAAGACAGGTGCAACAGGTCAAACGCTGGAAGAAGCCAAGAAAATCAACAAGAGCTTGTCAGCGCTCGGAATGGTCATCAATTCTTTGACGGATGGCAAAGTGAGTAATAACTTCTGCGAGCGTTGTTTAGCTGACTTCGATAGTCTAGTCATGTGCCATACCGAGATTCCAAGCTCACCAGGATACTACAAGGTATGGTGCAGCTTGCTTGTTATCTGAGGGTTGCCAGCTGACGTCGTAGAATCTCTCGGCGGAAACAGTCGCACAACGCTCATCATCAACTGCTCTCCTGCCTCGTATAACGAGCCAGAGACACTTTCGACCCTACGATTCGGTATGCGGGCCAAGTCGATCAAGAACAAAGCTCGGGTTAACGTGGAGATGTCCCCAGCAGAACTCAAGGCGTTACTTAAGAAAACGGTAGCCGAGCTTGCTGTGGTTCGGGAGCATGCCGCCAGTCTGGAAGAGGAGATTAAAGTCTGGCGTTCTGGAGGCAAGGTCGACCCTGGTTCATGGGCCCAGTCTCTTACGCAGGCGACAACAACAAGCACCCCCATAGCCCCATCTCGCAGACCTACTAATCTAGCTGGAACCGCGACCCCAAGCTCTCGGTCCGGTACGCCTGCAGGGCTGCTAAGCCCAGGATTCGACAGTCGACCAGACACTCCGACCGTCTACAACATTGGCGCGTTGGACAAGGACGAGCGAGAAGAATTTTTGAAACGAGAAAATGAATTGAGCGATCAGCTTGCAGAGAAAGAGTCCATGATTGCCAACCACGAGAAGCTCATCTCGGATCTAAAAGAGGAATTAGCTTACCATCGTGAGCAGGAAAACAACATGGATGCTGTAAGTCTGTCGAGCCTATGTTCTCAAGGAGCTGATTTCGGTAGGAGAGCAAGAACATGGCGAAAGAGTTGAGCGAGTTACGAATCTCCGCCGGACGTTTCGAGTCAGAAGCCAAAGACGCCCAGATCAATATTGATAGTTACAAGGAAAAGCTAGCCGAGTTACAGAAAGATATGGACGAGCAGAAAGCGCATATTGAAGAGTTGAAGAAGGCGCAGACGAGAGAAAAGGAAGAGGAGAAAGAGAAACGGAAGCAGGAAATGTTGAATGAGATGATGTCAAAGATCGATATGGTGAGTATCAGCTCTCTTCTACGGTCTCTGTGATAGCTGACAATGAGGGTGGTGCGCTTGATTCGGCAAGTGAGAAGCTCAGACAAGTGCTGAGGGATATCGAAACTAGTGGGAATGAGCTTGGGTCTCAGACGAAGGACCTCATTCGGACTCATCTTGCAGAAAACCAAGACCTCGTCAGGGATCTACAGGAACGTTTGAGAGCAGCACAAGAAGAAGCCGACCTTCAGTCAAAGAGACGGGTTGAGGTGGAGAAGGCACTTTCTAAACGTGAGGCTGCACATGAGGAATTACTTGGTGAGCTATCTCTACATGACGTGACTTTTAGTTGATGTAGAAGAAATGACAGCGTCTAAACAGTCTATTCTCATTGAAGACGTCAAGGTCGGTTTTGTTCACTTCTTCTTTCTCGAACCGAGCTGACTGATAGGGGCAATATGAAGCTAAGCATCGTGCTCAAGAAGAACTACTACGTGGGGAGATTGCCTCGTTGTCCCAACAGCAAGATAGCAAGAACGCGGAGATGAGACGTTTACAGAGTACGATAGAAAGTTATAAACTGTCAAATGAGGAACTCAACGTGAGTCTTTTCTTGTCAAGGGACGAAAGAGGCTGATGAGGTTGCAGAGAGCTCTCACACGTGCTGCCGCTGGAAGTGCAGATGGAGAAAGCTTTGCGAGTTCGACTCAAGAGCTCGAGAGGAGCAGAAAAGCAGCCGAGGTGCAATGGGCAGAGTTTGAAGTTGTAAAGCGGAGTTTGATGAAGGATTTGCAGAACCGGTGTGAGAAGGTCAGTCTTTCCTTCTCATTTCGTCCTCACCTTGTCATCTCTGTAGTCAAAATATAATGTTTCCTCATTGTATCTCATCAATTCTTGTCATGTGACACGGTAGACAACTTGTACGATACGTTCACATAGCGTCGAGGAGAAGTCTCGTTTCATCCTTAAATCTGTACCTATGATGTCTGACGCAACAGGTAGTCGAACTTGAGATGCAACTTGACGAAGTTCGCGAACAATATAAAGTCATCGCACGATCCGCCAACTCTCGAGCTCAACAACGTAAACTCGAATTTATCGAATACAACCTTGAAGCTCTCAATAGTGTACAGAAACAATTGGTGGAACAGAATTCCACTCTCAAGAAGGAAGTGGCGGTAGCGGAGAGGAAACTCATGACTCGAAATGACAGGATTCAGAACTTGGAAGTTTTGTTGAATTCCGCAGAGGCGAGATTGGCTCAGAAGGATCAAAAGAGGGATCAACAGATGCAAATGTTGAGGGAGAGGTTACTTGAGGGTGGGTTGAGGTGTTTTCTCAATTGCCCCTCCCCCCCCCTTCTCCCTCTCCCTTCCTCTCTCTCTCGAGATCCCTCTGACTCACCCTTCTCCGCTGTCCCCTCTCACTCATTACCGACCCACGGGTCGATGTCGTGTGAGACGTCAGGGATGAACACATGATTCTGAAGGTATGACGACCAAAGCTGACGTTCTAGCTCAAGCACAAGCGAAACAACCATCTTCCTATGTCCACGGTAGGATCGCTAAACCTCTTCGTGGAGGTGGTGGACAATCCATCCATCAACCCCTTTACCCTTCTCTCAGTTCTGCCAACCCACTTCAGAGGGTACAACAAGAAGAGACGGCTAGTGGTAAACGACGTGAGTTCCGTTTCTCTCTTTCTCACCATGCAAAGGTGTAGGTTGAGCTGATGATGAAAGAATCATGGTTTTTCTCTTCTTCAGGGAAATGAATAGAAGGTTAGAAGTTTTTGAATGTGCATTGATGAATATTACGACTTTGATATGATATTGATATGGATATCAATACGAATGCATTGATGTTGTTTCTACCCAACCATTGTGGGTCATATGCAAATGACAGTACGAGTAAGTTACTCTACTTAGTCACTCATCACTCACCTCCATGCCAACATTTCCACTCCATCTCGAAATATGGAGCCCCAAAGTATGTTCGACTGCCCAAACCGCAGAAAGGTTCATACTCCATTCAAGTAAATGTACCATCGCTGTGAAGAACTCAACCCTTAACCCAATGATCCAATGAAAGCTTGAACAACTTCCCACATCCCCCGGTAAAATCGCACCCTGTGGAGAAAACGATCAAAAGGATGATGTCCCACCCTTCCACCCTTGTAACCGACTTCCCATCCACCTCTCCGACCATCCTTTGTTCATACTTTCGATCGTTTATTCGAGAAACGTCAGAGCCCCTCTTGTCAATGTTTTTTCTTCCCACACTTTGAAATCTCTTTCTCATCATTCAACTCTTCATTCCTTCTGCTTCTGCATATCTCTTCGCACTATCGGTATATCAACATTATTCCAACATACTCAGCATACTCAGGATCTCCACAATCCCAACATCTCAGCATCTCAATATTCCAACATACTCAGTAACTCAGTAACTCAGCGATTCAGCGACTCAACATTCCACCATACTCATCTCGATCTCTACTACCTCAGTGAACTCCTACACATATTGGAAGACATGTCATCGTCGTTCTACATAGCTACATATATACAATATCGTGCAAAAAGCTGAAAACAAGGAAGAGTCACTCCTAAATTCATATTCTCATTCTACTCGAAAACTGATTAATCCACAGAGAATCTCAAGTCTCAATCCACCCATCGTTCCTTCAAAGTACGAGATTAATCCGTGGGTGGTGATTCATACAGAATATCAAGATTGAAAATCAAGAACAATGTCGGACGATGGAAGGGAAGAATCAGTGGAAGACACAAGTGAGGGAATAAAACGTGTCGCGGAAAGTGGAAGAACGATTATTGAGACACTTTTATTCAGGGGTAGTTCATCTCCTTCTGCCCTATCCAAAACACCTTCTGGGTTCCCTCCTACCCCAAATACTCCAACTGGGAATTCATCTTACCCACATGCAGACACCCATGAACCTTCTGAATACGATGCTTTCCCAAACACTCACACTAGGAATTCATCTCACCTACAAGACGACACCCATGCACCTTCTGAATCTAATGATGAACGTATCCTTGCTAGAGGTCCATTCGACTCAGGTGTCGACTCCCGTATACCATATACTGTTAAAAGCACGCGAAACAGGAGCGCATCTACCCCACTTGAAGACTTCGGCATACTTGCCCCACTTCCTACATCTGCTCCTCTCGATTATTCCCGTACAAATCTATCTGATCCACCTGATAGATCTGATATACCTCCTACCCCTGTTGCTGAAGTTTTTAGAGATACCAATCCATCCAACTCGCGTGTCGACTCACAATTACCTTCCACGTTGGCTGTTACAGATACCCAGACTAGAAGCCCATCTACGCGACTTGACGGTACCAAGTCTGGTGCAATTACATCAAGTAGAGGTCCGCATTACAAATCTTACTCATGGTGCCCATCTGACGGATCCGAGGAATCTAATGCGGCGGCTGCTAAAACCGATCCTACCGGGGGTCCTCCTGACCCATCTGGTCCGTTGCTCCCAACTGACCAGTCCGCGGTGAACAATACTACCCGGTTGGAAAAACTGTCCGACAAGGCAACTTCGTCACTTCGTCGAGGTATTTCCGTCATTCCAACATCGTTGACTCATAAAACTTCTCCTGTCAGCAAGGGAAAGCATGAAATTGGAAGTGATAAGAATTCTCCTGTAAGAAAGACGAAGAATGAAATTGGAAGTGTTAGTGATAGTGATGACGATAGTGACGAGGAAGTATATCATTCTTATCCATCTTCACCGGTATCTCCTAGATCTCCTACAGATACTCAACCTTCTCCCATCAATCCTTCAAGGCTTCCTCCCCTTATCGAAGACTCAGCTCAGCAGTGGACTAGGTTGGGGTCGACACAGCGGTTTGATAACGGTGGAGATGGTGGCAGAAATAGCAGAAGCACTTCTTCAGTCAGAGGGCAAACCGGACGCAATAGAGATGCTCGGACAAGACGGTCCTCGATGCGACCACCCCGGCGCCCTGATGATAGATCTGAAAAGAAATCGAAAAAAGTCGCTTGGGCCGAGTCCGAATCTACAAAACCAAGCTCAACAGGAGAACCTCCGCCATCTTCCATGAATGGGCAGGGCGTCACCGTCATGCCTGACGGAAATGAAGCTTCCGGTTCTCATTCCGATCGGTCTATTCTTCATCCGAGGTCAAACGATGCTAGAGGAAGTACCACACTTGAAGGTCCCTCGACCGAGCCTGGAAGATCTGGTGGACGTGAAATCCGGGCTGATACATCGGGATTCGACGAACTTCATAATTATTATTCCATACCTCCTCCACACCCACTGGTGGTCTCATCAGCTCGAATGGGAGACGCTCCTGAACCGATATCCGCTGCTCCTTCTTACCGCACAGTCGCGGAAGAAGGATCACAGATCATCGACGGAATTTGGACCGGCTCTCCATCCAGGGATGCTCCCACAGGTTCAAGGCCGTCCATGGATAGACCTCCCTACGTTCGGCCCGACAAGACACGAAGTTACACCGAAGGCAGCCGACCAATTTCCACTGTACGTCGTAGTCCCAACATATCCAATGAAGTATCACAGCAATCTGAGGGTCCCGTTCTTAAGACGGGTCCACAAGTCCGATCTGACGATAAAGGGGAAACTCGGCTGGAAGCTCCACCCATTGACGACGAAGGTTCCGACCAAGAAGGATGGACGGACGAGGAAGAAGATCAAAATCAAGACCAAGATCCAAACCAAGGGAGCGTGTCGATGCGAGATGGAAATACTGGATCGAGCGTCCTACGAAACTTGCTAGGTCTGCCAAGTAAAGTATTGAGTTCAGGGCTGTTTGGGAAGAAGAAGCATCGAGAAAGTCAAGATCGAGTGATAGTCTCTCCCAATTCCAGTGTAAACAATGTGGACACGGATCGAATTGAAGAAGGTTACGTTGATCTCGGTGGAAGAAATCCTGACACAGCGGACGGAGGAGATTCGAATCCTCGAGACGAGATCGAGACCACTGGTTATGATCCTCTTACATCCGACAATCGCCAATCGCGGCGTGGACTCCGTCCCCGGCGAAGAAGACCTGGAGAGACTGGGCGACAAACATCAGGGAGAAGTTCAAGAGCCTTGACGGAGGATATGTCAACGAACCGTCCGACCAGTCCAACGCATACTGCTCCGGCAACTGAAGAGGTATCGTCAAGACACGCTTATCCTTCTCCATATTCCACAAGAAACGTTGATGATCCAAACGATGAGTTGGAGCAGAATATGAGAAATCTTCGTCCTACTGGATCCACCGGAGTTCAACAAAGTACTGATGCAGTCGATGAGTCAAATCCGACAAAAGGAAGTTATCTGGGACAGAGGCCATACTTGGATCGATCAGAACAAGATGGCCGAACAAGTCGATTACAGGGGGTAAAGTCTCGGATACCAGAATCGATCTTGAGGACGGGAGAATATGTAGAGCCTTCAAGACGTGATGTGAATTCTAGAGGAAATAGGAGATTGGGAAGTGAATCCGGTATCAATGATGGCTTGACCGAACAGAGGGAAAGTCAAGAGGAAGAGGAAATAGGATATCCGGGGATCAGCTCTGAAGGAAGCTCATCATCAGTATACTATTCTCCGTCGCCAGATTCACAAACACTATCATCGTCGAGAGACACTCGTCCCCCGCCGCCAGTACCACGGAGACAACGATCTCCCTCTCGGAATATATCACCGTTTAGATTCCCTTCTCCCCCGCCTCTAAGTTCCTTTCGCGATCCTCTGTCAGTCCATCTTCCCCAGAGCGACGAACAGGCACCTACAGGGTCTCGTAGAAGACGAGACAGAGGGGATGAAACTTTCCCCGACGGTGACTTGAACACTAACCTCGATCAAGCTTTCCTCGCTACGCCTTATCCCAGAGCGCAAGAGGAAGGGACTAGATCCGGTATTTTTTCAATGCCTGTTCCGAAACTATTTGAAGGAGGTGTACGAACTGGGAGAATCCCTTCTCCCCCGCCTCTGAGTTCCTTTCGCGATCCTCTGTCAGTCCATCTTCCCCAGAGAGACGAACATGCACCTACAGGGTCTCGTGGAAGACGAGACAGAGGGGATGAAACTTTCCCGGACGGTGACTTGAACACTGACCACGATCAAGCTTCCCTCGCTACGCCTTACCCCGAGGCGCAAGTGGAAGGGACTAGATCCGGTATTTTTTCAATGCCTGTTCCAGAACTGAATCAAGGAGATGTAGGAATTGGGAGAGGTCCAGATAGTTCGGCTTATTCGGCTATGCCCAGATCAAGACGTTATGCTCCGTTCTCTGATGAAGGAACTGGGCAAGATGACATGGTGGAAAGGGGGCGGAGTCCCCATATAAGACGTTCTCTGTCATTGTCGAGAATCCCTTCACCCCCGTCTCTAAGCTCCGTTCGTCGTCTTCGGTCAAAAAATCCTTCACAGAGCAACAGACAGTCACGTTCAAGGTCTCGTGGAAGTCGAGCAAGAGGAGATGAAACTTTCCCCGACGGTGTCTTGAACCCTTTGGCTAGTATTTTCGACATGCCTGTTCCGGAACTATCCCGAAGTAGTTCGGCTCGTTCTGCGAGTCTCCCAAACCGATCGAGAAGAACGTTGACGATGAGTCATAATCCGAGAGACGACGGCGAGGAGGAAGAGGAGGAGACACCAGGTGAGACCGGACAAGAGACAACACCGGAAGTTGTTGAGGCTACAGGATGGAAGAAAAAAACAGGGCGAGCATTTGGAAACTTCTGGAAAGAAGTGAAGGACCAAGCCCGCGTGAACGAAGACGATTTCTTAGGGAGGATAGACGCCGCGAAAGTTGAGAGGCGCGATAGGACACGGGACCTTTATGTCGATGGTGAACGGTATAGTTTGAACGGTAGACGTTGGGAAGATGCTCGAGAAGAGTTCTTTCCCGACCTGGATCCTATGCCTCCGTATGCGGCAGACAGAGGAGATAAACCAGACCGAAGACACGGAGGGGTTGTAGATCCGTTTTTTGAACCCCCTAGAAAACGTCATCCTGATGTCAGATTCAAGCGGAGAGTAGGAGCGAAATGAGAACACATGAGAAGGGACGGGTGGTAATATGAATACAACGTGATGGTCTCCATAGTATTTGTTATCAAAAGAGACCGAAAGATGTTGTGACATATGTAGAAACAAATTTAAAGAATTATTGTAATCTGACAACAGCACCACCCAAGACTGTTGAAGTAACCAAATAAGCTTCCTAGCCAATGGTCCTGCAGGCCTATTTTTCCAACAAAGACGTCTCGTCGAGAGAGAACGTTGCATTACGTAATCAGTCAAAGTCCGATCCCTTCCGAGTGGTTTCTGCCAATCAGCACACCTCCATCTCATCTTCTCCCATCATCCATATCCCTACCTTACTTTACCTCTTCCCTCGCTCGTCTCTTCTACTGGTAGTTTCTAGTATAGGGCAGATCATCATGTCTCTTCTCAGATCTTCTACTTCTTTAGCTTCTCGAGTAGGATTAGGTGTTAGACCTTTGCATACTAGTGAGTGGTCTCGCTCCCCGTTGGTCAATAGCCTCCATCCTTAACCTTCTCCTGCTTCACGTAGAGGTAGACTGCACGATGATTTAGATCTACCGAAAGCGAAAGTAATACTTTAGGGGAAAAGGATATTGCATAGTCGTCTTCCTTCTTCTGACAGAGGAGGTAAGACCTGGTGACTGGGGGGCAATTGACAACATGGGAGCATGCGAGGAGAGAAATTAACAAGTTAGCTCGTATCGCTTCGATACATTCTACTAGGATAAGGAGAGATGCTTTGATAGCTCCTAATGAAACTGGAGGGTTCAAATATGTACCGGGAGGACGTGAGTTTCGTTCCAAAACTTTATCTTCATTTCATTCACCTCTCCATTCGAAGTCATCTGTTCTCTAAGTTCTCAACTCTATGCAAATATCAATCATCTATCAAACTCTGACTACATGTCAAATAAAACTCATCCTGAAGTCCCAAAAAATGGGGTTAATTGAACGCCTTCGATGAGAGTAAGGGAGGAAGAAGCGAAAGAAAGTCCATTAACCCCCCAGCTGTTTTGAAAGGAACAGTTAACGACGCTACATCTTTCCCAACACCTAGTAAATCCCATGGATCTTATCATTGGGCTTTTGAAAGGTTATTATCAGCTTCTTTGATTCCTGTCATGGGAGCTGCTGCTGTATCTTCCGGTAGTGCATATGTGAGTGTTACTTTTCTTCCTCTGTTACTCCATCCACCCTGCTTCTACAACCGTAATACCACTTTTTGTTCTTGTCTCACTTCATCTATCTTTAGACAACCCTACCTTCTGCTATGATCACATGCGATCCTCTTGTGGGGACAGATGATGTCTCATAATTATCCATTTGGACGAGCTTGTCTTTACTTCCAACTACGAGTGAAAAATCATTTTGAATCAGTTTAAACTGGACCAACCCCGCATCCCAATCTCTCTGTTTCTCCCGGAGCAGGGATCGAAAGAGCGAGACAGGAAGAATAACAAGAGGATGGGCTTTTAGGCTAACTTCCAGCCCGTCTTAGATGGTATACTCGCCGTATCCTTGATCATCCATTCGCATATAGGCTTCGATTCATGTATCATCGATTATATTCATCCTCGTAAATTTCCTATTTTGGGTCCGATTTGTTCTTGGGCTTTGAGAGTTGGGACGGGATTAGCAGTTTGGGGTGTATATGAATTTAACACGAATGATATTGGTATGTTAAACCCCATTCATCTCTCTTCATCATTACGTCTCATCTTTCATTTCTATCTACTCCCCTTCATCCTACACACTGCAACCTACCTCCCTTCCTCTTACACAGCAATCCACCCCCTGATTTCAATCTTCTTGAAATACAATCGTGCTGGATACAAACAGAAGCATGTGGATTCGTCGATTTATCGACTTGATCAGACAGCTGGAAGTGAATGAAAGAAAGTTGACGTATAGGTCTGACCGAATTGGTCCGTCAAATGTGGACAGCTTGAAGAATTCGTTTTTTTTAGTAGTATGTACCATCAATGCAACTGCAGCTTGTCATACGTCTTTTGGAAATACATGAAAATCTCGTTATATTGATATACTTGATGCCTACACATGATATCCTTCTTTCCTTCCTTGTTCCTTTGCCTACAATTGAATCCACCGCATTACCTCATAAAGACCTCGTACATGCTTATCTGACTAATTCGCTCGTGATCTTTTCCACTCTCCACCTTGATCATGTAATTCTCCCAAAGCTTGTCTCATCCCATTCCTCTGACCAAATCCTACCCCACCTTTCCCACTCATTCCTCCTCCTCCTCCTATTCTCCCATCTCCATTCATCCCTCCCACTCCCCCTTCCCTTCCATCTTCATTCGTCCTTCCCACTCCCCTCCCCTCCCCACTCATCTCTCCACCACGTGAGACTTTACTAGGCGATACATGTCTCTTCATCAACCAACATCAAACCTTTTAAAAATGGAAACTCACAGTGATTCCCCATCTGGTCCATTTGACAAACCTCTCTTAACCCCTCTAGCACTGGAAAACCCCGTATTGAGATCGGTGGAATGAGACGACAATTCATCCAATCCTAAATGTACTGCAGTGGAACGAAACACTGAAGTAGCTTTACCCGCTATAGCCTCCACTCCACCTGAAGGGATACGGGGGGATGAGTTTCCAGTTCTGGTATGAGGGAAAGAAGTGGGTTTGTGTATGGGTGAAGGACGAGAATCGGTTGACATGGCTGATGTTATAGCTTTTAGACGGGCTGAAGCACCGCTTGTGGGTACGGTCTGACCGTCAGTTATTGTGAACTCGAATTTCTACCAGAGAGGGTTCAAAGTGAAAGAAGGTGGTGTGGAGAATGTAAGTAAGTAAGATGAAGCCTGATGAGAATGAGAAGACTAGAAGTTGAAATGAGAAGACTAGAAATTCAAATAAAGAACAGAGCGGGAGAGAAATCAAGGATGAATTGAAGACTGTGTTGAGCCTGGAATGGGGAGTGAGTAGGTTGGGCCGGGGGGAGGAGAGACTCACACCGTTATGCTGGGGATAAACGAACCCTCCGACAGGTTTGACTTTAGGTTCAGGTACAGTCACACTACTTCCACCAGAACTTGTCATCGGTTCTCCATTTATCTGCATGTTCATCGGAGGAGCATGAATAATTCCACTGGTACTCGTATTGCTACTCGTTTCTGGTAAAGTCCGAGATCTTGTAAACGTACTGTCCTTTGTGAACTTTGTTCCCGGCTGCGCGACTGCAGGGATACCGGGAAGAGGTAAATCGGGACGATGTCGATGTTGATAAACTGGAACATCTACTTTTGGTGGTTGTACCGTTGAATGTGGTGTTGAATGTCTCGGTAATGTCGTATTGATAGTATTTGAAGTTCTGTCAATTCAGTCCTGACCCATATGTTGTAAGAAGGTAAATTTGAAAAACTAGAAACTCACTCGACTGCCATTGTGGAAATATCCACTTGTTCCAGAAAACTATCACCTTCAAAATCTAAAAACTCGGCATCACTCATTTCCCCAAATGTATCTTCCACCACTCTCAAAGGCGTACCAGGGGCGATTGTTGCTTTTTGTATTGGTCCGGGATTAGGGGTGATTGATCTAGTGGGTTGAGGGATGTTTGGAGGAATAGCAGAGATAGGTCTAGATGGTCCTGCACCTTGTTCTGTGAATTCCGGACGACGTTCTAAATCCGATACGTTGAATTTGGCCTCATAAATCAGGAAACATCAAGGGGAGAGAGGAAAAACGTACAGGTGGAACTTTCATTTTGACTATTTCTTTGGTGTAATCTTTATCGTATAGACAATTTCCTAGTAGATTTCCAAATGTTTTCAGAGCACGTTTTGTGGCGTCTGTGACTGCTTCTTTCTTTGCCTATTGATCAGCTGTACATCCAAGCAAGTCACGAATAACAGATTCCTTACATGGAAGACGTAAGAGGAAAGGGAAGTAGAGACTGACTTTATCTAAAGCTGCACCTTTACCTCTGACATTCTCACATTGTCCACAACCTACATCCTCATGAAAACAACCGTCTTGTAAAGTTATCCGTACTATAGCTGTCACGTTGACTGAAACTCTTCCTTGATCATTACAATCCAACTATGGATCAGCTTTCGACAAAATGATGGAGGAAGCTATACTGACAAAATCAGTTGTTAAAGAAACGATAGAAGATGACCATCCATTGAATGAAAATACTTGATTGGCCAGGTTGATAACTAACATCAGTCTTCCTCTCATAACATCGTCAAGATGAGATCGATCAACATCACAAGACATACCTTTCCATCCTTCCACATAACTCATGGTCAGCTATAGATAAGTTCTAGTGTGAGAAGATTCTTACCTGAGCTTTGGTCCACCAGCAGGTCCAGGACGTTGTGTTATATATTCCGGACCGAGCTTTTTAGCTAATCGAGCTTGAAGAGTCGCCACCTTCTCTTCTGACCATTGTGTGAACTTTGCTCCGAAACCTTGACTGGGTTGTCCGAAAGCGGATCCTGAAGCATAGGCTGTACCGAAACTCATCCCTGCACCAGATACAGAACCATGGTGAGACATCCAAGTGGTATCGTTTGGGTCCATGGTGGAATTAGACGAGAATGTGGTTGACTGTCGTAGGTGAGAAGGAAGGTGAGGTTTTGTTTCTCGGTATGATTCAATGAGATGAGATGAAAGGCTCATATCATGTCTTGTGGTGTGGATTAATCAGTCTTGGATCTCCCCAAAAGGTGAAAGAAAGAAAAAGAGGAGGCAAAGTAGGAGAAGGGAGAGAGTGAGCCGTAGATGGCTTTTTGACCAAACTGCAAACCGCAAACTCGCAGAAATCAGTCACGTCAACCTGAATGCTTACGTAATTTGATTTTTCCCTACCAGCTCGCGTTTTGAAAAGAGAACATAGCGAGTCTTCGACTGCTCGACTATACTTCTACTAAGGTAGAGGTGCAGACACCCAAAAGAGCTGTATCGAACATAGAGAAGACTGGAGATGGCAGCTCTACTACCTATCCCAGAGGGAAGAGTGAAACGACCTACTACCTCTTATTCCTCTCTCACCGAACTATCCGCTCCGTTCCTCCTCGACCCTTCCACCAGGAATTACAAGCATCAATACTCCAACATTTACTTTGTCCGTTTGGTAGAATTACGACCTATAGTGGAAGAACGTGCAACTGAAAGATGGGGGAATATACGAGGTATATCCCTCTCACCCTCTCTTGCCCTCCACTACGTCCTACACCTCATCGAAACTGATCACACAGGTAAACCCCCACTTTTACCAAGAATTCTCAATCTGCAAAGATCACAACTGTGTTATATCGTCGGTACAGTTTACATGGAGATGCCTCTCAAACCTAACATCCTGGAAGATATGGCACGAGATGTGATTATATTCCTGCTTGCCTTGACTTGACTGACATGGTCAGCATTGGATCGCACCTCCAGCTCCTAGACCAAAGTTTTATTCCGCCCAAGATGCCGTACATCTCGAAGATGAAAGTGGACGTGTCAAACTCATAGGTGAGAAAATCAAGAAAGAGAGAGATCGAGAAGGTGGTGGTTTAGTCACTGGTGAGTTCATCCAGTTTCACACAAAACGAGAGATGAGCTGATAATAAGGGGTCATCATGGCTGCTTTGGGTATGGAAACTTCTTCTGGAGATTTTGAGGTTATCGATTTATGTTTCGCCGGAATGCCTGATGTGTATAAACCGGCAGCTGGTCCATCAAATGGTCATATAAATGGGAAAGGTAAAGCTCGAGCGAGGACGAAAAACATGGATATAGAAGGAGATAATGGAGAGAAAACTTGGGTAGCTATAGTTTCTGGATTATGTGTAGGAGCGGAAGAAGCTCCAGCAGATTTGAAAGTACAACTTCTACTAGAATGGTTGACGGGTGAATGTGGAGGATTGAGAGTGAGTCGAGATATTCTTCCTTGAGCGTGATAACTGATGAAATAGGATTTAGAAGATGGTAGTCGAATAGCAAGATTGATCTTAGCTGGTAATACCTTGGCTCAACCTGTCAAAGGTAGAGATGATCAAAAACCCGTATGTTGAACTACTTTCACTATTTCAAACCGAAGCTGACGGAGAAGAAACGATTCAATAATTCAACTAAACCCATATATTCATCACATCCCACTAAATCATTACAACTCCTATTATCAGACTTACTATCCTCATCACTCCCGATAACCCTCATCCCCGGTCCATCAGATCCAGCAGGGGCTACACTCCCACAACAACCTTTACCGAAAGTCATGCTTGGTGGAAAAGCCAAAATGACAGGATTAGAAAGTTGTACTAATCCCAGTTGGATAGAAGTAGGTGATCGTAGTTTTTTTCTCAGTGGGGGTCAAACCGTGGATGATATATATAAATATATCCCTAGCAGTGGAAGATTAGGAATGGCAAAGAGAACATTAGAATGGAGACATGTAGCACCCACTGCACCCGATACTTTATGTAAATCCGTCTTTCTCTACGTAACATACCACAGCTGATGTTCAGGGATATATCCTTTTCCTGACGCAGACCCTTTTGTGATACATCATCGTCCAGATGTTTACATTATAGGTTGTCAACCAGAATTTGAGACTGTCATCGTTGGAGGTAAGCATTTCCTATCTTGTCAAGATTGAAACTCGGTCGTGAAGAGTCGCCTGATATTCAGACGATTCACCAACTAGGATCATACTTGTACCTGGATTCGTAAAGACGGGACAGGTGGTGTTACTTTGCTTGGAGACTTTAGAATGTAAGACGGTCGAGTTTGAAGTACCTACTTGGGTAGGAGAGATGGTGTAAAGATGGAGTAGAATGATGCAGATGTTGTCTTGAGAGATGGAAGGCCATTGTTGGCTACATGATTCCACCTGATCGCAGCACCATGCAGGGTGACCAGTAGTATTAGGACAAAGGTTATCTCGCCTCCACCGGTTTTGCTTTCTGAATCGTTCACTCGCCACTTGACTTGCTCATTTTTCACCCCACTTTGGTGGATATGGACCACACGAGTGATCCCAGACTATCGCAAAGTAGACAAAAGGTCACCGAACGTACACTTGAGCATCTACCAGATGATGTTCTCTCACAAGTTTTAGACCGACTATCACTTCCTGAGCTGTTATCGCTTCAACAACTCAACTCTTCTCTCCATCAACGGGTATGTCTCCTCTCTCTTCTTCTCCATCATTATGAAGTATATCCCAACACGCTTTCTCTTCATGTTAGTCATTGTGACTTACAGCCCTCAAGACATGCTCTGATCCTTCCACTTCCACTTCCACTTCCACATCCCCCCTCAATCGCTATCATCAACCTCGACTCTCATATCGTTCCTCTTTCAAAGCTGCAATGAAAGACACACGTCCCATACTCTAGACAAGCTTTCATAATGTACGAATGACACCGTGACATAGTATCCAATCACAGATGAGTCAAATTGACTATGCAGATCCTTCACCTCGGTATCCCCCTTTACCTATCTCATCATCCTCAATCTCACCTCACACTTCATCCTCCAGTCCAAGAATGGTCTCCTCTATCCCTTTTGAAACTCAATACATCAATAGATCGTTCTCTTTCTACTCATCGTTGGAGAGCATTACAAGTCGGACAAACTTGGTCACAAAAAGTTATCCCTGCTTTAGCTCTTTCCTCCGATAAACTTTTATTAGGCGTAGGAGGTAAATTGATAGTTCATCCTCTACGACCATTTGAACAAGCTCGACATCCAGAAGATTCGATAGAAGAAGAAGAAGTCTTCAATTCTTCTACTCTGAATCATCCTGATACGACAAGTGGATCGTATGAAGGTGGGAATAAGAAGAATAACGATGATATCAGGAAGAACAATAATGTGGATTGGAAGCACGATGAGGATTGGAAAGAACATGATGGAAAGGAAGAAAAGAGATCACAGATAGAAAAAGAAGGACCTAAAGTATTACATCGAGCTATTGAACATTCAATCGTTTCATCTGAATTAGGTTCTGCAGCGGATATAATAGGTTTAGCTTGTTTATCTTCTGAAGAAGGAGGAGATGTCGTTGTTGCTCAATATGATGGAACTATAAGAAGATTTTCTTTATCTTCAAATGGAAGATCTATTCGACATCTTTCAACATTTCTTTCACCTTCTTCTTCTTCCTCCTCCTCGTCTTCATCCACGTTCAACACTTCTTCCGCAAGGCAAAATCCCAACTTGGACCCGAATTCTACGGTTATAGAAGATACAAATCAACATGAAACCAACCCTATCCCATGGAGAGATATTTCTCAAGGAATCAAAAATGGTCTTCATACATTATCCCATACTAAATCTTTATTTCTCACTACAACATCAACTTCCGCTCATTTATATCATCTCAATTCTCCTAATCTTCCTCCAACAACATATACATTACCCTCTTCCTCCTCCTCCTCCTCTTCTTCTTCAACATTATCATCAACTATGGAGGATTCTAATAATGGTAAAGGAGAAATACGTATTTGGTCATCATTATTATCATCATATCATCAATCTTTATTTTTAGGATTATCAACATCTATATCTATTCATCCTTTTTCTTCTTCATTAAAAATATCTTCTTCATCAAGAATCCTATACGGTCCTGAAGAACCTTTAAAATCATCAGCTTATTCAATACGATTACCACCTGATAATACACATGATCCGAATTTATTATTAAGTTCATGGTATGATAGTTGTTTAAGAATACATGATTTACGTGAAAAATCAAGTGGTAACGTAATGGAAATGAACGATCCTTACTCTTGGGCAGATGGTAGTGCAATGTATTCTTGTTGTTGGATAGGTAGTTTTCATGTAGCTGGTGGAGGTTCAAGACATGGTACTGTAGCTTTATTCGATTTAAGATTTTCTAAAAAACCTTTATCGATAGTATCACCCACGACATCGAATATGAATCAAGATGGAATAGGAGATTATTCCAATATTCATGGGAATTTAAATTCACAATCACATTTCACATCTACTCCAGGCAACTCATCTACTTCACCATCTTCATCAAACTTACGAACAATCACATCGATATCAAATTCGAAATCATCATCGAATCTCCATAACAAGTCAAAAAGTGCGGAATACAATGAAAACCAATACGGTTGGAAATTAAAACCCAACATTCAAGGTTCATTTCCAAAACAACAACAAAACTCAGATTGGTCACTTTTCTCACCAGGTGGTAGAGGTTCACCAGTTTATTCAATGATTTCTTCATCTGGTAGAATATACGGTGTAACGGAAAAAAGATCATTCGTTTTATCTTTTGATAACGTGAATTCTACAGATGAAATCGTACATTCATCAGCAAGAGCGAATCAAAGGAAATCAATTGATACTCCTTATTCCTATAGATCAAGAGGTGGTAGATGGGGTTGGACAGTTAGATATGGTGAATATGCTCAAGTTGATAGAAGTGTAGGATATCAACATGGTGATAGAGCTGTTAGATTGTTTGAAAGTTTGTCTTAGAGAAACGAAAACATGATATGGTATTTGTTCTCGCTCCCTGTTTACTTGCATATTATTAGCTTGTGGGGTGATTATTTTTACGATAACTGATTGAGGTTACATCTGTGCTATAATGAGTACTCTACGAGTACGAGTTAAGTGTTATTATATATCCTGCAATTGTTGTTTTGTTCCGAATAATGAGATACTTATTCGTTTTGATCGATTTTATATTAGATGCCATATTTGTAGTATTTTGACGAATAGATGTTCCGGATAGAGAATACAGGTCAGTACGGGTGAGAGTAACGTATGAAGTTCACACTTTATGTCCCAGTGTGGGTTTCGAGGTGTTGAGAGCTAGGAAAGAGGAGTGAGAAGAGGGAGAAAGAGGAGTGAGAAGAGGGAGAAAGAGGAGTGAGAAGAGGGAGAACGAGGAGTGAGAACGTGGGAGAAGGAAAGGGGTTGAAGATAGATGATTGACCCATGATCCAAGTCTCAACCATAAATCTGCCTCTTGTCATTGCGATTTCATCTTTTATATCACATACAAATCAAGCCATCCATTGTTCCAACATACCTTCCGTCACGTCCATCCCGAGAGTCAGACTGGGATCTAGACCATATGGTTCGGCGTCATTTTCCAACATCTGACAATTAGTCGTTGCTTCTTCCATTTGAAAATCGACGGTCAAGTATATGAGAAGATCTCTGACACAAGGGTTGTTCCCGGTTAGGCGTGCGGTGAGAAAATATACTCTGCTACGGGCTTGTCCAAATTATCATGGAGACTCATGATGATCGGTTGTGATAAGATGTCGTATCGTTCCCCCAATGAGGGGAACGAGGTGAGGAAAAGTTAGGTGAGAAGAGACAAGCAGGATGGGGAAAGGACAAAGAGATGAATACGATCGACTCACAGTGAGTAATTGAGTCATCATCCCATCCACATCCGATGGTGATATCGTATTCCCACTTCCAGCAGAAATCAATCGTCGATATTGAGCGATCTTATCCGACGTCCCTGCCTATGATGTCAGAACTAACTCTTTGTCTCTCTATCTCTATGTGATGACAGCAGACCACGCTCAATTCATTTCAAACCTAGAGTCTTTACGCACCGGTCGTGGTGGTAGTGAATTTTGCAGGGAGCGTGAAAAGTACATCAAAGCAGATGGAGTGAGCGATTAGAAAGAGTCTGAGTCGAACTCACCTCCGCTTGAGCCTTAACATACCGTCTCACCAAATCCACCCTTCTCTTCCTTTTCTCTTCCAAATGCCATCTCAAAGTCTCCTCATTTTCTCCCTGATACCCCATCCCTTCCCCTCTTCCACTTTGTTCCCAAGTTTCCCAAGTCCTTTTCAAACTTTCATTCACTCTCCTTCTCAACGCCGATTGTAATTGTTCATACTCCGTGCGTTTCTGTTCCAAAGGAGCTATCTGAATTTTAAGACTGTCGATAATCTTTGTCGTATCCGATATTTCCGCATGAGTCGAAGTGAGAGTAGCTTTAGCTTGTAATATATCCCTATCTTTCATTTGAGCTTCAGAATCAAAAGATCTTGCTAATGTCTGCATATGTGTGGTTAAATCCGATAACATTTGTCCTCCTGCCATTCTTGCAGCTTCGGATAGATACAATTGTGGTGAATCTTTGATTTGTATTCCATTGGGTCTTTCATGTATTGGAGAAGAACGAAATCGTTCATCTTCTAATATATATTCTTCGGCAGATTTCAAATCTCTATTCCGAATTTTAGGATCAGCACCATGATCTAATAAAGCTTTGACGAGTCTTCTACTTCTAGCTCGAGCAGCTAAAGTGAGAGCGGTCTCACCTTCTTCATCTTGAAAATTTATCACGTCCGCTAATTCTTGTGGAAAGTCTGATAATCTAGAAAGAATAGTTTCCATATAATATCGCGCGGCATGGGTTTTACCCTTGTTCAAAGCGAGATTGGCAATGTGGTGAAAGACAGTACGGTTTTGTTTGTCAATATTGAGTGTCGAACGATGTAACAGTTCGTATATTTCGGCAAACTTTCGAACGTCGTAATTGTTGGAAAACATTACACTCCTCATAAGAGGTGTTTGGTCGGCACAATTGGCAGCGAAAATACTAGCACCGGCGGTTAACAATAATTTCACAACTCTAACTCGACCCATCGCGCAAGCCCAATGGAGAGGCGCATGTCCGTCATCATCGATAGGTTGATTCGGATCAAAATCAGGAGGTGGAGTAATCAAGAAACTTGGTATTTGAGTGGTCTCCGAGATAAAGTAATTGAGGATATGATCTGTATACTTTGTTGGACCATCTGCCATTACTGTAGGTTGAACAGGAGGAGATGATCGAGGTGTATGAATAGCAGAATTTCCTCTCGCGTTTCTTAAATGAGTATAAGGATCAAGATCTTCTTCCAGCATAACGTTCACCGATCGTTTCCGTGAAGTTCCAATTCCCATTCCTAACTCTGGGTCTAGCTCTTCCAAAGCACGTACAGACGTCACGGGTGAAGGAGTGACAGATTCTTCTTCTTCATCTGCGAGAGGTGAGGTAGACATACTGTCGTCAGCAGATTTGGAAATGGGGTCGGTCGGAGAAGAATGGATAGGAGCTTGTTTGACATTCCGTGCGGATAATTGAGCTTGAGCTTGAAGGGCTGCAGCAGACATAGGTCCAGTTTTGGTTGGTGTACTGAGATCTTTGATGGCTTTACTTTCTTTATCTTTTTTGGTTCTTGTGGGAGGGGCAACGATGTGTTTGGGAGCGGGAGGTGGGGATTGGGAAGTGGCTCGATAGTCGATGATAGGTCGAAGAACATCTTCAACGCTGAATTGTTTCGATAATGCTAATCCTCTTTCGACCGGGATCCAAGTTCCTGTATGTGAGTGTGAATTCCTGTCTCGCTCGAGTGATCAATATTCTTGAAAAAGATCCCAGTGATCGTAAAATTCCACATCTCATGTCAGACGCAGCGATGTAGAACATTAGCAGTACAACAAAAAGAAGAATATGAGGTCACAGAGTAAGACGAGAAAGACAAACCTTGGTATTTGCCATAACCCCCTTGCACCTTCTCATGTTCACCTTTCTGGACCTCCCTCTCCAACACTCGTGTTCTTTGAGGTTTGTCCAACCCAGCAACTTTCAAAATCTGCGTGGCGTTTAGATACCCGTCTGATCTCCTACGCATAACAGCTATATCTCGACATATCATCTCATATACGGGGCTTCATGATCAGCTCGGAATTCTCATCAACACAAGCACAACTCACACTCCACTGTATTGAGAAAAGAGGATTATATCAGCGTTCATTCATCAACATTCCTTGGTCATTCTCTCACCTATATGTAGCCTGGACAGTCAGCTATAAGCACTTATAAGGAAGATAAAGCTGACCTTGAAGATGGTATTGGGACCATTCTCCGTCCCCGTTGCCAAAGGTTTTTTGCCCATCCCGTGTTTGACCCTTGTGGGCGATGATCACCCGACTGAGGCCAGATTTTTTCTACCAGGATCTCAAGAACTGTCTTTCGGAGCACAAACCAGAGTATATGATCAGCTCAGGACTGAAAGACGGAGATCTCTTAGGAGCAATTGTAAAAGTCAAGAAATACCAAAGGCAAGATGAGATGCAAGTCTGACGCGCAACGCGTCACGCGCCGGGCGTCCTCCACCCGACGGAATCAATCCATTTTACCCCATTTTGATTTTTTTTTCCCGAATAATCCCGATTCGTGGCGCTCAATCTTCACTCCTACTAAGTGGCCTACTGCAATTTAGGCCTACTACCAATTGTTCAATACAACAGTCTTTGTCGAAGTTCACATGTACGTATAAGACTACGGATGGCAGTATGAAGGTCAGTTCGATATTCCGTGTGCGTAGCTAAGAGCTGACGGTCAGTTCGCAAACGCCCCTCCACAGGTGTTATCAAATTACGAAGTACTACAACATTCTTTATCCCTACGAAATGAGAATCTTCAATTACAAAAGCGAATTTTAACAGGAGGGTTGAGACAACAACATGAGATGCGTAAGGTTTACCCCGTCAAGTTAGATAAAGAAAAGGAAGAACTTGAGGAATTACCTTCTGATGGAGATGAGAGACTTGAGGATGAAGCTGAGAGAAGGGGTATTTCGGATGATTTGGTTTGGGTTCAGGATGAGGTGAGTTTGTGTTATTCGTTTCTCCCTCCTTTTCTACCACTTTGCTCCTTCGCTACTTCCCCTCACCTCGGATGAAAAGTACCATCAAGTTCCAGAAAAACTAAACCCTTTCTATTCAGTTGTGATAAATTCACCTCTCACTAGGATGTGAACCATCCGTGGTCCGACTACCGGACTCCTCTTGCTCGAGATGAAAGATGGGGAGACTTGACTGGAATGTGGAATTATACCAATGGACTGTCGGTGTCAGGATATCTACTTCGTAGGCCGTCGGCATTATGAGTCGGTGAGAAGAAGATATCAACTAACTTGTAGCTCATCAAATATCTTTGTTCACCCTACAACTCCACATCGCGTCAAACTGCTCAAGGAGTCATTCAACTCGCAGATCAATTACAAGATTATCAATTGACAAAAGCTGAAATATTACAAATTTGTAATTTGGCAAGTACCACAGCGGTTGAATTGTACGCTGTGAGTTTCAATTTTTCTTTTCTTTTCTGCTCTTCACCTAACCTCTCATGTTATTGAACCATCCCATCATTATCATCTCTAACTGTTCTACTTAGCAGTTTCAATTCACCTTCACTTCCTACCCAAAGTATCCCCATCCTTCTTGAATTCCTACCATTTCTTTTCACTCCATATTTAGTCTTATGACATTCTCCCTCTCCCTCTCCCTTTTCCTATAAGATTCATCCTTAAGACATCCCCATCAATCCTCATGATATCCCAGTCATCTTCCCAGCAACCACCCTTGAAGGAAATATAAAACATCAAAGTACGATCTTCTATCCCTACTACCTGTTATAAATCGAGATGAAGAGATGATACATGTAAAAAACTGGGGAGATCATACACATAACCTAAATCACTTTCAGATTATCTTACAACCTCAAAAAAAAAAAAAAAGTCTCAAACTGATATATATATAGGTAATAGATGATCCCGATACACGTTATCATCCCGATCCAGAACCCGCATTAGACTCAATCGCTCAAACAGTATCTTCCACTTTACTCTCTTCCCCATCAAAAGAATTAAATGAATTCTTACAACCTGTTTCTCTTCCGCAGATCCATACCGACTCTAAATTGGATGTTTTAGTTTCGGGAGTTTCGGGAATTTCGGGTCAAGTGGGTAAAGGAGAAGATCAGGAATATGTACATGAAGCTGAATGGGGTCCGGATAGGGAAGATGCTGTGGATGATGAGATGGATGAAGGGAATGATTAAGATTTGGTTATGATCTTTATATATACCATTTAAGACCGACGATTGACGAGATGGTTGTTTCAAGTCGGTCAACCGGTGGCCGGGATCAGACTATTACGTTTTTGTCGACCTCGATTTTGTCAATCGTCGAATTGGTTAAGAACGCGATGACGTTGAAGCGATATAAAATGGAGATGGTCATAAATGAGGAGGAATTGGGGTTTGATAGGTTGGAAGATCTATCAATCTGATCATTTGACATTGAAGTCGATGAAAACACTCTGTCATCCAGCGTGTGTTCATTGCTTGGCGAGAACCACACTTGAATCCCTACGACGTTCAGACATATAGAGATAGCCTGTTGTACACCATTATAATGTATCATGAACCATCTGTATTTCGTTCTTCATGAGAAAACACAGCTTCTCAGAATTGACGAGGTTATGACTGTAGATACCGAGCGAGTCGATAGCCACCCAGGGAAAGAAGGAATGAAATCGCCGTTGGAGATTACCATCCGCATATGCATCACATATCCTTTCAAATATTATACAGCTACCACCTCTTCATCCCATACTTTGGTCACACCGCTACCCCTACTATTCCTCTTTGACAATCTCCCATTCCCACCATTCGTCTTTCCTGAGATGCTCGAAGTCGGTATATCCTCCTCGACCTTTCTCTTCTTCCCTCTTCCCTTCCCTTCTGTACCAACACCAGATACAGAGGTGTTTTCTGATCCATTGAACCCCTTGGACGATTCAGCATCACCAACATCCCCTTTAGAAGCCTTTCTCTTTCCAGATTTACTACCTCTATTTCCCTTCCCAGGTCGTTGGATCGTTTCTGAACTCTGTCCTCTTGATAATAAACCAACATTTGTTGTCCCTCCTTCTCCTAAGTCTACCGTAGAAGCTGGTGCTGAACCAAAGTCGACCTTTGTGACCTCATCATCTCTCGAATGATCTTTCAATGGTGGTTTCACAATATTGCTGGCATTGGAACTAGGAGGGAAAACCAATTGATCCTCATTTATAAATTCCATACCGGTCCATCTTTTCGTCTCTTGTTCTTCAACTTCGACAGACATAGAAACTCTCTTTGCTTTCCCTTTCTTCCCTTTTTGCACCGTCATCTTTGGTCGCACGGTAGATAACGCCTCAAAGTCGGCCACGGGGCCTGGACGGAGAGGTCGAAGCACTCGGAGGGGGTCAGAGGGACATATGGGGAATGGGCCGAGATACCATCCGTCTAATTTTGCGGGTGGGAGAGGAGCGTTTCTTTTCCGGGTTTTAGGGGCGGGGATGGATGAGTTGGAAGGAGGGAGATGTGGGAGTGGGGGAAGTGGGGGGAAATGTGGAAGAGTTGGAGTTGAGTAAGAAGGTAGAGAGGAAAGTGGTTGGGTGGCGGGGAGTTGGAGAAAAACTTGTCTGGCTATACAGACTTCAAGTCAGCGTCGGTCTCATTCGAGTTCATGTTTCGAGCAGATCATACTCCAGATGCAAAGCAAGTGCGTTTGAAACGTTCATGGGTGCACCTATCAAATTGGCGAAGAGGAGGTGGCAAAGTACAAATTTCATATGTAGCAATTCTGAGAGATCTTAGACTCACCGAATCCAAATCCGTCTAGTCGAGGTGATAATTCAAGAGATTTGGGACCAACATGCACACCAACGATATCACCATGTTGTAATCGTATTTGACCAAGACGGGCTCGAGGAGAGGTCGATCGAAACCTCAAAATGCCATCCGAACCCAGATAGAGAAGTGAGGTGTAGGTATTAGGTTCAAGAATGATTTTCTTCCCATTAGCTCACTCTGTATCTATATCCGAATACTTTGACCGATCATGATCTCCCAGCATTGAGCTTGTCCACAGGGTGGCTTGATCCACTTCCAGTCCCTGACAACTAGGCGGAGCAGGGCTTATGACTCACGGGTTGTACGGATACCGGTAGATCCGGAGGATGCATAGCGACGAGTAGACTATTGAATCTTCTGCGTGACATCAGCCATACCGCTTATAATCCACCGTCCAAGGTTTGACCCTGATAGTAGAAACAAATTGTCAGGAGACATATTTGGACCAAACCTCTTACAACGACTAGAGGGACAGAGGGACAGAGTGACCGACGGGTTAGAAGACGAGAAAGGGAAAGGAAGGATTGGGATAAGGAGGGAAAAGAGGTCGCAAGATAACCCACTCATTCTCCCCTGGCCACATCAGAGCACATCTCTCGTTGATTAACTCAGCCACGTCGAGGAACACACAAGGCGATTTATGCCACGGTATAGATCTACCGCAAGGAATATCATCGATGGGTGTTGGTGAGATGGGTCCGCAGAGGTAAGTATGGAAAGGAGATGGTTTGTAGTCTATTGGAGGGGAGGATTCGTTTTGGTCTGATGTCAGCTGGTCTATCTGAGAGTACATGCAGCTATCAGGTCAGGCTGAGTTCATTATCGAGAGACCTGCGATACAGTTCTGCGATGATGCGAAGGTGTCGCACTGACCCCGGTTATCGGGGCACAACAAAGGTTATATAATGTGGCTGAGGAGATGCTATATGGCACACGGCTGAGTGAAGCAGAGGTGATTGAGCGATCGTATAGGAGAAAGAGAATTCTCTGTTTCAGGAAGAGAAGAGGGTAAGTATGAACGCTCAAAGTCAAGAGGATGCACGGAGAAGAGAGAGAGAAAGAGCAACTCACTATACGCATAACGTCTCATCCCAACCTCTTGCAAAGCCACAAGACTCTCATCAGCAACCCGATTCGTTTCCCCCTCGTGACTCAAAACGTGGTATACCTCAGCACCTTCTCCATACCCCACCTCCAGTCCGTGACGCTGAACGACCAAATCATTTTCGTACACCGTCCTAGATTGAGCAACTGCGAAAGTAAATGAACTTTTCGATTTAGCTCTGTCCCCTAGGGCTTCTTCCGCTGTTTCCGCAATTTCTCCTGGATCGATGGTATACAAAGGTGTACCAGGTAACTCCAGATCATCATCTGGATCAGGTGCATGGTCAGGGGAAGCAGGAGCAAGACGTGAATGTCCATTAGGAAAAGTAGTGGTTGGAGGTCCAATCTGAGGAGTGGGAGTAGAAGGAAGGCGAGGACTGGCAGGACGATCAGGGATGGGAGAGACGGTGGTGAGCATAGGTGGGTGAGAAGGTCCTGCTAGGGAAGAAGGTCCTGCAGAAGAAGAGGAAGATGTAGAAGGATAGGAAGAAACAAAAGTGGACATGTTGTTGAAGAAAGAGAGAAAGATATGGGAAGAAAGAAGAGAAGGCAAAAGAAGGGAGTGAGAAAGTTGAAAATTGAATATTTAATGAAGAGGGACCGATGTTTTTTCTTATGTTACTTTTATTACCTTGACTACACGAGGCTTGGGGCGTTGGAAATGGCGTGAACGGGCTTTTGTATCCTGGATACTAATTACTAGATATGAGGCCAATCAGATTGATCAAACATCCCGTGCTCGAGAGACCAAGCGAGAAGACTGACGATAGTTCCATTCCCCTAAGAAAGTATGAGACTCAGGAGGGGGAACGACCATTGACCATAGAGGCAAGGGGCAATCCTCATGGAGTGTCTGAATGAGCACCACAGATTATATATATATATAGTTATCCGTTGATTATAACATACTACTGCATGCCGCATGCCGCTCTAGACTTGTGTAGAAGAGAAGCGATGATGATTTCAACATCTCCAGCTCCAACTCCAGCGGTCCGACTTCTAAACTAACGGATATCCCCCCATCCCCTTCTTCAAAGAGACTATCTGATACCTTGATCAAGTACCTAGTACCACTCCATGTTGCCTGTCTTCTTGTATAAAGCTGGCCGGTCTCCATTCGGAGCTCGATCATGAGCTTGGAACTCGTCAATTGTCCAAGAAGACATCAGCAACGAAGTCAAATCACCGTGCCATGGCCGATCGTCATGCTTATATGGGAGGATCGAATAGGTTCTCTTTCCTCGCCTTCCCACCCCCCTTGACCCCACAGGCCACACACCGTCCACCGTATACTTGTAGTCATCTATGACCCTCCTCGATGCCATGACGCAAGCTCTTAACAACGTTCGATCTCTCCTTCTCGGACCCTCTGGGTCTAAACCCCCAGACTACCGTGCTGTTCCTTCTTCACCCGAATCAGAACTGCTAGGAGAGGCCGACAAGCCCAAGAGGCAGGATGGAATGGTTTACTTTTGTTTCTGGATCATGGGAGCTGGTTGTCTGTTAACTTGGAGTGGTGGGTCATCTCACAAGATAAACATATACATTTAAAAGAGTGGATATATTAACATTAATTGTCGTGAAGAAACACTGGCTAACGCATAGCCCTCATGTGTACCTTTCCTTACCTCGTCCAGCTCTTTCCTCCAGATTCGACAAGAGGACGGAATCTTCCAAGTACCCTTTCGAGCTTCTATTGTTTCGGTTTGGTCGTCTTTATGGGTCTGGCACAGAATGGTGTTGGTCGTGTGAGTCTCTCCCTTTGGCCCCTCCTTCCTGCCATGTTCATCGTCTCATGACCAATTCTTACCAGGTTGGCGATCCTATCATGAAAGTGGGGGTAGAGCCATGTCAATATGCGGAGGTAAGGATGTATGCTAAGCTCTAGGGATCACCTTCTAAACGACTGAATTGGTCCTCCTCCCTATTACTTATCTCTTCAATACTCTTCACATTCCCTCTCCTCCCTTTACTGCTTCCTCATCTTACCTCAACTCTCCTTCTCCTAGTTCTGATCGCCTTCACTCTCCTCTTCGCCCACGCTACATCATACTTCCAATCCTCAGTCTTAGGGCTTTCTTCCCTCTGGGGCTCATCGCAAGTCCTAGCTGTCATGTCTGGTCAAGGAGGTGTAGCCGTATTGGTCTCTTTTGCACAACTGTCGTTGGCTGTTTTAGCCGCCTTCAGACCATCTTCAGGGGAGGAGGAAGGGAAGATGGGTCTGGTGCCCAGTGTGGGTTTGTGGATTTTGACCTCTTTGGGTGCGGGGTTATGTCTTTTGGCTTTTAGGTATTTGTCTAGAAGACCGGAGTACGAGAGAGTTGTGGAACTTGTATCAAATCGAGAAGAGACAAAAGGAGACGGGGAGGGGATCCTCGGGGGTGTATTGAGGAAGAATGCTTTGGTGTACGTTGCTGTAGCGTATACCTTCGCTGTGACTTTGGTGAGTTCAAACACTTTCCTTCCTGCCCCTCAAGTCCATCTTGGGTGAATCATCTCTGGAGCCAGTGAAGACTAGTGGGACATATCACTGGTGTGAGAGTATTCTTGCAAACAAAACTGATGTCTAGTCCGTTTTCCCAGCCATCACGACCACGATCACCTCAACACATCACCCAACACCGCGATTACTGCAACCCGATGTCTTCATCCCGCTTCATTTCCTAATCTTCAATTGTGAGCACATCTCCATTCCTCCTCCCTCTTTCTACCATCCTTCAAATCCGACTCACTTTCCCCTTACCCATAACCCAAACGTCTACTTCACAGGATTACAATAACATCAAAATCCCCCCCCCCCCCCTCATCTACCAGTTGCAAACTCAACAATTAACGTCCAGTGGGCGACTACATAGGCCGAACATACCTCCCCCTCATCCCTTCCATACTCATCACCTCCCACCCCCGCATCCTCATCCTAGCCCTGTCCCGAACCCTCTTCATTCCCCTCTTCCTAGCGTGCAACACTTCAACCACCATCCCACTTATCAACTCCGACATTCTATACTTTCTCATCGCCCTCACGTGCGGATTATCAAATGGATACATCGGATCGATGTGTATGATAGTTGCCACTACTCCTTCTTTGAACCCGAGGATCAGCGAGGAAGAGAAGGACTTTGCAGGTACTTTAGGGGCGTTCTTCTTGGTGGGAGGGTTGGCTCTGGGCAGTGTGGCGAGTTTTGGTGTGAAAGGTTTGGTGGGGTAGAGATTGTCAGGTATCATTGAGATGATGAGTTGTATATCATATGCAGTTGTTGAGATCATAAATTATATATACTAGTCTCTCATCTTCCAATATAAAACAAATAATCTAGATATGCAGTGCGGCCCAAAGCTCCTCTACTCCAGTCGAGTAACACCCGCCAATGGCCGCCAATTCCAAGTAGGTGGAGAGTGGAGAGTGGAGAGTGGAGAGTGGGGGAGAGATGAATAAAAGTGGGGAGTTTCCCTTCGTCTCTCGCTCCTACTACTCCTACCACATCTCACTCTTCCATCTCTCACTTGACTCATTATCGGATACGAACAGGAAGATAGTACAAAGATGGAAGATCCGCCTCTTCCTACATCTACGTGAGACTTCAGAACTCTCCCAAATCCATCACTCTTGTCCTGACCATCGACTCATGTGTCGAACCCCCTCTGACCATGTTGATAAACTACCTTCCTCCAGTCGACCGAGGTCTCGAATGGATTTGATCACCCATCTATGTCAAGTCCCCTAAGGCTTCAGATCAGCTAATACGTAGATGGGACACTATCCAAAATGTCTTTTATAGGAAAGAAGAGATTTATCAAATGTCTTGGGATGTTAGGGATTTATCGGATTATCTGGTGACTGTGGGGAAGAATGGAGGACCTATTGGTATGTTTGAAAACCTCTCCCTACCTTGTCCACTCTCGTCCTAAGGGAATACATCGAGATGATCTTCTCGTCAAAGTCTCGGAAAACATTTATGGATGAAACACCTCTCTCGTCTTCTCTTCTGGGGTAGCCACATCCTGAAAACAGTAGTCGAGCATACCTCTGGCTGTGGGAGTTGAGTCGGTAAGGAGATTCCAAGGGAACCGAGGGAACTCGGGAAGGGGGGATCGCGATTATGGGGTATGTTTCCGAGGTATAAGGAGGATTCAGGAGAATTCTAGGATGATGAGTGATAGCTGATTACAGCCATGATGCGAGATGAAAGAAAAGTCATGTTATTGGGTAAACATACACCTGGAAGGCCAAAGATATATATCTACACATCGTCTGGATTGCCCATAACCACTATCACTGTGAGTTGTTCTCCTTCCCATACTCTTCCCCCTACACCTCATAGTCAGCTCTTTGACGCTTCTTCTCCCTACCCCTCCTTCCAGCGTCCCTTCAAATGATTAGACTGTACCCGAGTAGACCATCTGCTGCACATGAACAGCTAGAGTTCATGAAAGGCGTCACGAAGTGTATTCAGAACCAAACAGCTCATGCCATAGTGGGATCTCCCCCCACCCGTCCTCCTCCACATCACCCCTTTCCACCTTCTCGTTTTAGCCGACGATGGGACATATCGGCTCTACCCCCTTTCTTTTCCTTCTTGTTTCTCCCAACACACACTCGGAACGGAGGTATCAGAACTAGGTATCGTCTCTGCTAAAGCGCACGACGACGGATTTGTCGTGCTCACTGGCGGTCTGGAGTTTCTAGAAGTCAGAGGTTGGAACGCAGGGAGGGTTGGAGCTTTGGCACCGAGTGAATTGAGAGATCCTCCGGGAGCTTGGGGATTGGTCGATCCTGAGAGGAGTGGTAGTGGACATGTAGAGGTTTTAGTAGGGAGTGGAGGGACGGTAATTAGTTTAGATGCTTTAGAAAGGATAGATCAAGTGAGTAATCCCCTCCATCGCCTTGTATCTCTTTCTTCCTTGGCTACAGACGTATCCTAAGTTGGCCAGAGATTGGTTTCACCGTATCATGATGATATATTGCTACACGAATGGTCCGTATTTACTCTGTAGCGTCTATCGAGAGGTCCTTTCACACATATCGTACCCTCTCCAAACGGCCGGTTCTACGCTTTGACAACGTCCACAAATACACTCTGGGTAGTCTCTTCCGACTTTTCACGTAGTCTTTCCGAAGTTGATATCTCGGATTTTGCAGCTGGAGCAGGTGTACCAGACCAAGCTGAATGGTGTGGCGATAATGCTGTGGTTCTCAGATGGGGAGGAAGGGTCGTTGTCGTTGGACCAAATGGGGATAGTTTGAAGTGAGCCTTCGATATACCTCGTATCCTTCCCAAATACCTTTCTTGGGAATCCTTATCTCCTTCTCCCGTTTACTTTACCCATTCCTTCATCCTCTTCTCATCCAAGTCGACTTCACAATCAGCTCTCGCCTTAAAAGTGAAGGAGATCTGTCGGACTTTTTGAGTGTGTAGATGGGGAAAGCAGGTACTTATATAAGATACGACAACACCTCTGCTTTTATCCTCGGAGAAAGTGACGGTCTGCGAATGATCACATCCACCACATGCGAATTCATACAAAAAGTACCCGATGCTTCACTCGCTGTGTTTAGTCCAGGCTCATCACATCCCGCTGCTATACTATTCGACGCACTGGATCATTTCGATAAAAAGAGTCCAAAGGCCGATGAGAGTATAAGGAGTATACGACCTGAGTTGTCCACTGCCGTGGATACTTGTATAGAAGCTGCGGGAAGGGAATGGGACGTTCATTGGCAGAGACGTCTTCTTCGGGTGAGTGCACTGATCGCAATATCTCCAATACTCACTTCTATAATCCCTACTCTCGTCACTGTGGTGTCATGGGACTTCGCCTCAATAGGTAGAGATACGACATGTGGACCCCGTAGGAAAGAAAAGATACCTGAAGGGAAGGGCTAAAATCATATTCACACTCTTCTTTATCTTCATTGTGATGTGATGGGACTCGCGCCTCGATTAAGAATGATGGTCGTTGGGCCGCGTAGGAGATTTGAAACGCATGTGGGAGAGAGAGGGGGAGGGAAAAGGGGCAAGGGGGAATGAGATTGGGTCCGGAGGTGTAACTGACTTGACAGGCAGCACAATTCGGACGAGCCTTCATGGATTTTTACAATCCTTCCGATTTCATCAACATGGGACAGACTCTCAAAGTTCTCAACGCTGTTCGATACTTTGAAATTGGTATTCCTATAACTTACGAGCAGTCAGTCTCTTCCCGTCTCTCACTCCTTACCTTCTTTTCCCAATTTCTCAGCCACTACCTTCATCCATGTCTGAAGATCCCTCGTATGTACATGAATGCTGACTGATCAGATACACCTCCATCTCCCCATCAGCACTGATCACCCATCTCCTCTCACGCAATCTCCATCTTCTCGCCCTCAGAATATCCCAGCATTTATCAATACGACCCGCACCAGTGTTACGACATTGGGCAGAAGCTAAGATCTCTCGAGCTCGTCCTGATCCCATCGGGCCAGGGTCAGACGACGAAGAGCTCTGCTCGGCCATAGTTGCCAAATTCAAAAGAGAAGGTGAACGCAGTGTTTCTTATGCCGACGTTGCGCGGGTAGCTTGGGAAGCAGGCAGAATCAGATTAGCAACTATGGTGAGTTTGGAATATCTCTGTAATGAAAGTTGACAGAAAGTTGTTGGATCATGAACCTAGAGCAGCGGAACAGGTACCTTTATTGTTACAGATGAAAGAGGATAAGATAGCTTTGAACAAGGCGGTAGATTCTGGTGACACGGATTTGGGTGAGTCGTCGGGGTAACCTTCTGCCCACGTGCTTCCAGCCATAGCTGTTTCTCATGCCTCTGTCCTACTTTCCCTCCCATATGATCACTGTCGTTCTGAACCCTATCACATATATCTATTTGCCGCACAGTACTAAGTGTCCTACCCCAACACCATAGTCACACCTCATGACATTTTCAGCAGCTCGTGATGCCTTAAGCAACATCCTCCTCCACTATGTATAAGACAGCCAAGAAAATGTAGATGCACTGATGCTTCGTGTGTAGTCCAATTCATCAGTCGCTGATGCTCAGTTTACCATGTCCTCCTTCATCTTCGTGCTTCCCTCTCACCTGGGGATTTCTTTCACATGCTAGACGATTCCATCTCTCCCAATCTCACACCCGCTGTCAACCTCCTTCAGGTATATGCGAGAGAAGGAGACCGTCAGCTTCTTCGAGACTTTTATTATCAAGATGATCGACGCACGGAGAGTGCGTGTTTGGCATTGGAAGAGGCCGGAGCGTCTGCGGTGAGATCGTTTATGAGTCTGGCGGACTGAACTGAACCCTTAGGACGGAGAAGAGAGGATCGATAAACTGCGGGTAGCAGCGAAGGCGTTTGGGGAGGAGAAAGAGAGGGCGTTTGAGGCGAAGGTCAGTCCAGATCTCCGTCTCTCAAAGCTCATTTTCATCCTGCCACTGGATGTCCCTCGTTTATCAGATCGAGTATAAGAGGTGTTCCAGAGTCTTTCTTCTGAAAACAGAGAGGATAAGACATGGGGTAGTGGACAAGGATATCAGAGCGAAGTGGGAGAGGGAGCAAGAGGGAAGGGAAGGGAGCAAGGGCGACACTAAATCACAGATGGCAGACGACGCACATAGATTGCTGGCACTTCAAACAGCTTACGAACGTGAATTAGATCATAAATTTTCTTTTGCAGGTTTGAGCGTGAATGACTTTATCTCGGCTTTGTTACTTGCTGGATTTGGAAAGAGGGCCGAGAGGGTTAGGGCCGATTGGAAAGTTGGTGATAAACGGTTAGTTGATCACTTCCATTTTGCTCCTATCCATTTCCCACTTCTACCCTGACTGAATCTCCACGTCATCTCTAGCTTCACACTCTTTTGGACCGAACATTCCAAAATATCTAAACTCATCTGACCCGATCGCTTTTCTTGAGTGAAGGACGTCGCTTGGGAGAGAAGGAGAAATAAGGTGGAGCGATGAACTAAAACACAGATGGTGGTGGCTCAAACTGAAATCGTACGCGAAGAACAAAGATTGGGACGGTCTAGAAGCATTCGCAAAGTCTAAAAAGAGTCCTATAGGTTATGAACCATTTGTGGTATGTTTATTCTTTTTCCTCAATCAGAATCCTCTGACCTTTCTACTTTGTCATTTGACCTCATCCTATCTCATTCTCACATTCACAAACTATCTCCATTCAATCTCTTTTGACTACCTTACCTTATCCCTCGTCTTTTATGACATTGATCACAAGACGGTCTCGACAATGTTTGGCTGGCTGAAGCATGAACCAGTAAGAATGTCATTACGACCACTAACATTCAGACGCACCTCCTTTCACTCTCTCCACCCCAACCGACCCAAGCTGCGTCATTCGTCAATCGGTGCGACCCGAAATCCCGTGCAGATCTATACGTTCAGTGTGGGGATTGGACAAGAGCTGCAGAGGCGTGTCAAGCAAGAGGTGATAGGGCGAAATTAGAGTAAGTCACTCTTTCCCCTTCATTCGTTTCTTCTGCTTTTGAACACCCTCTCGATCCTTACGACCATCACTCTCCTTCTCTGATGAGCTTCGCTACCTCTTAGAGCTTCACGTAGCTTTATTGAACGTCTCCGCTCTACTGCTCAATCACCGGATCGCCGTCTCCCAAAGCATGGCACGTCTTTCTCTCGTTGATGAGGACCACATGGAGTAATGAATGGACTGACATATAGGGAGTTGAGAAGAAGAGCACCGAGTGGGATCGCTCAAAGGGAAATGGATGACGTGTTGCGCAAAATGACAAAGTGATGAGACATGATTTATGTTTGTATTTCACCCGTAAACGAGGTGGGTGATGTAGAAGTAACGGTTATCTTTTTTAACTACAATATATGGGGAGATCCTGACTTCTGTACGGATGACTATGATGCCTAATCTCATACGATGCATTGTGAATCCATGATCAGCCGAAACAAGATCTCTCATGATGATAGTCCTTTTGCCCGCCTTTAATCATCCCCTCTCCTCCTCCTCCTCCTCCTCCTCCTCCTCCTCCTCCTCCTCCTCCTTGTCCTCTCTCTCGTTAAATTTCCCCTTTTCTTGCCTCTTCTGCCCGCTTTACCTCTTACTCACTCCTGTAGCGCGGTTGGTGTGCCGTTGACATGACACTTTGAACCACCAAGCTAGCGATGACTCTCGGAAATGACTCTCAAGACAGAAGTGACTCACTCCTCCCGCTGACAAAACTTCCTTCCTATAACCACTTCCATAGTACACATCACACTGGTAGAGGTATACGAAGAGGTTATGAGGTTACCCTCTCACGAAACTTTTTCCCTAAAACCTCTTCCATAGCTCTCATCACACTGGGTGAAGTATACAAAGAAGTCATGAGGTAAACCACATTACCGAGTGGTCTAGAATGTATTTGAAAAGAAGAGAATTCACCCTTTGGACTAAAGACGATTTCTTTCCTTAAATCGGTGAGGAAATCAAGAGCGGCGTGTGATGTGTAACCTTTTTTGTCAACTTCTATTCTATTCGATCTCTTTCCTACTGCCCCTTATTCCTTCCATTGTCATGTGACTCGTACATCCAGACCTTTCCGCTCTCGCGGTCCACTTGAACAACGTGAAGTTTGATATCCTCGAATCTCCGATGTACACATGGAGGGATGAAAAAAGAGAGACATGGGCAAGGAACAGGCGGTACTCACCACCATCAGCTACATCTAACTCTATACCCAAAACCGTACCCATAGCCATCACCCCTTTAACTCCCTTTACCCCACTCAAACTCATTACAAATCCTTTATCCCAGAAACTCCATCTTCCCACATTGTCCTTGCCCCCAACACCCCAAAGCTCTTTCTCAGTCTTCCATTCCATCCCCTCTGTCATCTCGATAGCTCGGAGTGCCACTGCACATCCCACCGGATGAGCGGTATACGAATGTCCATGTAACAATGCGTCTCGTTTGCTAGAAGAGAGAAAAGCTTCAAATATGGACTTAGAAGCTAGGGTAGCAGCGAGAGGTAAAAGACCACCAGTGAGGATCTTGGCGTAAGTCGAAATATCTGGAGGATGGGAGAGGACCGAAGAAGCAGCTAGGTACCCAAATCGGTTCAGTCCAGAGAAAACTAAAGATCAGTCAAGGCAAATTTTGCACGGGATATGAAGAACGGACCTTCGTCGTATATCACTGGCAAACCGCACCATTCACTTGATGGTCGGTCTTTTGATGAGACCGACTCTGAGGAATATTCTTTCGATGAAGAAGTGGTTTGAGGGTTGAATAGATCCGAACTTGCTCGAACAACTTCGACCAGACAAGCTTGGAAGAGAGGGTCGACAAATGCCATCCCTCCCGCTCCTAAGCAGATTGGTTCAAGGATCAAAGCCCCGAACCGTCTTCCTTCCCCCGCGAGACGTTCGAGGGTTGAGCGGATGTGATTTCGATAGTATGTTGCCAGTGGTGATGTCAGGCGGTCTGAAACATTGTAGACGTCCTGCAAATCGGAGAATGCTATTTCCCAAGAATCAGATGTAGAACTTGCGGGAGCAAGAGATGAAGGTAATGGGTCCCAAGAATCCGGGGATGTGCTCCGGATCGTAGGAACGCCTCGGATGTACTGGACAGTTGGCGGAGAAAACCAATGACCTCGACCTTTGTACCTGTACGATCAGCTGATGAAGTAGCAGCCCATGGGCAACTGACCAGTCCACTGCGGTGTTATAGCTGGAGGCCTCGGCCGCGTCCATAGCTCCTATCTGAAAGTCAGATCACGAGAGTCTATCTCGGGAGCAGAAAAACGAACAGTGTCACCATGATAACCTCCCCGAAGTCCGATAATCCCTACATCACCACCCAGCTCTCCAGTCCAGCCGTATCGTCTTGCACTTGCTCTCAGCGCCATCTTGAGAGCCACCTCTACCGCGGTACTTCCGTTATCCGAGTAGAACACTCTCTCCGCCCATCCCGCCCCAACGGTGGAAACAAGCTTCTCCGCTAAGTCAAGAGCGGGTTTGTTGGTGCCGCTGGGAAAGAGGACATGACCATAACGACCAGCTGCAGAAGCTGCCGCAATGGTGAGTGGTTCAGCTGCATGTCCATGCGATTGTCTAACAGTCAGTCGACATGCAAACCAAGTTCCAAAGATGGATTTACGTGAACCAACTGGCGGATCCGTCCATATATGAATTTAACATGGAATCGTTGCTTTTGACTGGAGCCTTTGCATAGTACGCGTCAAAGTTGTCTTGAAATGCTGAATCAACAACCATGACGTCTTCTCTCTTATTCACCTGACACTTTTAGCTCAACAGGGATGGTTTTGGAACAGCTCACTAGATCATGCTGAGTGAACGGCCACCATATCGTTTTCAAAGTCCTTTCTGGCATCCCCTCGAGTTCTTGTATTCTGGCATCATGATCCTCCTCAAGCCAGAGAGCGGCGTCTCTGATTACCCCTCCGGACTCGCCCTCAGAAGACAACTGTTCGACGTCAGCGTACCACTGATTCAGTCGAACTGTATCCTCTAACACGGTACCATGCTTCTTTGGTGGTGGTCTGACAGTAAAGAATCGGATCCCTCTGTCTTGAAAATATTGCCGAAGAAATGAGTGATTACGATAGTAAGAATGATGCAAGCATAACACGGCTGAGATTGTATAGCCACGGATAATGAGAGATTCGTAAGAAGATACGGTGGTTGAAATACCACCAAGGTGTGGTGAAGCTATCAGGACGGAAGGTAATCGCAGCGCTCTGAGAAAAGTTGACTGTGTATGTGGTGGATGTAGGGACGGTGAATGGACGCCTGTCAATGGTAAGCTCAGCAACTGTGTCATATTCATAGCTTTCACCTCCAGCGGTCTCGATAAACATGGCTCCACGCTTCCCACCCAGACGTTGTTGACTCGTACGAGCGTATCGCTCTACGCCGTCCACCAGCTCATCGTTCGAGCTGGGAAAGGGCTACCATCAGCCTGAATCAAAGAGTGAGGGTCGACTGACCAATTCAGGCGCTAGCTGAGCTGCAAGATGAGGAGACATGGGTTCTCTATACTGATATAGATTCTTTGTGGTGACTACATCTTGGTATGGAGCTGCATATCTCTCAACGAAACTGACGAATCAGCTAAGGACAGGCCATGACACTCACTTAACATCCGATTCTTCATCTGGGCCTGTACTGACTGGCTTGAGATAAAATACCCGCTTCCTGGAAGGGCCAGAAGCTGATGATGTCTCCGTCTCATTGGTATACTGTGCTGCTGTGGCTCTTAGCAGAGCGGTGGTGAGGAGTGTCTTTCCTACGTCCGTGTTGGCTGCGACTTGTCAGTTCTGACTTTTGGATGAAGGAGAAACAAGGCTCTTACCTCCAAAGACCTGTGAGATTCGGAGGTTGGGAAAGAGCAGGGGCATGATGGAGGTATGTTATGAACAAAGACTGGCTATAGGAGACATGAGTGTGAAGCAAGACATGGAATGTACAGAGGGGTAAGTTTGGGGGATGAAAAGAAAGAAATCTCGGTGGGGGAAAACGGAGATCCGTCACTCCGAAAGTGGGGGAGTATGACGTGTATACAAGCTTAGATGTTGCCACGTGGTAGCTGATAAGAAAACTTCCGTCACATTGACCAGCGCGACGTCACACAACATGCCGCGTCCTCACCTTTGCTTGACGATTCTCCAACTTTTCACTACCTATAAACGAGTGGGACGTTGTTCACTTTTGTATCTTGACTGGAGGGTGGAATCAAATCATCATGGGGGATCCATATCGCTCTCAGAGCACTACTTCTCTCTCCCGTCTCTATAACGGCGCCAACGGAGGAGGGCCAACAGGGGTGGACGGGGAAGAGTTGAACGACCCAAGCTTGGACTTTTGCAATGCCTTTTGGGGACCAGGAGACAAGGGCTTTGACGTGGTCATGGCCCGTCTGAGAGGAGCGGCCAGGACGACAGACGAATTACGGACGTATTGGAAAGAGAGGTGAGTCGTCGGACGTGTTGCAATCATGGAATGTTTGGGCGTAGCTGATGTACAAGAGTGGCAATAGAGGAAGAGTATGCTAAAAAGCTGGCAAAGTTAGCAAAGATGACAGTGGGTAAAGACGAGATTGGAGAACTGGCTGCTGCAATCCAAAATTTACAGACGGAAACGGCTAGTCAGGCTTCATATCACCAAGCGCTTAGTACGGAGATGAGACAGAGCGTCGAACAGCCGACGGTGGAATTCGGAGTGAGATTGACAAACCTCAAAAAGGGACTGCAGGCCAGTGTGGAGAAGAGTTATAAGAATAAGGGGTTACAAGAGGCTCATGTGCAAAAAGTAGGTTTTCAGAATCAGAGTGGGACTGAGGATGGATCTGATCAGACAGGCAAAGGATAGATACGAAAGTGATTGTTTGAAGCTCAATTCGTATACTGCCAACGCCGCTCTGAGCCAGGGGAAAGATCTCGAAAAGATTCACTCAAAGCTGGAAAGAGTGAGGCAAACAATAGGGGCGAATGAACAGGACTTTAGGCAATTTGTCAAGGTGCTCGAGGGCACTCAGGTCAAGTGGGAGAATGAATGGAAGAGTTTTTGTGATGTGAGCATTCATTTTTGTCTTCTCAGACGTAAACTCACGTCGTAGCATGTACAAGATCTAGAAGAAGACCGACTAGCTTTGATGAAGGATATCATGTGGGCGTATGCCAATGCAGTGTCTCAGGTCTGCGTTGAGGATGACAGCGTGGGTATTCTCATCTCGACAATTGATGAGATGCTGACTTGAAGTCTTGTGAACGAATACGAGAGAAATTGGAGCAGTTTGATCCTCAAAATGACATGATCAACTTTGTGCGTGGTTGGGGAACAGGTGATACCATACCGGGTGAGCTCATCTTAACGAATTTAGACGACCATTGATAAGTTAGACCCTCCCCGATTCATCAATTACTCCGCAGGAGAAACTTACCCCTCTCATCCATCAACTCACATCGCGAGTTTCCGCCGAATATCCAGCAAACCTCCTGTCTCTGCCACCTCTCAGCATCTGGATCAACAAGCCATTCAACCTGCAGAAGCGCAGCCTTCAGTTGAGTCGCATACCGAACAACCCGAAACGGATAAGAATGACAAGACTGAACCTCAAAGCAATGGCTGGACAGGCGGGATGGACAAACTGGCCCTGTCAGACGAACAGACTGGCTTTCCCCAAAAGAGCGACACAAAACCTCCCTTTGGCGGCATAGCACTTCCAGGGATGACTACCTCGTCCTCCGGTCCCGTGACTTCCCCATCAGAACGCAAATCAACCATGCTTCCACCACCTGTCCCACCGACAATGACCATGCCCGAGCCTCGTATCCCTTCCCGGCAAAGTACACGAGACGCTACCGATACCGATCCTATGGCAAAGGCTCTCGCAGAGCTTCGACGAGAACCTCCTTCATCTGGTAGCGTCAGACGTAATGCTTCTCATCGTCGACCGGAGAGCACATACACCCCTGGAGGGTCAGTTCGAGGATCGATTTCTGGACAAGGTGTCAAATCTCCCGCTTCTCCCGCTCCGACTTCTACGTCACGTATGTCATATCAAGCTCCCTTTGCCACACGTGCATCGATTGACATGTCACTGTCTCCCCCTGCTCCCGGTCACACCGCGGCTCAATTGCAAAAATCAATGGACGACTTCCATCGACAAGCGACGAAACGACAAAGTATCAATTATGCCAATTATGCCGATGATGTGGTCGGTGCACATCCAGCTTCACGACCCACTTCTCCTGCACCGGGTTCAAGAGGTCCAGCATCAGCAATGATGCAGCCACCTATGCAACCTCCTTCTCCTGTTGCGGATGAAGTTTTGTCGCAATATCATCAAGCTTTCCCTGGAGAACGATCTCGTTCTCGTGCAGGCTCCATACGTTCTGGAAGATCTCGAGCTGGATCTATGATCAGTCAACAACCTCCCACCTCCCCATCGGCTATTCCTAGGGAAGGTTTCGTGGGAATCGGTGCGGGTGGAGGAAGATCAGCCAGTCCTCAACCCCCCACATTCCGAACTCCCAGTCCATCCCCTGTTTCTCCACATGGCATCTTGGGTCCTCAGAATCTCGGAATAGCATTGGACGAGAAAGGTGGTGTTGCACATGACTCCATGGCTGAGGCTTATAGGAGACAATATCAACAACAACAGCAACCCTCTCAACTTGCTAGATCCCCTTCTCCCGCTCCTGTTCCTATACAAAGCCCGTCTGTACGTGGATCGACGTATGGTCCACCATCTGGTCAGTACTCATCTCCACCACAGCAGTATCAAGGTTATGGAAGTACGAAATCGCCAGTAGGAGGTTTGCCACCTAGCATTTCTCAACAAACTCGTCCTACTTCACAATACGCGCCACAACAGGGATATCAAACTTCTGTTGCTCCTCCTGTCCAACAATACCCTCAACATCCTCCACCTCAAACTCAAACCCAATCTCAACCACCACCACAATCTCAATTACAATCTCCGGTGCAATCAAAGTATCAAAATTATCAACAAGGTTATCCCTATCAACAACAACAGCAACAACAACAATACCAACCCCCTCCACAATCCACCTCGCCTCAACCTACCTATCAACAAAATGGTTATGGTCAACGGCAATCCGCTTACGGGGCTCCTCAACAATATGCACCACCTCAACAAACATATAGAGCTCCTAGTCCTCAACCTCAACAATCACAGGCATACCAAGCTCCAAGTCCTCAACCCCAACCCCAACCTCAACATCCACAAGCTTACAAAGCGGCCAGTCCGCAACCACAAGGAGATTATTATCGCGGTGGCCCGAGTCCACAACCGCAGGGATATGCATCTCAAGGAGGGAGAAGTCCTAGTCCTCAACCGAACAGACCGCCGGAGAATACGGCACCGACAGGGCAATGGAGTACTACGGGTCAACCAGTGTTGTTCTGTGAGTCGTCTTATTTTCGACTGGCTGTTCTTCTTCACCCTGACATCTCTGCCATTACTAGATCGGCCTAGAGGAGAAAGCTTACGTGACAGATGTCAAAGCACTGTACGATTACACGGCCCAATCTCCAGCAGAATTTCACTTTCAAGCGGGGGATATCATCGCTGTCACTTCTACGCCTGAAGATGGGTGGTGGTCTGGAGAGTTGTTAGATGAAGCGAGGAGAGTGCCCGGTAGGACTGATTTCCCAAGTAATTTGTGAGTGCTCGCTACATTTTCTTCATCGCATCATATCCCCTTATCAAGTTTGTCGTCCACGTCGAGGATCGCAACACAATATATATTCGACTCCCTTGACTGTATCACTATTGTTCCCGTAGTGCAGCTAGATGTCAACTGGTTTACATGATGCTGATTCTCGGCGTGTGTCTTTTCTGAACGACCGACCGGGGTGGAGAGGTATATATCGCATATTTATACCATGAAGATCTATGTCTGATAATGTTTTGATAGATGCATCCAGTTTGATCCTATATTCATGTCTCAACCACGTCTCTGTCTCAAGTGTCCCACTCTCCAAGCGTAAGCATGTACTCGTAGCAGGTAAGTTATACGATAGAGTAATGCTACGGACGGTCCGATGACCGGTCCACGTGGTAGAGATGATGACACCATCCTCCTTTCCGATGTGTCCGGAATCCTTCCACCTCATTCCCCATGCCCCCATGTTTCCTCTTTCTTAAATCCATAACTCGACCTCTCCTCTCTGCATCAACTACAAGTAAAGTCACACATATCGTATCATCGTACAACAAGATTAACAACACTCGTGATTTCTCTCAAAATCATTCTCAGTTTAAACATAAAGACGAAATGTCAATTCCGAAAAGTATGAAAGCTATCCGAGTTGAGAAAACAGGAGGACCAGAAGTGAATGTTTTAGAAGAGATACCCGTTCCTATTCCTGGTAAAGGTGAAGGGTTGGTGAAAGTTTTATGGACGGGTACTAATTTTATTGATAATTGTTAGTTTCTCTCTATTTCTGCTTCTTTTTTACGTCTTCCCCCCTTCCTTCCCCCCTTTCACCCTGTTCTCTATTCTCTATTCTATGGTTGAATCACCACGTAAAACCATGATCGATCCTACTTCCATCACTACAAAGTTGTCTGAGGGAATTGATCTCAACATAGTGGTTCATTTCCTTCGATTTGACTACCTGCTATCTTCCCTGACGATAATATCTCTTACAGAATCTGTATGGAATGTGATGATTGGTCCGTGATTGTGGATAGACGATGAGGGGATGAGTGGATGGAAGATTGATAATCACCAGATTTCCGTTCGGGTCTTTATCCTAGACCTTTACCTTATACTCCTGGACAAGATATAGTAGGGATATTACTTTCTCTTCCTGAAGATTATGTTCCTACGGATTCTTCAGATTTACCTCGTCTTGAAGTAAGTTATTTCACATTTCTTATCTTTCCCCTTCTTTCTTCTTTCACCCTAGAACTCTTGTTCATGACGTAATCTGAGATACTTGTCTTTTAACATATCTCACATACCTATCAACCGAATATCTCTTTCAGGAATAACACTCATCTAAAAAATTAACTTGGCTTTACGCCTTCGCGCTTGAAACTCACCCCATTTCGGCTTCTCCTATCAATACATCGATGAGAGAAAACGGGTAGCAGAACGTTGAAAGATGAGACTTGGTGTGAAGTTTAAAGGAGGATCACATGTCAAGAGCTAAATCCCCAGATCGGTCAAAAGATCCTAGCACCAGTAGCTGGGTCCGGTTCTTTCGCAGAATACGCTACATGTCCTATATCAAAGATCGCCCCATTACCAAATGATATTCCTGGACCTGATGGAATAGCAGCATCTACCACCGCGTTCACCGCTTTGGCTTTGGTCACTGAGAGTTATGAGGTCAAAAAGGGTGATTGGGTTTTGGTCAGGGCTGCATCGGGAGGAGTGGGTTTGGTACTTTGTCAAGTGAGTAGTTTCTCTTTCACCTTCAATATACTATTCCCTCTCCTTTTAATCCAGTGTTTCTCACCCCATCCGTCTATCCGATGTATTCCATAAACTCAATTCATTCTTCGCTATTATTCCATTCCTTATTTCCATTCTATTCCTCATTCACATACAATTCCTTATTTCCACTCCATTCCTCATTTACACACCATTCCTCATTTGCTTTTCATTCCTCACGTCCATGATCAGACACTTCCGGGTTTAGTGAGAGACATGACACAATCACATTCATGTCCTTCCACATCCTAAAGCCATAACTTTTCCTCTTCCTCCGCTGGGAGGCCTCTACAAGGACTGTGGGAAGAATATGGAGAACAGACATCGTCGTTGAACTTCCGCTCATACCAGCTATGCGCACACCTAGGCGCAAACGTCCTCGGCACCGTCTCCTCACCTGCCAAAGCCGATCTAGCTAAACAAAACGGAGCACAACATGTTCTCTTCACTACCGATTCATCAGAGGAGAACGTGAAACGTGTTTTGGAATTGAGCGGAGGAGGTGTACATGTGGTTTATGATGGTGTCGGGAAAGATACTTTTGAAGAGGATTTCGAAGTGGTTAGACCAAAAGCTACCATTGTTACTTTTGGGAATGCTTCGGTGGGTAATTCCCCCTCACTCTTTATAACTTCACCTCTCAATCGTTCATTTTCCCATCTAGTTTTTAAGACCCTTCTCACGGTATTTCAGAGTACATCATGTTCTTGTAATTCCTATCACACATACCGCGTTACAACACCACACTATTCTGTTACATTTCGAAAGAAGCGAAAGAGGGACAGGAGAGAGAGAAAGAGGGAGAGAGAAAGAGAGCGGAAGTTACAACTTGTAGAGTACGCAGACGAAGGGAAACATACTAAAGTTTAGGGAGCTGTACCACCCTTTTCGCCCCTCAAACTAGGTCCAAAAGCACTCAAACTCACACGACCTACGATGAACCCGTTCATCTCTACTCAAGAGGATTTCACTCGGTATGCGAGTAAGATCTTTGATTTGATCAAACAAGGTGGTTTGAAGGTACGTCATGTGTCAACTTCTCCTCTCATATCATCCCTTCCTCCATCGCACCAACCCTTATCGTCTTCACCGGTGCTATCAATCGATGATCCATCATCTTTTGTTGCTCCATCATTGAACTGACATCCGCCTATCCGTTTATCCACCCAAGTCGATTAGTTTGTCCCGTCCTCCATCAGTATACTGATTGGGGCAGTTCACGATTCATAAAATCTATGATTTCTCTCCCGAAGGTGTCAGTCAATCTCAGATTGATATCGCATCAAGGGGGACGGTGGGAAAATTGGTCATCAAAGTGGCGGATGAGTAAAATGATTATGTTCTTACTATTTCGGGTTAGTGAATGTGATACGCCTTAAGGGTTTCGTCAGTCAAAGATTCGCGAGACAATGCACCATCTTTAACAATTGCATCGTCTTCGTCACATCGATACCTTCCTCCTAATCTCGTCTAGATCCAGATTGTCGTCGTAAGATTCGTCCATATGATGCGATTTCCATCAAAGAAAAAGTCGACAGATCAAACGATCATTTCTTAGCTGCCGAGCCGTAGTACTGAGTCGACTGGCCCTGAGGGGAGGTGTACGAAGCGTACCCATTTCCTGCGTCTTAGTCGTGACCTGGAGTATTTGATGTCTGACTGGTAGAAGACGATCCTTTCCTGCCTTACCGGCCTCATCGGTAGACCGGAATGTTGGAGTGACACCCAAGTCACGGGAGCCTGGATACCAGGCAAGGTGGCGTGGGTATCCATCGAAAGGAGCAACGTCAGGAAACTCACCCGTGTTGTAATAAGAGGATCCATTGGTATTCGAGTAATAATACGAACCATTAGAGTTAGAATAATGATAACCGCTGTTACCGCCAGAGTCTACACGAGTGTCATAGCTGTTTCCCTTGTCTTCAGCTTGGTGCCAACTGTGAAGAGAAATGATGACCCACCTGGCTGTTCTGGCCAGAAGAGGTGATAGTATCTTTTCCTGGCATATTGTCTATATCTTATCGTGTGACTTGTCGTGTCTATTGGTTATCTCTATGTGACCGTTTGTACGTGTATGAATGTACGTGAGTGATGAGTGAGGAGTCGTAAGAAAGAGAGAGAAGGGGGGGGGAAGAGAGGGTTTAAGTATGATGGTCAGTCCAGTCAACCTTACTACTACTTACGACTTAGCTTGACTACTAGAATACGGCCGGTGAGACCTGCGCCGTGCTAGCCGTAGTGTCGTGCCTGAGCAGGATCCAGGACCTGATTCCGTCATTTCCACCTGGCGCGCTAAAGAGTTTGATCGCAACTATTTCCCCATCGGGACATTTTACCACTTTTCACCCATCGGGTCTTCTTTCTTCGTCCCTCATTGCTGCATTGCTGCAAGCTGCTCTCTGTGAAAAGCACCCAAGTAGGACTACTATACTCCAGGCGAGGGAGAAGTGTAGACGAGAGTACTTTACTCGTACTTGGAAGAGTGAGTAAATATTGCTCCAACATTGAGAGAGAACGTGACCTGACACCCAGCCACTTTGACCCT